TTTAAAACTTATTAAAAATCCATAATGGCGGAAAAAAGAACAACAAAGCAGTATTTCAAAACATAATATCTTGATCTAGTGAAAAGATTATGGATTGAAAATCAATACGTTTATAAAGCAATTTATTATACACCGTTAAACGCGTGTTTTTAAATTTTTCGAAAATTACCCTTTTTATCACGAGTTTATTGAAAAATTAAAAATTTTTGACTTCCTCTATAGATTTATAGCAATAACTTTATATTTAACCAAATTCAAGAAAAACCCATGGGTCAACCGGAGCATCAATATTAAATAAACATTTTCTTAAATTTTCATGAAGTTGCTAGGGAGTTTTATACGATAGTGGGGCTCAAGTAGGTCAAAGTTAATTTAAATATTTAAACAACTATGTCAAAAATTTTTTTAAAAACTCAACTTAAAGGGTCAATCTTTTATTATATGAAAAAATAAAAAATTAAAAAAAATATATTTTTGCCATTTTTCTTCCTGGTGTACCACCTTAATTGCAATTTGTTTAGTTAAATTGATTTTGAAGCAACCTACCTTAACAACCTTTATTAGTTTTTAAATTTAAAAAAATTATTTATTAAATTTTAAAGTAAAATAAAATTTTACTTCAAAATTTTATTTTTATGTTTATGGTTTAGTTTTATAGTTAAACAGCAATAACGTGTTATTAGTTCGATGTACCCAACTACTTACTCGTATGTAATGGCATATTGTTAAACTTATAAAAGTTTAATACTTTCACTCTTATCTTTATGTAATAACGAGTTTTGGCTGAGAATAGCTTTTTATTTAATATCTCAAGTAATTTATAGTGTTGTGACAGAGGGGCGGATTTTAGGAGAAGGAGGGGGGCATGGAGGTAGTAACCTTCCCCCCCCCCGTCTTTCTTGGGACTTTTTTTTACAGAAATATTCATTTGTAAATTGACTTTTATACAGAATTAGACTACTTTACTGACGAATAAAATTTACTATTGTATATAATTTTACGTATATGAACTTGATTATTACACTAAAGTACAAAAAATTAAAAAAGAAAGTTACTTAGAAATGAAAATATGCGTACTTTTTTTTTAAACCTTTTTAGCCCCCTCCTTGGTGAGTGACAAAACCCGCCCCTGTTGTGACACCACATAGGCAATAGTTGCAAAAATCAGAAACGCGCTAAATAAATAATGTTTCGTCACTGTGGGAACAGTTGTTATTCTGTTTATATTATTAAAAGCCATGCTTGAAAACACTGATAAAGGTCGTTTACTATGTGGACATTAAGTAAATTGCACATGCAAGTAGGATTAATTTTTATGTACAAAAGGAGTAGTTACTATATTGGAGCTTTCACTAGAAATCAGACTGTATCACTTTTTTGATTTTGTTTTTTCTAAAAGTTATCCCTCTCTGTATCCAGTACATTATTTTTGCATTGAGATGTTCCGTACTTTTATTTTAAAATTCTAATAATATATATTTTTTTAATGAAATTCTAACTTTAACTATTTCAAATAAAAATTAGAATTTTTGACTAAAATATTTTTTTCGTTTACACGACCAATTATGCTGTATAACTGTATGACTTATACTTTACTAGTCATACAATATAACTGGTAAATAAGTTGTTGTTGTTGTTGTTGTTGTTGTTGTTGTTGTTGTTGTTGTTGTTGTTGTTGTTGTTGCTGTTGTTATTGTTGTTGTTGATGTTGTTGTTGTTGTTGTTGTTGTTGTTGTTGTTGTTGTTGTTGTTGTTGTTGTTGTTGTTGTTGTTGTTGTTGTTGTTGTTGTTGTTGTTGTTGTTGTTGTTGTTGTTGTTATAACTACATATATTTATACAGATATGTATTTATTTATAACTACAGTAAAATCAATTTATATTTTATTATTTAATATACTATAGATATATCTTTTATAATCATGATTGATTATAAATGATATATTTATAGCTCCTGTGTCATCTACAAAATTATTGTTTCTAAAAATCAAAAAGCTATTCTTTGTGACCACGGGTACACATATGTGTACCGTAATGTAATGTCTTCAAAAATATTGACTATCAGTTACTGAAAAACTCATCTAATTATGATTCATGGTTTTTTAAGAATTTTCTGAGCTCTATATTTCCATTCAACAACGAGTATTTTACTATTGAGACAAATAACATTTTGAAAAAAATTGTTGATAACCCTTTTCAAAATCTCAAGTCCATTACCAATACCTTAAATAATCTGTCATGTGAAGCTGATTATTGGTTGTATATATAAGTATCCATTAATGCAATAGATAATATTTCCATTACTTGACAAACTTTTTAACGAAAATAAAACTGTATTTTAATTGGGTGATTTTAATATTGAATTTATCAAAAGTGACGCGCATTCAACTCAAGAGTTTTCAAATTTACTATCTTATACCTATTTTTTGCCTCATATTAACCATCCTACTTGAATAGTAGAACTTTACTGCAGGAAATATCATTATATCATATATGATCATCTTCCTCAATTTCTGATTGCTCATGACATCTTAAAAGTAACACCTAATAAAAAGCTAACTATTTATGAAAGAAATTGGAATGTTGCATCTTTTTTAAGTTTGCCAATAATTCCTGTTTTAACCACTGTAACTTGTATCAACACTAAAAAAAATTACCTTTACTAATCCATTCTGAAATGCTTCTACCAATTATTTTTCTAATGTTAGCTTAGAGTTTATCAAACATTCTTTTATTTAAGAATCACTTTACATAATACTTATGAAATCCTTCAACAAATTCTTTTTTTACTAAGCCTATACATAGTTATGAAATAAAAAAAGGTTATAGAATCCTTTGATGCAATTAAGTCATTTGGTTCTAATATAAAGAAAATATTTACAAAATTAGACTTAAAAAAAATGTATATACACGGCTGGGGCAAGAAGAAGACAAATTTAGTCTTTTCACCAAGCCTTATCTTAAAAATACTTAGAAATGAATTTTCAATGATTTTGTCAAATATTTTCAATATATCATTCTCTAAGGGAAACTTTCCTAATATTTTAAAAACTGCTAAAGTTGTTCCTATTTTAAAAAAAGATTCAAAGTTGTTAGTATCTAACTATAGACCAATATCCCTGCTCTCAAATATTGATAAAATTTTAGAAAGGCTTATGTTTAATCGAGTTTACAACTTCTTTAATAATTCCAGTATTCTGTGTGATTTATAATTTGGTTTCCAAACAAATTATTCTACATAATTTTCCCTATTAAGACTGACTGAAAATATAGGAAGTGCTCCAGATAAAGGGTGTTTGGTTGTGGCATAGTGGATGCTAAAATTTTATAAAAAAATAGCTTGTGTCTGTCAACATATGTCTGTCATCGACCTCTAATATTTGTGATATTGTTGTTGTTCTCAGTCTATATAAATGATTTATCTAAAGTCATTAAGTTTAAACACTTTGCTGCATTTTGTAGAGTTCAACACTTCGCTGCATTTTGTAGTGTCCAACACTTCACTGATGACACAAATCTCAATAAATCAATCAATGAAATTAACAAATATGTTAACTATGATCTAAAAAAAACTCTGCAATTGGTTAAGTGCCAACAATGTCTCTAAATACAAGTAAATTTGAGTTGATTATTTTCAAATCAAGGTTTAAAAATCCCGATCATCAATTTAAAATAAAATTTAACAAAAAAACTTTTTCCCTTTGAGGTGTGCTAACTATTTTAGAAAAAAAATTGATGAAAGTTTAGCCTGAAATGATCATATTAATAATTTAACATTAAAATTAAATAGATAAAATGCCATTTTGTCTAAACTTAGACATCTTGTTGACAAAAAAACATTAAAGTTTATAAATTTTGCCTTGTTTAGTTCACACTTCACTTATAGTTATTTATTTATGGGAAAACGCTCTTCTATTAAGAAACGTCTCTGTTATTCAGAAAAAACTGTGAAATATAATTCTTTTTTACTACATAATTTCCCACAAATTTGTTCAAGGATTTCAAATTTTCTAAAAATTTGATCTCATTCAACGGTTGTGTGTTCAAGCTTTTGTTACAAAATTTTATGGTAAATATTCTTTTAACTCTGCATTTTATGACTGGAATTTCCTGCAAAAAAATTAAATACTCCTCAGCTAAATAAAAAAAGTTTAAAAAACAGATTTCCTAAAAAATAAAATTCTTATTATTAGAGACAATAGTTTTTTATTTTTTCCAGCGTTATAATGATATATGCATACATGTATATATATTCTATTCTATTTTTTGCTGTTTTTGATTTGTTTTCATTTATTCCTTTTTATTTTATTATTATTTTTTCAACTTACTTGTTTTGTTGTCCTTGTTCTTTATGAGTTTGTATACAAGTTTGCTCTCCTTATTTTAGCCAGGCTATATGAGAGTGAACCTTCTAGTCAGTTATGTTTTTTACCACCCTTTATGATATTTACTGGTAAATATATTGTTGTTGTTGTTGTTTTGGCTGCTGCTGTTGTTGTTGTTATTATTGTTATTTTTGTTGCTGTTGATATCATTTTTAATAACTTTGAACAAAAATAATAACAATGTTGTTTTTGTTGGAAATGGTGTTGGTGTTGATGATTATGTTATTGTTGCTATTGCTGATGGTTGTTGTTCATGATGGTTGTTGTATTTGTTGTTGTTATTTCTGTTGATTTTACTGCTGCTGTTGTTTTTATTTTAGTTATTTTATTGCTGCTGTTGTTGCTGTTGTTAGTGTTTTTGTTATTTTTGCTGTTGTCATTTTTGTAGTTGTTATTATTGCTGCCTCTGTTGTTGTTGTTGTTGTTGTTGTTGTTGTTGTTGTTGTTGTTGTTGTTGTTGTTGTTGTGGTTGATGCTCTTGCTTTTTTTTTTTCAAAACTAGTAAATGAATAATTATCTTCAAATTAAATAAAATACTAAATAATGTAATTTACTAAAAAGTTTTTAGGTTTGTAGAAATGACCTAGTTTTTTAAAATAAATCTTATTGATTTTTTATTTTTGTAAGGTGGATAAATTTTATAATGGTACACTGATTTCAGTATTTTTTAAACCACAGCAGCTTATAAATGGCAATGTTATCTTGTCATAATAATAAGTTATCTCATATTTTTCACAAACTTCATTTGCGAAATTGGTCAACAACAATCTTATCACTCTCTGAGCAAAAATCAAGGTGAGCAAACTTTATTTTATTTTTTATGCTGTCAAAATCATCAAAACAAGTACTCCAGTATTTGTTATGCTGATATATTTTTTTGTAGTTTTATTTGTAAATTTTGAGTGTGAACATTAAGGTCATAGTTATTAGTGGTAATAATGACAAAATATTTAGCAGAACAAATAAGTATTCTTAGTATTCTTAGTAGCAGGATATATTTTTTAATTTTTTTGTTTTATTTCATTTATTTATTACTTTTCTTTTAACTTTTTGTTTGTAAATTTCAAGTAACAAGCAAAAAATCAAAGAAAATGTTGAAGTAGCAGTTATTGGAGGAGGAGTAGTTGGTACAAGCATTCTCTACCATTTAGCAAAGCAAGGAGTTAAGGATGTTGTCTTGCTAGAGAAAACTGAATTAACAGCAGGATCAACTTGGCACGCAGTATGCTTTTTTAAGAATTTAATAAATAGAAATAAATATTTAGATTTAACATGCAAGGGTTTTATAAATATAATCTATTTAGTTGTTCTCGCTTTTAGTATTATCTTGTATTATCTCTCATTATCTTATTTATTTTAGTTAATCAAATTAAAATCTTTTTATTTAATTAACTAAATAATATTAGTTATGAATTTACTTTTTAAACTAACTTTTAATAGCCCACATTTGTTTGAGTAATTATAGCTGGTACTATATGCCATCTTCAGTACACAATTTACTGCCGTCTACAGTACAAAAAATTAATATAAAACATTTTGCAGTACTGCCTATCTGTCAACTTTCAGAGGATGCACAAGAATCCCATAGTAAAGATTATAAAAAATTTTGCCTTCATCATGCCAGGAAATGTTCTAGATTAGCTACAAATGAGGATGTGTTTTATATTCTTCTGTACACTTCAGATCCCTACATCACCAGCATTAGAAAACCGTACAGCAAAAATGTCCAAGAACTTGATGAAAATACTTTGCAGCTTTTGAAAGTCGACCTATAATTTGTTGCATAAAAACTCAATGTATAAAAGTTGTTATTAATAAACTATTCTAAATATTTCTATAATAAGCATTTTATAAACTCTTAAAAATATTAATGTTAATGTTGAAGTATGTGCCAATTAATTAATTACACGCAAAGTTCGTATATAAATGTTTTTTTTATATATATAAATTCAATATGAATATATTTTCCAAATAAATAACCATTTTATGTTTCGTATACTTTCAAAGTTTTTTCATATAATTAAAAAGAACATGTTTAGTTAAAAATAAAACAAAAACTACAATTTTTTTTTTTTAATAAAAAATATTTCTTTAGAAGCGTTATATACTACTTTACATTTGTGCAAAATTTCAACACTTAATCTTTAGTAACAAAAAAGTTATTGATTTTTGATCTAAAACAGGCCTTTATTTTCCACAGTGCAGCCATTGAATACAAACAAATATTGAAACTTAAAATATCAGCCATTGAATACATAATCAAAAACAAAAAAACACGCTAAAAATTACAAAATACTGTGTAGTAAGATCTTTACATCGCTAAAAGACATGATGGCAACCAAAGAAAAAACAAAATATTAGCTAATCATCAGTGTCAAAAAAAAAATTTTAAATCAACTCATTTCGTTTTTCTTTGTAGTCAGGTTTATTTGATGATACGGTAGTTTGATAGACGATGTTCTTTGTCAAGCACTGATTGTTCATGAGGCAGATGAATTTGTTTACACAGTTGCATATTTTCCCCTCATCTTTACCTTGGCTATATATCCTGTGATTGTGCAAATTAATGATGGACTTGATGTTTGGCATACATGAGTAGCTTATTTTAATGGTATTTCGAATAAATATCTTACAAAGTTAGTGATTAACCAGAAAAGCGCAGGTCTACCATGTTCAAAAAACCACTGCCTATTTTTGTTGCAACAATGATACTGAAAGGTGGGTTGTACCAGATTATGTTTTGCTTGTGATTTATGAATGGGATTGGTTTTTTATTTGAATGGTATGCGAATTTGCAGATAAAACCTGCATGTATATATACATGCAGGTTTTATCTATAATCCCCTGAAATTGTGGGGATTCAAACTTTACTTATAATTTGAGAGATAAAAGATTATACAATGAAAATTAGAGATAAAAGTTTATTTATTGAGACAAGAGAGTCAAATTTTGGTTGTTTTTTTTGTTCTATGGCTTTAATCATCTTTTCGCCAACTTTTTGTTTGATATATATATACATAAATATATATATATATATATATATATATATATATATATATATATATATATATATATATATATATATATATATATATATATATATATATATATATATATATATATGTATATATATATATATATATATATATATATATATATATATATATATATATATATATATATATATATATATATATATATGTACACATCAGGCTGCCATGGAATCCTTTATTCCCTCTTGACGATTCCAGGTCAAGCCTCACTCTTCTCCATGGTTTTCCTCACATTGTGCTGCTGCAATTGCCAATCGAAACCATTACTTCCATATCTATCAGCAAAACAATTCTCCAGAAAACAGACATCTGTTTATTACTGCTAGAAACAATTGTAAAAAGGTTTTGTCTAATGCCAAAGCCCGCTATTCTCAGATCATGAAATCTCGTGTTTCATCACAAAAATTAGGCTCTCGTGACTACTGGAGAATCTTTAATAGTATCAATAATAAGGGCAAGTCTGTAATTCCACCTCTTTTGTATGGTTCAGACTTTGTCACCTCACCTAAAGACAAAGTTGAATTGTTTGCCAAGAACTTTTTATCAATATCATCTCTTGATGCCACTAGTTGCGTTCTACCTGATATAGCCGTCAAACAGGTTGATCCATTGCTCGACATTTGTATCACTCCAGCTTCTGTATCTAAAGTGATTTCCCGCTTAGACTCTTCTACAGCTTGCAGCCCGGACAACATACCCGTTATAGTCTTGCAGAAGTGTTCTCCGGAGCTGTCGTCTATCTTTTCAAAACTATTTAACAAGTGCTTATCAGAGTCTTGTTTTCCAGCCTGCTGGAAAGCAGCATCTGTTATCTCTATTTTTAAAAATTCTGGAGAGCGATCCGATTCGTCTAACTACCGTCCCATTAGTCTTTTTCCTATCATAAGTTAGGTTTTTGAATCTTTAATTAACAAACACTTAATCTCGAATCTCATAACCTACTTTCTGATCATCAATATGGATTTCAATTTTCTCGTTCTACGGCTGATTTGCTATCAGTAATAACCGATAGGTTTTATCGCACATTAGATAAAGGTGGAGAGGTTAAGGCCATCGCTCTTGACATTTCTAAAGCGTTTGATAAATTTTGGCATGCTGGTCTTCTCCATAAGCTTTTTTCTTATGGTGTATCTGGAAACATCTTTAAGATTATTGAATCCTTCCTTTCCAATCGTAGTATAAAAGTTGTCCTTGATGGACAGCACTCTTCTTCTTATTCTGTAACCTCAGGGGTTCCCCAAGGTTCAATCCTTGGCCCTATACTCTTTTTAATTTACATTAACGATCTTCCAGATATTCTCACATCTAAGGTGGCATTGTTCGCTGATGATACTACCATTTATTCTTGTCACGATAAGAAGCCAACTCCCTCTGATTGCTTGCAGGGGGCATCTGAGCTTGAAAAGGATCTCACTTCTGCTACATCATGTGGCTGGTGAACTTTAATTCAGATAAAACTCAATTTTTTTCAGTCAATCATTATCGCAATAATTTAGACCTTCCTATATTCATGAATGGTAATGTACTCGATGAGTCTCCTACCCTTGATCTTCTAGGATTAACTGTTACTTCTGATCTTTCTTGGAAACCTTATGTCAAATCCGTTGCAAAATTAGCATCTGCTAAAGTTGCTTCTCTTTATCGAGCTTGACACATTCTTACTCTGGGTTCTATTCTCTATCTCTAGAAAATCTCAAATCCGGCCTTGTATGGAATACTGTTGCTATATCTGGGGCGGATCTTCTAATGATGCCCTTTCTCTTTTAGACGAGGTGCAAAAACGCATCGTAAACATAGTTGGACCTGCTCTTGCAGCCAACCTTCAACCTTTGTCACATCATCGTAATGTTGCTTCTCTTTCTCTTTTCTACAAATACTATAATGGGCACTGCTCTAAAGAGCTAGCGTCTCTTGTGCCGTCTACTAAAATTCATTCTCGTGTTACTCGTCATTCAATTAAGTCTCATCTTTTTTCTGTTACTGTTCCTAAATGTTCCAAAAACTCTTATTTGTCTAGTTTTTTTCCTCGAACATCGGTTCTTTGGAATTCACTTCCTTCATCTTGCTTTCCTGATTCATATAATTTGTAATCTCTTAAGTTGTCTGTCAATCGTTATCTTGCTCTACAATCTTCATCTTTTCTCTTCCAGTAACTTCCAACACTAATTAGTGGTTGCTTGCAGCCTTGTTGGAAGCAAAGTTAATTAAATATATATATATATATATATATATATATATATATATATATATATATATATATATATATATATATATATATATATATATATATATATATATATATATATATATATATATATATATATATATATATATTTGTATTTGTTGTATATAAAATATATATTTTTTCTTTGTTATCCAGGCAGGTTTGGTAACAGCTTATCATCCTACACCAAATCTAAAGTATCTTCATTGGTACAGTGTAAATCTGTATGCTCAGCTTGAAAAAGAGACAGGACAGGTAGCTAAATATCTAAATGTTTTTAAAAATAAAGGCATTCATGTTGCAGGCCTTGGCGGCCGAGATATGTACTGCAGAGAGATTTTTTTTCCCTAAAATCTCTTTGGTGTGAAATACTGTATATTATATCTATAACATTAATGACAATATGGTCAAGTTTGCAAAGTTGTTTATAAAAGAAAAGCCATATAGTTGTAACTAAGATAAAAAAAAGTCATTTTAAAAATAAACCAATAATAGTATAATAAACTGCAATGCTTCTTTAAAGACACATTTATTGCAACAACAACAAAAATAAAAAGAGCAACAAAATGTTTTTAATTAGATTAGACTAAATGATTAGTTTCTTAAATAAAAAATCAGTTTTTAATAAAAATGTCATTATAAAAAAATGAATGGATAATATTCTGTCATAAATCTTTTTCTTAGTCAATGCTATGTTTTACTATTTAAATTCAGTTGATAATACTAAACATTTATAAAAATACATTTAAAAAAGTAAAATATTCTTTTTGAATTATTTAATTTTTTTATTAATTTTGCTTTAACTTATATATATATATAATATAAAATTATTACACACTAAATTATTGCATAATTTTTATTTTATGTAATGAATTATATATTTTATATATTAATTATAATAAATTATATAAATTTGTTACAATTTGAGCAAAATTAAAAAAATATATTTCTTAATTAAATGTTCTGCTTAAAAAAATTGTAATTATAAAAACATTTTTATTGTGGAATTTTTTGTTGTAATAATTCTTTAACTTCCTGCATTCTATAACAGCAAGAAAATATAAAACATTTTTAGATAGCTCTTTGTTTATCAAATTTTTAATAAAATAAGTAAATTGGTTAATAAATAATTGGAAGCTTGTGTGTAAAAACCAAAAGCAAAAAGGCTTTAAGTTTAAAGAATTTTTTCACGGCGCAACAATTCTCTTTATGTATTTATTCAAAACAATGCTTGTTATGTATATATTCTTGTAACATTAACATCACAAGCATATGCTTGCAACAAGTATAAAATCAAATTTTGTATTTTATAAGCAATTTTTTTAATGAATAAACAGATAGCTTGCGCAAAAACCAAAAGTTTTCATATAAATCTGTTTAGAGGAGCAGCTTGCATGGCTCGCCATATTTGTTTTAGAAAATATTTTCTCAACTCTCACGCTCATTTACTCCTGCCGAGGATATTATCTTTAATATGTCATAATTTTCAATAGTTAAATATCAATAAACTTTTTTTTTCTTGGAATTTTTTTTTGTCCATTTATTTCACCATAAAATATAAAAATTTACAATAACAAATTATAAACTTACATGAATGAGGTTAGGTGTCACTTCTACAGTTAAAAATTATTCAATGGAGTGACACCTAAAAAAAACTTGTAAATAAAACATAGAAAGAGTTTTTAAAAAAAAGAAAGAAATGAATAAACAAAGAAAACTATCATAAAAACATAGAAGAGAAAAAATAAAAAAATTTAAAAAAATCAAGAAAGTGGTTTGAGAATACATTAATTTTTCAAGAATTTTGATGAGATTTGATAGTAATGATATTGGTTTATAAATATTCTAGTCAAGTGGCTGGTGAACTTTAATTCAGATAAAACTCTTTTTTTTTCAGCCAATCGTTATTACAATAATTTAGATCTTATATTTATGAGCGGTAATGTACTTGATGAGTCATCTACCCTTCATTTTCTAGGATTAACTCTTACTTCCGATCTTTCTAGGAAACCATATATCAAATCTGTTGCAAAAATAGCATCTGATAATTTTGCAACAGATTTCTTTATTGAGCTTTCTTACTCCGGATTCTAACACTTTCTTACTCTGGAATCTATTCTCAATCTCTATAAATCTTAAATCTGGCCTTGTATGGAATACTGTTGCCATATCTGGGGTGGATCTTCTAATGATGCCCTTTCTCTTTTAGACAAGGTGCAAAAATGCATTATAAACATAGTCGGACCTGCTCTTGTAGCCCACCTCCAACCATTATCATATTGTTGTAATGTTGATTCTCTTTTTTCTACAAGTACTATGATGGGCACTGCTATAAAGAGCTAGTGTCTTTTGCGCAACCTACTAAAATTCATTCTCGTGTTACTTGTCATTCAATTCTCATACTTTTTTTGTGACTGTTCCTAAGTGCTCCAAAAACTCTTATTCATCTAGTTTTTTTCCTCGAACATCAGCTCTTTGGAATTTGCTTCCTTTATCTTGCTTTCCTGATTCATATGATTTGCAATCTTTTACGTCGTCTGTCAATCCTTATCTTGCTCTACAATTCATCTTTTCTCTTCCATTAACTTCTAATTCTAATAGTGGTTGCTTGCAGCCTTGTTGGAAGCAAAGATGTTAAAAAAAAAATTATAAATAAAATAAATGTAATTATTTTTAGATAGAGTTCATTTTCTTAATTAATTTCAAACTTTTAAAAATGTAATTCATGAATGTAAATGATAAAAATGTAATAATAGTTTCTGAATGATTAATAAGTAAATGACTAATAAAAAAAACTTTTTTAATCAATTGCTAAAAATTGGGTCTCAAATATGCTTGACATTCCTTTTCTACTGCAGGTAAAAATTATCAATTTATATTTTATTATGTTACAAATGCGCACTTAATACTGATTGATCCGAAGCGATAATTGATTGAAATTTACTAAAATGTGTTATTCACTATTTAATTTAAATGTGTTATTCACAATTTAATTTAAATGTGGTATTCACTATTTAATTTAAATGTGTTATTCACTATTTAATTTAAATGTGGCATTCACAATTTAATTTAAATGTGTTATTCACTATTTAATTTAAATGTGTTATTTACAATTTAATTTAAATGTGGTATTCACTATTTAATTTAAATGTGTTATTCGCTATTTAATTTAAACAAAAAAAAATTTATTATGATGCAAAACGCAATGAATAAATATATACTTTTTTTACAACTTTTCAGTATTTTTATTTGACTTTTATTTGATGAGTTTTATGATTTTATGTTGTATTTATTACTTTGTTTATGTATAAGTTTATCTATCTATATGTATTATTTGTTTATCTATCTACATGTATCTAATATATCTATTTCTGTTATCTAGGCTGTTGGTTTTCATAGACCTGGTAGTTTACGTCTTATTACTACTAAAGGTAGATTAGAAGAAGCTCAATATACCCTATCACGTCAAAGAGTTCATGATGCTCATATGTGGCTCATAAATCCAGATGAAGTTCATAAATCTGCTCCATATATGAACATGGATGGAGTACTTGGAGGTTTATTCACTCCAGGTTTGATTTAATACTAAATTGTTGATGTAAAAAGAAAAAAAACATTAACAAAGGGGTTAAAATACAGATTTTTATCTTTTATTTCACGTAGTTCACTATAATCCATAACTGAGTTTGTACTATATAGTAAAAATATTAAACTTTAACAGGAAATGTGAAAAGTTTTTCATTGTAACAATTGTAATTGTAACTAAAGTTATTGCACAAAACAAAAAATGAAACTGTTATAAAAAAACTTAAATAAAAAATAAAACTAACAATCTAATAAAAAATGCAAAGAGTTTGAATATGTTTGTATTTGTATATTATGTAATATGATAAGATTATGAATAATGATAAGATGCCTTATGATAGGAAACATAAAAAATTGATTTTTCAAATTAAAGCTACAATCAAAACACATTCTAAATAATCACCAGTAGTGCTGATATTTAAAATAATCACCAGTAGTACTGGTATTTAAATTAAAAACAAACAAATGCAAGTTGTACAACTATTTTTCCCACCCTTACAAAAATAACTTGAGTTTTTAATAATTAAAACTTTGTTTAGACCATTACTAATTAATACTAAAATTTTTGAAGCAATATTTAGTTAGAAAAATTTAGTCGAAGCTTAAACTAAGTAAGTCAACTGGTATGAATGAATTTTGCCAAGAATGCTTATGCAAATCTTTTATTATATTGGATAATAGTTATTTTATGTCAAAAGTTCACATTAATTTGCACAATACTGTATGTGCTAGTTTATATACAGTATGTGCTAGTTTATATACAGTATGTGCTAGTTTATATACAGTATGTGCGAGTTTATACACAGTATGTGCTAGTTTATATACAGTATGTGCTAGTTTATATACAGTATGTGTTAGTTTATATACAGTATGTGCTAGTTTATATACAGTATGTGCTAGTTTATATACAGTATGTGCTAGTTTATATACAGTATGTGCTAGTTTATATACAGTATGTGCTAGTTTATATACAGTATGTGCTAGTTTATATACAGTATGTGCTAGTTTATATACAGTATGTGCTAGTTTATATACAGTATGTGCTAGTTTATATACAGTATGCTACACAGCTAGTTTACACTCACAGCTTTTTTTACAGCAAACATTTTTAATGGAATGATCAATTTCATTAATTTAATAAGTATAATAACAAAAAATTTGTCTAGATAAAAAAATTAATTAAATTTATCAGTATTTTATGTCATGATGAGGAACAGTGTCCATTCTTGTAAATGTTGCGGCGGCTAGGTGATGTACATGTTTTTCATCAATTTTCCTTATTGAAAACCGTTATATCAATTCGTTTTTTTATCTAGGTTTTAGCTTGTCAGTTTTTATTGTACACCAATCTTTTAAGTTCAGGTCGAAATAACCAATCTTTTAAGTTCAGAACAAGTAATTTTGGTTAGAATCTGTTCTAGAATTTTTCATTTCAATCTTACATCATTTGATGCTGCCTTTATGTCAAAAAAATAGAATCTTTTTCAGAAATATTTTTGTTGCTAAAATAAAAGTTTATTGTCAATAACTACTATTTTTTTCTAAAAAATTAAAACCAATCTACAAACAAACATAAAAATCTAACAAAACTAAAAGCACCACCAGCGCCTTTAGTTTTTGTTTTTTTTAATTTTCAATGATATACTAGTTTTTTAATTGTTTAGCTTAAGTTGTGATTAAATTGTTTTGCAAAATCACACTGTAAAATACCATCTTTTAATCAATCGATTTTTTTCCATCTGATTTTTAGACTTATTTTTATGCTTTGCGACCTATTTTTTCTTTTTTTGTTCTCACTTCCTATTTTTTCTTTTTTTTTTGTTCTCTTTTCTTTTTAGTATATTGTACATAGTAGATTTTATTATGTTTTCCATTCGAAAATTATTTTCAATAAAACTTTTATTCTCATCTGGGTGCAAATCGAAAAAATGTGTACACTTTTTATCGAATTTTCATCATAAACATTTTTTTTTTTTTTATTATTTTTTTTTTAATTATCTTTGCTTCCAACAAGGCTGCAATCAACCACTAATTAGTGTTGGTTAGAGTTACTGGAAGAGAAAAGATGAAGATTGTAGAGCAAGATAAGGATTGACAGATGACTTAAAAGATTGCAAATTATATGAATCAGGAAAGCAAGATGAAGGAAGCGAATTCCAATGAAATGATGTTCGAGGAAAAAAACTAGACAAATAAGAGTTTTTGGAGCACTTAGGAACAGTAACAGAAAAAGGATGAGACTTAATTGAATGGCGAGTAAAACAAGAATGAATTTTAGTAGATGGCACAAGAGACGCTAGCTTTTTCGATTAATTAATTATAACTAAATTAAAAAAAAAAAAATTAATAATAAAAAAATTTAATTTGTAACTAAATAGGAGTTACTGCAAGTATGTTTAATTATTCTTTCATATTTTTATAGTTAATAAAAATTTTTCCAAATTTTTAATTATCACATGTTAGTTTACACACATAGCTTTTGATTCAATCTCCATTAACACACAGTCTTCTCTACATTTTACACACACAGCCTTTTAGTGAGAGAAATTTTTTTTTTTAAATATATATAAATTCATTTATTTAAATTAAATTTATTCAAGTTAAAAAAAAAAGTAAAACAGAGTTGCTGGTGAGGAAAAATATACAGTTACAGAGTATACAGTCTTTGAAGATGTTTTTTGGTGCATCCCTCTGCATATAAAAGTTTATCACACAACATTTTTTATCTAATCAAAACAATTGCTTTACAATCATGCTAGCCAATCAAACTATTAAATATATTGATAATAATAAAAATTCTGTTAATAAAAATTGAGCATTGAGAAGCAGTTATTAATTCCTTTTTTTTTCTTATTCTTGTTATTTATATTTTAGGTGATGGACACATTGATCCATATTCTCTAACTCAAGCATTGGCAATAGGTGCACGAAAAAACGGAGGAGAAATATACCTAAATACTCCTGTTACTAACCTACGCCAGAATACCAATGGATTTTGGAATATTGAAACACCTAATGGTGTCATTAAAGCCAAAAAAATTGTTAATGCTGCAGGTTTCTTATTTCTTTCTTGATTTTCTTGTTTTTTGATTTTTTTTAGTATAAAGTTAAGTTCATGCTTCTCTATTAAGAATTTTATATGAATAATACTCCAACCTGTTAAATATTGCTCTTTTTGTTATATCCTACTATAAAAAAGGCTTAATAAATAACCAATCAATTATTTAATTAATTTTTGGCTTTATCTGTGAACTCAATTGAATTGTCTTTTATGAAGTGGCATTTGAGTTTGGTCAAGTGAGATAAGATTATCAAAGTTATTTTCAGAGAGACCTTTAAAAATGTGTAAAAGTATTTCTAAATATGATTTTCAAATGACAGTTATAAGGGAGATTAAGTTAAGGGAGATCAAAAAAATAAAACTGGATAAATTTTAACAAAGTTTCAAAATTTTGTATTGCAGTAGTAGTTTTTGAACAAAAGCATTTCTTTTTTCTTAGTTAAAAGTACCTCATTAATTAATAACTTTATTTCCTTTTGTTAAGATGAAAATTATTTTTAATAAAATTTTTTTTGAGCATTTGCAGTATAATTATGAACAAAGAGGTTTTTAATTTATTTTTCATAAACAGGTTTTTGGGGTCGTGAAATAGGAAAGATGGTAGGTATTGAACATCCATTAATACCAATTCATCACCAGTATGTTGTTACAAATACTATTCCTGAAGTAGCTGAGCTGAAGTTTGAAATTCCTGTTTTCAGAGATTTAGAAAATTCTTATTACTTGAGACAAGAGAAAAATGGTTTGCTTATTGGTCCTTATGAAAGTGCTAAAGTTATGAAAGTTCAGTCAGATTGGTACTGTTTTTGTTATTTATAATTTTTATATTTATCATATATATGATTTATTTAACTATTAAAATATAAAAATATGTTTAAAAAGTTTTTATTTTCAGATTTATTTTATAAGGAAAAATTTTCATTTTAATCATTTTAATTTAAGGTGGGATGGAGTCACACCTGGATTTGGAAAAGAGTTATTTAGCAGTGACTTAGAAAGAATAATGCCTCATTTGCAAGCATCAATGGAACGGTTTCCTTGTATTGCAACTGCTGATATTGTTAGTGTGGTTGCTGGTCCTATAACATACACACCAGATATACTTCCGATGGTTGGACCATTCCCTGAAATTCAAAACTATTGGTGTGCACTTGGATTTGGTTATGGAATTGTTCACGCCGGTAAATTATTTGTTTGCTGTTTTAATTAACTTCTGACTCAACCTAAATGCACAATGTTTCATGCAACAAATGCCAACTGCAACAATGTCTCATGCAACAATGTTTTTCAGTCAATAAAGTGATTTAAATCATTTCTTTGATATGCCTCTATAAGATCCAGTCTTTTTTGATTTACATATTTGACTCTTTTTTAAATTTATTTTGTCTCTTGTTAAAACCTCTACAAGATCCAGAAGACTATTATAGATGAGAAGGCTACTCTTTTCTTTAAGGTCATTAGTTATTTTTCATTTATAAACCTTTTTCAACATTTTTCTGATGTGGGCCTAACATTTGTGATATTTATTGTCACAAACGTTGTTCAACGAATCACAATTCGTTAAACATCGGTACCAAAGTTAACAAATAGTACTATTTGTTTAACAAATTTATTTTTTTCATAAAACAAATGTTTGTTAAATGAAGTTTAATGAATAGTAATATTTGTTTAACAAATAGTAATAAAAGTTTTTTTAAATGTTTAAAAAAAAATAAAAATACTAATAATTTATTTTAAATTATGTGACCTAGATAATTTGTCTACAAAAACTAATTCAGAACAAACTTAGAAAAATAGAAGTTGTTTGATACAATTTTAAATTTCTACTTTGAATATATAAATATTATATTATGTATAATTATCTATAATAAAATACTAATAAGTCAAAAAATTAACAAATGAATAATAATAATCTCTATATATTATTGTTGAACTTAATAGTAGTAGTGTTAGTGTCCATTTGAGCGTGTTTGACACAGAACCCTTGGCAGCCATTGCAACCAAGATAATGGCGAGAAAGCATTGCAGTACATTTTTTTGTAAGTAAACGTGAGCGAAATTGTATGAAAATATCTTATGTAAACTTCAAATTAAGTAATGTTAAACCATACTAAATGTTTGTCAAGTTTTACAGTTTGACTTTCACTTGAAAACTGCATTGTGTCAAACTCTCTTTAATTTTGATCTATAGAATTTATTTCCGTTAAAAAAAAATTATTATATAGTTTTAAAAATTTCATGTAACCATGTACCACCGTGGCTAAGTGGATAGCGCACTGAGCTTCTGAACAAGTAACCCGTGGTTTGAGTCCCACCGCTGGCAACTTTTTAAATTTTTTTCAGTTATTTTAAAATACAAAATACTTTTGAAGTTTTATAGAGGTTATATTCAAACATATTTAACAATGTTATACACTTTAACAAAAAGATTTTAAAAAAGCTAAAATTTCTAAAAACATCAAACACCGCGAAAAAATTTGTTGCGTATGTCATAATTGAGATATTTAAGTTATTAATGTGCTCAGGTAATTAGTCCTTATAAGCTGCAGATGGTCTGAAAAAAATGTTGCCTGAAACTTAATAAAGAAAAAACTTAAAAAGACAGTCCTACTACTCTAGAAAGTCCTGCTGTGGAGGCAAAAAAAAAAAGCCTACAAGTAGAAAAAAATTTTAAACTTACATTTTTTTTTTTACTATAAATATACGCTGCAGTTGTTTTTCAAAATGCCTTAATATGCTTATTACGTATTAATTAAAAAAAAAATTATTAGGAGAAACTCTTTGTAAAACGTTTTTTAAAACAAATAATTTTTATGAATTTTTTCAGAGCTCATTAAAAATATATATTCAATAACGTTTGTAGATATCTAAACTAGCTTATTTTGTAAAAAAGTCAAAATTGATTTTTTTTTACCTAAAGGCGTTCTGAAAAACGGCTACAGTATGGATGATACAATGAATATTTTGAAATGAGATAATTTGACGCAAAATTTAAAAGCTCTTAACAAAAGCCACTAAACCAAAAAAACATATAAATTGTTATTTAAAATAAAACTAATTTTTTTTTAACTTAGTTGTATAGGCAGGTTTGGCGCTTAACCATCCCTATATAAACAATATATATAAAGAAGCATGTTATTTGTTTATGTCTATTGTATATAAAATGTAAAAAATCCACTTATATAATGTTTTATTCAGGATCATATGGAATAAAAGTAAACTTTTCTAATTACAATTACAAGTCTTTTTTGCTCAAGCTGTTTTGTTTTGATTTTTTCTGGGTATATTATTATATTTAAAAAAGCTAAAAAGATTGAAAAAACATAAAACATATTGACATCGAAGTAGAAAATTTGAAACTTCAGTTTTAGATTTGCTCCTCTTTTGATAAATTCTGATTGCTAAAATTATGTTATCTGCTTCTTAGACCTTTAAAAATGATATTTTTTTGTAAATCATTGAAACCACAATTTTTTTGCCTATGTGACGTCACTTTGTGGAAAAAAAAATAGAAAAACAAACTAGAAATAAGATTTTATTTAAATTTTTTTAAAAAACTCCTTATATTAAAGATATATGGAATATATATTTTTATTGGATATATTCTAATAAACACAAAAACTATTTATTTATTACTATTGTAATAAATACAATCTCTTATTCGTGAAATGATATATCTGTACCAGTTTTATATATTTTTATACAATTGTATGCAACATTAAAATTAATCAAAAAATGTCAGATAAATGCTAAAGTAAAGTTGATGCATTTTTTTTGTCACAAACTGACATCAATGTGCCTAAGTTTTTTGGTTTTTAGATTGCGTTTAATATTATTCTTTAGTTTTTTGGTTTTTAGATTGCGTTTAATATTATTCTTTAGTTTTTTGGTTTTTAGATTGCGTTTAATATTATTCTTTAGTTTTTTGGTTTTTAGATTGCGTTTAATATTATTCTTTAGTTTTTTGGTTTTTAGATTGCGTTTAATATTATTCTTTAGTTTTTTGGTTTTTAGATTGCGTTTAATATTATTCTTTAGTTTTTTGGTTTTTAGATTGCGTTTAATATTATTCTTTAGTTTTTTGGTTTTTAGATTGCGTTTAATATTATTCTTTAGTTTTTTGGTTTTTAGATTGCGTTTAATATTATTCTTTAGTTTTTTGGTTTTTAGATTGCGTTTAATATTATTCTTTAGTTTTTTGGTTTTTAGATTGCGTTTAATATTATTCTTTAGTTTTTTGGTTTTTAGATTGCGTTTAATATTATTCTTTAGTTTTTTGGTTTTTAGATTGCGTTTAATATTATTCTTTAGTTTTTTGGTTTTCAGATTGCGTTTAATATTATTCTTTAGTTTTTTGGTTTTTAGATTGCGTTTAATATTATTCTTTAGTTTTTTGGTTTTTAGATTGCGTTTAATATTATTCTTTAGTTTTTTGGTTTTTAGATTGCGTTTAATATTATTCTTTAGTTTTTTGGTTTTCAGATTGCGTTTAATATTATTCTTTAGTTTTTTGGTTTTTAGATTGCGTTTAATATTATTCTTTAGTTTTTTGGTTTTTAGATTGCGTTTAATATTATTCTTTAGTTTTTTGGTTTTTAGATTGCGTTTAATATTATTCTTTAGTTTTTTGGTTTTTAGATTGCGTTTAATATTATTCTTTAGTTTTTTGGTTTTTAGATTTCGTTTAATATTATTCTTTAGTTTTTTGGTTTTCAGATTGCGTTTAATATTATTCTTTAGTTTTTTGGTTTTTAGATTGCGTTTAATATTATTCTTTAGTTTTTTGGTTTTTAGATTGCGTTTAATATTATTCTTTAGTTTTTTGGTTTTTAGATTGCGTTTAATATTATTCTTTAGTTTTTTGGTTTTCAGATTGCGTTTAATATTATTCTTTAGTTTTTTGGTTTTTAGATTGCGTTTAATATTATTCTTTAGTTTTTTGGTTTTTAGATTGCGTTTAATATTATTCTTTAGTTTTTTGGTTTTTAGATTGCGTTTAATATTATTCTTTAGTTTTTTGGTTTTTAGATTGCGTTTAATATTATTCTTTAGTTTTTTGGTTTTCAGATTGCGTTTAATATTATTCTTTAGTTTTTTGGTTTTTAGATTGCGTTTAATATTATTCTTTAGTTTTTTATTATTATATTATATTATTCTTAATCATAAGAAATTCTTATGATTATGATTAAAAATCCTTTTTAAGGATTTTTATGCTTTAACATTTATGACTACGTTTTAGTGGTATAAAATCTTCTTAGTTCCATTTGTATAGTGTTACAATCTATAAGTGTAAATGTCTTTAGCATATGCTGAGATTGCAGTCATTATATGGAATAATCGCCTATAATATATCTATAAAATGAGAAAACTTTAAAATTTTATTTTAAATTTTAGAAATCTTTTTTGCTATATTATTATTTTTTGTAATAAATATATAAGCAAGATTAAAAAAGTTTCGTTTATTACGCTGAGGTCTTATAATAAGATCTTTGATGGAAAAAAATATATAAGAACACATAGTCTCATAGGACTCTCATAAGAAACACAAATTTTCTAATAAGAAACACAAATACTTCTATAATTTTTTATCTTCTTTTACTTGATTATAAGTAAAAATGGTTTAAATACCAAATATAAACCATAAGTTTAAAATATAAAATTTTGTGCAGTAAATAAGTATATCATAACATTAACTTTACAACATGTTTTATTTTACAACTTTAATTTTTTTTATATATCTCTAAGCTTCAGTAGTAGACTTTAATTTTTCAGACATAATTTTTTGGTTTCACACTCATTTTTTATAAGTGCTTTGGTTCCAGACCTACCAATTTTTTTTTTTTACAAGATACATAAATTTAGATCCTATTTTTTCTGTAAACTACATCTGTAGTTTTAGTATGTAATAATAGATTATTTTTTAATTAAAAATTTATATACAATTTTAAAATTATTTTGTTAATAATTAAATTAATTCCAGTTAAAATTTATTAAAATATAAATTTGATGTAAATTATATTTAAAGGAGGTGTTGGGAAGTTCTTAGCAGATTGGATCCAGTCTGATGAACCTCCAAAAGAACTAAGCGAGTTAGATCCTGGTCGCTATGGAAAATGGACAACTAAAGAATATGTACTTGAAAAAGCAAGAGAAAGTTACGGACTTAATACATTGCAATACTATCCTAAAGAAGAACGAACAGGAGGAAGACCTATGCGTGTATCTCCGCTGTATGAAGTAAGTAAAAAATAAGTTGTATTTCTTTTTAGGAGGGAGATCTATGCATTTCGGTTGTATAAAGTAAATAAATTTGTATTCTTATTTAACATCATAAAAATAAAAGATATTTAAATAAGTTAATTTCTAGATTCTCAAAGAAAATGGTGCTCAGTACACTTTTTCTAGTGGTTGGGAAGTTCCAAAGTGGTATGCCCAAAAAGGCGATGATACCTCTTATAAACCAAGTTACTATCGTACAAATTGGTTTGAACCAGTACGACGTGAAGTTCAAAATGTTTTAAATAACGTTAGTATTGCAGATATTTCAGCATTTGCAAAGTTTCATATTACTGGGAAAGATGCTTCAAAGTTTTTAAACTATATGGTTGCCAATAAACTGCCTTCTGTAAGTCAAATTAAATATTATCTATCTTACTTCATTTTTATGTTTTATAAAAATTTTTTTAGATAATGCTTAAATTTAGATTGGAAGAACAAATGTAAGTCACATGCTTTCATCTACAGGAAAAGTTTATGCTGAAGTCACTGTTTCTGCATTAGCTCCTAACCATTATCTTGTAATTACAGGTGGTGGCTCAGAATATCACGATCTTAGGTTTTTATTAATTTATTATTACATTTTTTTGATTGTCACAGTTTTTGATTTTTTTGGTTGTCTTATTTAATAAGTTATAATAGATTTTAACAAATAATTTTTTTGTGGTTAAATAGAATTATTAATAAAGAAAACTTTTTTTTAGCTTAACGCTTTCTATAATTTAATGTTAACTGTTAATAAATAATAAATTGGTTTAATATAAAATAGATGGCTCATAGATCATGCACGAAAGTATGATGTTCAAATAGATAATAAAACAGATCAAGTTTCTGCTATTTCAATAAATGGACCACGTTCACGTGTTCTTTTACAAAAACTAACCTCTACTGATGTTTCTGATAAAGCATTTAGCTTCATGCAAAACAAAGAACTTGATATTGGTGGAATACCTGTATTAGCTCTTAGAGTGTCTTACACTGGTAATTGAATGCGTTTTTTTAAAAATATTTTTGCTAAATTTTATTTTTTATTGCCATGAATTTAAACTTGAAATTTTTTTGTAATAGGGGAACTGGGTTGGGAATTTTACGTTGAAAACTCAAAAGCTCTGGATTTATACATAAAGCTGCTTACAGCTGGTCAGGAATTAAATATTGGCCATGTTGGAGCATACGCAATAAATTCTATGCGAATTGAAAAAGGTTTTAGGTTGTGGGGATCAGAGGTAATTATTTTTTGTTGTCTCATGTGTTTTAGCACAATGATTATTTTAAAATCTGTCTTTATATATTAATATAAAAATCTGTGTTTATATATTAATATGAAAGCTAAGTAAATATCACAAGCAAAAACTTGACAATAAATCAATTTTTGATTTCTTGAAAACCTATCTATTTAAAATTTATTTATAGATGAACATGGACGTTGGACCTTATGAGGCTGGCTTAGATTTTTTTATTAAGTTAGATAAGGTAAATTTTAAATAATTAACTTTTTTTAAAGCTGTTTCAATTGTCAATTTCACTTTACATTAGATAAGCTTCAAGGTTAAATTTAATCTTGGTCAACCTACCTTATCCAAAATACTACGAAATGATATTTTTTGACTAAGATTATTTAATAATAGAGTTTTAATTATCTAATTATTAAAATATTAGATTATATGTTTTGTGATAATTTTCATTTTCAAGGGCGATTTTCTTGGTCGTGATGCATTGATTTCACATAAAAGAACTATCCAAAAAAAACGCTTAGTTTGTATGATTGTTCAAACAGATAACATTGATCCAGAAGGAGACCAGGCTATTTGGTTAGGCGACGAGGTATAGTATAATACTATTTTTTTAAGTATTAATTTCATTCTATTTCCTTTATTTTGTTGTTATTCGAAGTTTTCATAAAACTAGGTAATTGGAAACACTACATCTGGCTGTTACGGTTACACTGTTGAAAAAAGTATTGCTTACGGCTACTTACCATACTATATAAGTGAACCGGGAAATGAAGTCTATATTGAAATGTTAGGAAAAAAGTATCCTGCTACTGTAGTAACTGAACCTCTTGTTCAAATGGAAGCTGCTCGCGCGCGGAAGGCAAAAGTCTCGATTGCTGACACTGCAATGGTGTTTATATAATGTTTTCTGTTTTTCGATTATAGTTAGCTTTTAGAATTTTTTAGTGAGGATAACTTTTTTACAAGCGTTTTTTTTAATTAGAGTTTTTATATAATGTATTAGTTTTTGTATGTTAGTTGTTGTTGTTGTTTTTGTTGTTTTTTTGAATAATAAACTAAGCTAACGGGCTCGTACTCAATAGTTTGTTATTTTCAGGTATAATTTTCCCATCAGAAACTTTTATATAACTGAAATAGTGCAACGGATTAGAATGACAATTGTGCAAAAGTGGGTAAAAGCATGAAACTTACGTGTTGGAAATAATAATATAATTCATTTAAGATATATACAGTTTAACTAAAGAGGTATATTATACGAGCTAGAGTCTTGTTGACATAAAACGTATTAACTACGTATTAATACGTGTTTCTACTTGTTTTAAACGTCTTAAAAACGCCTTCTGCCCAAAAAAAAAAAGTTTTAATAAACAATTTGCTCGAGAATTGCACGAGAAGGTATGTATCATACGAAGTGATCTGTACAACAAAAAACGTGCAAAAACAACAAAACAAAGACGCATCCATGCTGAAATCTACCAAGATTTTTCTAGTTCAAAACTTCGTAAAGCTAAGTTTATTGTTTTCATGATCGTGGAGTCTTTAACATTGCCCGTTCCCTTATGGTATACATGATGTTGTTCGTGTCTAGCTCACACCGTTGCCTATAAGAAAGTTTTTTATTTTTCTTCTTATAAACTGAGTACCACCATGAGAGTGCAGACAGAGGTGCCAAAGAGAGAAAATATTTCTAAAAAATATTTTATTATTGTATCAGAGGTGATTTGGGAGCAAGTGAATGCAAATGGGTATCTGGAGTACTCATCAACTATGTCTAAAAGGTAAATACCTTTCGCTGTTTTTGAGGGAAGAGGTCCAACAAAATCCATAGCAAGTCTTTCCCATGGTCTAGTAGAGGAGATAAGTTGAACAGGCGGGAGTTGAAAAAATTTTAGTTTGAGTTCATAGCATACCTGACAGTCAAAAATTGTCTCTTATTTCACCGATAGTTTAGGTTAGATTCCGTGTCTTGTAGTAGTTGCTCAATCGTGTTACTCCTGGGTGGCATAGTTTGATATGTAATTGTCTAAGATTGGTATTTATGGCAAGACATCTAGAGAGTGCATCTGCTGCAATATTTTCTGGTCCAGATCTATATGAAATATTGAACTGATATTCAGATGGTTCTAAGCTCCATCTTGTAAGTTTGTCACTTTTTATTTTGTAAATTTGTCCTGCATTAAAAAGAAAGAAAACAATTTTTTGATCTGTTGAAATATCAATTTTGGAACAGAAAACAGTAGATGCCTCCATCGATGACAACATTCAACAATAGCCATTGCTTCTCGTTTAATGACAGACTGGTGACTTTCAGGCCTCGCTAGGACTCTGGTGAAGAATGCAATAGGTCTTTCTTCTTAACTTTTAATTAATTTTTTTAAAACAAATAAGTTATCCCTAAACATAGAAAAAACAAAATACAATTTATTTCATTCAAACCAACAAAGAAACACACTACCAAATACTCTACCCTCTCTAAAAATAGAAAATATAGTAATTGAGAGAACTCACGAAACTATAATTGATGAAAATTTATCTTGGAAAGTTCACATAAACGCTTTAAACACTAAAATATCAAAAAACATAGGTCTACTTTATAAAGCAAAACCTATGCTGTCGCAAAGTAATTTAAAATTTATATATTTCTCTTTTATACATAGCTACCTCATATATGCGAATATAGCTTGGGCGAGTACGCATATAACCAAATTGAAAACTTTATATCGACGTCAAAAACATGCTGTAAGACTAATCTACCATAAAGACAAATTTACACACGCTGAACCCTTATTTAAAGAAATGAATGTGCTTAATATTTATCAAATTAACATTTACCAAAATATATTGTTTATGCTAAAATTTAAATTAGGTCAAGTACCAAACCATTTTTTAAATAACTTTTTTATAAATAACGTTAATAAATATAACACAAAAGAAAAAGGAAACTTTATTACACCTTTCAAAAAAACAAAACTTTCCCAGTTCTCAATTTCATATCAAGTTCCTTATTTATACAACAAACTAGTAACTAAAAATAAATCAGTTTGCAATCTAGATAATCAAAATTCCTTGAAAAAAAAGTTAAAAAATCTGATACTGAATCTAAACAGATACTCAGAATTCTTCTAAGACTATAAATTAAAATACATATATATCAACTACAAAATGAACTGACTCGTTTATGTGTATTATCTAAATGACTCTTACCTTTCTCAAACAATACATAAAAAATTGTTTATTACACACAAAAAAAAACACTTGATTTTTTCTTATCAATTTTAGTTATTATCCTGCTTGTTATGTCTAATATTTTATACTGAGCTTATTTTGAGTTTATCTTTTATTATGAGCTTAATTTAAAGAATATAAAAATATAGTTGTACTTAATATATAATTTTATTTAACATAATGATAATATATATCAAACACATTGTAAGGGCTTCGTGATAAGATTCTTGAAGTCCGGCCTGTACTATTTAATTATAAATTTCACTATATATTTTGACTCACGAGACTTGTAAATATTAAAACTTTTAATTTACGAAACTTGTAAATGTTATATGTACGGGAAATATATGAATACTTAGTATTCCACCAATAGCAGTTTAAGTGGCGTCAGTTTCGATTTTAAGTGGAATATTTGGGTAAGGTGTCGCTAAAGAAGCGGTGGTTAGTTAGTCTTTTAGTTGTTTAATAGCAGAGATAGCTTCCTCTGAAAGAGGGATATTTTTGCATATTGAGTTTGTGACTCAAAAAGCAAAAATACTTTCCTATCAAAGGAAGGTATCTCTGCTATTAAACAACTAAAGACCAAGTTAGAATGGTAGTTAGGTTATTGCAGTTAGGGATCCATTTAGCAAAGAAGCCTATCAAGCTGTTTAATGTTAGTTGGAATAGGATAATGTTGTAAGGCTTGGAATCTTTCAGGATCTGATTTCAACATTCTGTTTTCTATTAGGTGTCCAAAAAAACAGAGTGACGTTTGAAAAAACTTACTTTTTTTATTATTACTTTTCATTCCAAAATTGTTTGCTGCTATTTTAAATCCTGAGAGATTTTTGTAACAAAATTCCTCTCACTTAGATCCACAGGGATCTAAGTGATTTTTTTTCAGGGATCTAAGGGATTTTTTTTCAAGTTTTTTGTAGTTTGTAGTTTGATGCAAAATCTTAGCCTCTATAAATCAGGTAGAGAAAAAGTTTTTTCTTCAACTGCTAGTTCCGTAGTTGTTGCTGTAAGTAAAAGTTTTTCTAGTGAGTCATTAGATGATTCTAAGAGACGTTAACGAATCATTGGAGATAAAAGGTCAGGTACAAATGCATCACTAATTAACATTTCTTTATGTTCATTTGCGTTTAATGGCTTTATGAGGCATTTTCTTGACTTTGTAACATTTGTGTTTATTTTTTCTTTTTAGTTATTAACTTACATTGAAGAAAGTAGTTAGGCATAAGTATTAGACCCATCTTCAAAGTAGCTAAACTATATGTTGATTGCTTGTCCCTGCTAACTGAAAATATGTTACATATAACAACTTAGCGTAAGCATAGTTGAAAGAAAGTTGAAATAAGGTTGAAAGAAAAACCCATTTTCCTAACATGCGTACGCAACAGGATGTTCGAGATTTTTTAACGATAGTTTTTAATAATGGCATTTGCCCAACAGTTCTTAAAGTGTAAAACCCCGCAAAAATATTTAAAAAATTATTATAAAATCTTTTTATCAAAATACCAAATATATTCTGAGAAACAACTGATACTGTCCAATACCAACCAATCATACCTCATTTACCAATACTTGCTTTAAAATCATTTAATTTAGGTCTAAAAATTTATTATTTATAAAGTTTACATAAAAAGTTAATATTAGATAAGTATTAGATACAGTAAAAAGTGAATCAAATTTGATGATACTTGTGCGATTGATTGATGAAACTTGCACTTCAAGCCGATTGCTTTAGCACTTTGGAAAAAATGTTTTCCATATAAAATAATTTCACTAACAAAATATTCTTGTAGTACATTTGTATTACGAATCAAATAGCTGTTTTATTTTAACTGTACATCAAGTGGACTTTCTCCTTGCATTTATAACGGGGACCGAGAAGGACATTGGAGAAAGAGAATGTGCAAGAAACGCAAAAAAAAAAAGTTCAGGTGTGATAAATATTTTTAGTTGAAATTTTTTGAAAAAGTGTATTAATCTACTATAGATCTTAGCTCCAATCGGTTGTGGCACGTATTAATTTAATATAATTGTCAAATTACAACATTTCTATCAATTTTCACAAAAAGTATTAGAATTTACGACCAAGAAAGCGTTTATAATTTAAAAAAGTTGTTAATAAACGATCAGAACAGATCATAATAAACTACAACGATCATTTTACCTAAAAAGAGTATTTATTTAAAATCTGATTCAAATTTGAACAAGTGATCGTGATTTTAAGATTATTTTTTTTTTTTTTAAAAAAAAGGAATTTTCGATCTGGGTTTTTTCCCTACAAACATTTTTAATTTATGTTATGACAAAGTTTATCATTTTAATTTTTTTCGTCTTTTCATGATTCACAGACCTGATCAATTTACGGAAATATATTGCAGTCAGTAAAATATTATACAGACGCTATAATTATTAAAAATTAATAATTATAGCCTTAACTACACCGAGTCTGAACAAAAAGTGAATAGAAGTAAAAGTGATTGCTACATGCAACACTCTTATTTTAAACTTCTTCCAATGCATGATAGAAGGTAAAAAAAAAAAAATTAAATTCATGCAACCTATCGAAGAATTGCATGCCAATATCATGTCATTTTTACATTTATACAATGTAACCGAATGAGTTTATATTATGATTACATATTTGTAAAATTTTGATAGAAGAACAAAAAAAAAAAAATGTCAATAATAAAAAAATCGTTCCAGTAATGGAACTTGAAAGAACAAAGAGAGACATTAAAACTTTGATTGAGCAGAATATTTCTCGATGTTTTCCGAAATTTGTACTACGATAAAAAAAAATCGATGTTTTTTTTACTATTAAAAGCTATTGAAATTTTTGAAAAGATCTTCAAGATCTTCTTTCATTTTTATATGTTTAAATTGTTATATAACGATTAATAATTGAAAAAAGCATATATAATTAATCATCTGTAAATTATGAAATATATAAATTGTTTTGTATGGATAACGGTAGTATTTAGATAATTAAGGATAATGGTAGTAACCAACGGGTCGGTACCCGTGTACCGGTTGACAGACCTAGTCCTAAATAAAGTAATATTTATCATAATATATTTTACTATAATTTATGTAAAGTGCAGAATCAAAAAACGTAAATGTGACAATTCTCCTTAATTTAACTTAAGACCTAATCCAATTTCACATTGAAAGCAAACTATTTCTAATAGAGTCTAGTAAAACAAAATAATGCATTTGGTAATTTGTATAAACCAGAGGTTATCAATCTTTTAAGACGGAAGGGCCATATTCTACAATTTATAGAAATTTTCCAGTTTTTAAAGAGTTTTTAACATCTTGTTTTTAATATTATAAATAGTATTTGTACATTTAGCTGGAGAGCCACATTTTTACATCGATATTTTAACATTAAATTTGGCTTGCAATCATCAGGTTGCCGACCCCTGGTATAAACATTTAAATAATATAATGTAGACTATGTACTTACATAAATCTTTATTTGTTTTCACAGCAAACTAACAAATAAAAACTTTGAAAAAATAATAGTGTTATGAAAAAAACATCTTGTGTGTGCTTATTTTGTTCTGTATGTGTGTGGGATATTTTTAAAGCATAACGCTGTTTACAAAAAACAGAAATATAGTTAGTGTTATTAAAATACTGAAGCTTAAGTGAGTGTGTAACACAAGACTAAAAAGTCTAACTTTTTTTTTAAGTAACTAAATTTATTAAAAAAAGTAACGTTAACAACGTCAACTTTATTTGACCTTGCCCCCCTCCCCCCTTCCCGTATCAAAAATTGTCAAAAATTTCCAGACCCAATTCTCCTCTTATTTTGTTAACGTATTTAATGGACAGCACGTTTTTAATAAATTTTTTTTTGGAGAACGATCTTTCTCCAAAGGCTACAGACACAGTTAACAATATTCTTAATGTTTCACAACTATTTATGATGAAACACGATGAGTGTTTATCACTCATCGTGTTTCATTATGATGAAACACGATGAGTGATGAGATTTTTATGATTAATATTATAATTATATATTTTCAACATATATAATTATATTAATATTATAATTATATATGTTTTTTATGATTAATATTATAATTCTATCTTTATATATATATATATATATATATATATATATATATATATATATATATATATATATATATATATATATATATATATATATATGTATATATATATATATATATATATATATATATATATATATATATATATATATATATATATATATATATATATATATATATATATATATATAATGTATATATTTAATAATGACCATTTTTTTTGAAGTTTTGCATTTATGTGGAATAGGGTGGTTCAAAAAAAAACTTTTTTAAAAACTATATAATACAAAATAGCTAGGTTTAAAATTTTTTTGAGTTAAAAATATTTTTAGGGGTGGCTCAAGACCATTAAAAAGTTGACGGGAACAAAAAAGCCCGAAAATTTGCCGACACTGCAGTGTCGGCCAAATTTTTAGGGTTTTTTTGTTCCCAAGCTCCAATCATCGTAATATATTGCAAAGCATCCTTATTTAACATAAGTACAATTATATAAATGTTTGAGGTTTGCTCCATGTCTGGAAGTTAGCTATCTCAAAGATCAATTGATGCTGGCGCCGCCACTGGTTTCGCTTCTTTTGAGAAGAAAAACATACTTTAGAAAAACTTTTTTTCAGTACTGACTTAAACGTAAGAGCAACATGTTGATGAAATAGTTTTTGTACTATTTTCAACTAGACTTATATTTATTGATATACTTTAATTTTCATAGTATTATCTCTCAGCGTTCAAAAATTATGACCATGTAAAGTTTAAACCCCCCTTTGAGGGAGTTGCAAACTTTATATGGTCATAATTTTTGAATGCTGAGAGATAATACTATGAAACTTAAAATTTATCGATAAATATAAGTCTAGTTGAAAATAGTACAAAACTATTTCATCAACTTTTTGCTCCCACGTTTGGGGCAGTGTCGGCTAAATTTTTAGAGCTTTTTTGTTCCCAAGCTCCAATCATCGTAATTTTTTGCAAAGCATCCTTATTTTACATAAGTATAAACTTATAAATGTTTGGAGTTTGCTCCATGTCTAGAAGTTAGCTATCTCAAAGACCAAAAAATGCTGGCGCCGCCAATGAGCGAAACTATATAAAAACTTCAAAAATAGTAATCAATTTACATAAACATATTTTTTTCAGAAATAGTTGCATAAAAACAATTGTTTTTAAGATGAAAATTAAAAAAGTCAACATTTTCAAGTTTTTTTAAAATAATTTTTTTAAACATGTGTTTTACGTAAATTTAAAAAAGTTATTTTTTGAACCACCCTAATGTGGAGTGGATTCTTGTTTTTAATTTAATATTTAAAAAAATTTATATTTAAATATGCTATTTATATCTTTTGTAGATCATAAAGTTTCTTTAATACTTTTTTAAATCTAAATTTAAACAATTTAAGAATGTGATTCATTTTTCTGTAGTTGTTTATTTTTTCAAAATTCAATAGTTTTTAAGCCAAAAACCTTTGTTTAATGCAAATATTTAATTAAGCTTCACACTTGGGAAATAAATCTAATAATAACAACAAGCACAATAACAATTATAAAAAGTTTACCTTACTAGGTCATAAAAAACTGGTTTAACTTGTCTTGCAACTAAAGTTGTATATAAATCAAATTAATTCAACTCTCTGCTCTTCGTCCACTTTTTATCTTATCCACTTTTTATTCTCGTGCAACAAAGAATTTTAGCAAATGGCAAAGGTATGTTAAAAATGTTAAAAACTTTTTTAGCACTATTAATTAACAATAAGTTATTTAGTTTCAAGCAAATTATGTATTTTAATATTTTCAAAACAAGATTGAAACATAATATTGAAAAATTTAAATTTCTAAAAACTTAAAACACATTTTTTAAAGCGTGGATTATTAGAGCGCCTAAAAGCTGGCGAAGTTGTTATTGGCGATGGTGGGTTTGTGTTTGAACTTGAAAAACGTGGTTACGTTAAAGCAGGACCTTGGACGCCTGAAGCTGTCGTTGAAGCTCCCGAAGCAGGTATGTTTTAATAAATCAGCTTTTCAATTATTTTTGCTTACATCGTATAAATAAAAAGTTCCAAAACTTAAACTAGTCAAAAATACATTGTGCAAAAGAAACGCTGTTATTAAAATAATTTTTACAGCAAATGAAAGTGTTAAGAAATTTTTACTTTTAGTAAAACAACTCCATCGTGAATTTTTACGAGCGGGATCAAACGTCATGCAAACATTTACATTTTATGCAAGTGAAGATAAATTAGACAACAGAGGAAACGAGGCTGCCACCAAATATGGTGTATGCTTATTTTTTTTATAAGTAAAATTCTTAATTGGAGCATCTAAAATTTGTATTTTTAAAAAAACCGAAACAAAATGATAAATTAGGCTGTTTTTTTAGGTTACCAACATTAACAAAGAAGCATGCAGAATTGCTCGTGAAGTTGCTGATGAAGGCGATGCGTTAGTTGCAGGAGGTGTTTGCCAAACACCCGCATATTTGTCTTCAAAAGGAAAAGATGCAGTTCAGGCTGTTTTGAGAAAACAAATTGAATGCTTTGTTGAAATGAAGGTTGACTTTATGATTTGCGAGGTAAAAATATAATATTTTTAACAAAAATGTTATAAGTCAAATTCAATTTTATAGTAATACAGTTGTTTTAAACTTTTTTTTTTTTTTATTAAAAAAAAGTACTTTGAACACATAGAAGAAATGGAATGGGCTATTGAGACATGCAAAGAAGCAAAAATGCCAATTTGTTCAACAATGTGTATTGGACCTGAAGGAGACATGCACGGAATATCAGCTGCCGAATGTGCAGTTCGTATGGCAAAAGCCGGTGCTGACGTTGTCGGTGTAAACTGCCACTTTGGTCCATATGAAATTATTGAAACTATGAAACGCATGAAGCAAGGACTTGACGATGCTGGATTGAATGTTTTCCTGATGTCTCAACCATTGGCTTACGTTACACCTGATGCTAAAAAACAAGGGTTTATTGATTTGCCCGAGTTTCCTTTTGGTAATGCTCAAGTAACAATTTAAGACGATTTATAACGAAACTTAAATGTTTTTGTTTTGTTAAATAAAAATTTTCTGTTTAGCACTTGAACCACGTATTTGCACTCGTTGGGACATACAAAAATATGCTCGAGAAGCTTACAAACTAGGTGTTCGATATATTGGTGGATGTTGTGGATTTCAGCCATACCATATTCGTGCCATCACAGAAGAGGTTTTTAAAACCACTTATATTATTATACTTTTTTACAGTGGTGTTAAACTATGTAATAGTACGATAGTTGACTATGTAATTAAACTATGTAATAGTACGATAGTTGAACACTTTATATTATAGCTTGAGCCAGAACGTGGAGTAAAATGCAAGGGTTCAGTCAAACACGGTCCATGGGGTCAAGAACTTGCCCTTCATACCAAGCCATGGGTGCGAAAACGGTAAGTTTAAATATTTTTATGAAAAAATAAAAATTGTAATCAAAAATAGATAGAATTAAATTTTGGGTTTTTTATTTTTAGAGCAAACCGAAAATACTGGGAAAATCTTAAACCAGCCAGTGGACGACCTTTCTGTCCTTCTTGCTCCGTACCGGATGAATGGGGCGTGACTGCAGGAGACGAGCTTCTTAAGCAACATAAAGAGGCTACCACTAAAGAAGAACTTGAGGAGTTAGCTAAAAAAGAATAAATAAATTAAAAAAAAAAAAGCATATTATAAAATTACATGCAAGTTTTAATTTCAACTCTCGTTTCATTCTCTAATGTGAAGTGATATGTTAACTAATGTGTAAACTAAGTACTACGTTACAAAAATCTGCAGATAACTGCATAAATCAAACAAATAAGCATAAAATTTGATTAACAATGTAGGTGTTAGCTTTGCCTAAAAAAAAATGAATAGCTAAACAAGTAAAGCATAGACAGTATTAGTGAGTTGTGATATTAGCATATAACTACTACCCTATCCAGTGCCTTGGTTCGAGACCCTATCCCTAAAGCCCGTCATTAGGGCCTCAAAATCTTAAAAAGTTTTCGATTAGGTAATACTTTAAAAAAAAAGCTCCTTAAATTAGCAAAAAAGCCCCTAAATTGTAAACGTGCTCCTCTAATTGAGGAGTGCGTAGGAGCCTAGCCACCTCTCTGAACCTATTACAACTCACTCATACACCGGTGCTGACGTTGTTGCGACTGTCTATGTTTTTACTTTATTTTAGCTATTCATATTTTGTAGGCAAAGTTACTACCGGCATTATTAGTTTTAAAATCTCTATATACCTGGTGGAAACACGGGTTTTATGTTGGGAGTAAATCATTAGGTATATGATTTTTTTTTTTAAACATCTTCGCTTCCAACAAGGCTGCAAGCAACCACTAATTAGTGTTGGAAGTTACTGGAAGAGGAAAGATGAAGATTGTAGAGCAAGATAACGATTGACAGACAACTTAAAAGATTGCAAATTATATGAATCAGGAAAGCAAGATGAAGGAAGCGAATTCCAAAGAACTGATGTTCGAGGAAAAAAACCAGACGAGTAAGAGGTTTTAGAGCACTTAGGAATAGTAACAGAAAAAGGATGAGACTTGATTGAATAACGAGTAAGACGAGAATGAATTTTAGTAGATGGCACAAGAGACGCCAGCTCTTTAGAGCAGTGCCCATTATAGTATTTGTAGAAAAGAGAAAGAGAAGCAACATTACGGCGGAATGATAATGGTTGAAAGTTGGCTGCAAGAATAGGTCCAACTATGTTTACAATGCGTTTTTGCACCTTGTCTAAAAGAGAAAGGGCATCATTAGAAGATCCGCCCCAGATATGGCAGCAGTAGTCCATACAAGGCCGGATTTGAGATTTATAGAGATAGAGAATAGAATCCAGAGTAAGAATGTGTCGAGCTCGGTAAAGAGAAGCAACTTTAGCAGATGCTAATTTTGCAACGGGTTTGATATAAGGTTTCCAAGAAAGATCAGAAGTAACAGTTAATCCTAGAAGATGAAGGGTAGGAGACTCATCGAGCACATTACCATTCATGAATATAGGAAGGTCTAAATTATTGTGATAATGATTGGCTGAAAAAAATTGAGTTTTATTTGAATTAAAGTTCACCAGCCACATGCTGTAGCAGAAGTGAGATCCTTTTCAAGCTCAGATGCCCCCTACAAGCAATTAGAGGGAGTTGGCTTCTTATCGTGACGAGAATAAATGGTATATCATAGCGAACAACGCCACCTTGATGTGAGAATATCTGGAAGATCATTAATGTAAATTAAAAAAAGTATAGGGCCAAGGATTGAACCTTGAGGAACCCCTGAGGTTACAGAATAAGAAGAAGAGTGCTGTCCATCAAGGACAACTTTTATACTACGATTGGAAAGGAAGGATTCAATAATTTTAAAGATGTTTCCAGATACACCGTATGAAGAAAGCTTATGGAGAAGATCAGCATGGCAAACTTTATCAAACGCTTTAGAAATGTCAAGAGCGATGGCCTTAACCTCTCCACCTTTATCTAATGCGCGATAAAACCTATCGGTTATTACTGATAGCAAATCAGCCGTAGAACGAGAAGATTGAAATCCATATTGATGATCAGAAAGTAGGTTATGAGATTCGAGATTCGAGATTAAGTGTTTGTTAATTAAAGATTCAAAAACCTAGCTTATGATAGGAAAAAGACTAATGGGACGGTAGTTAGACGAATCGGATCGCTCTCCAGAATTTTTAAAAATAGAGATAACAGATGCTGCTTTCCAGCAGGCTGGAAAACAAGACTCTGATAAGCACTTGTTAAATAGTTTTGAAAGGATAGACGACAGCTACGGAAAACACTTCTGCAAGACTATAACGGGTATGTTTTCCGGGCCGCAAGCTGTAGAAGAGTCTAAGCAGGAAATCACCTTAGATACAGAAGCTGGAGTGATACGGATGTCGAGCAACATATCAAGTCTGAACCATACAAAAGAGGTGGAATTACAGACTTGCCCTTATTATTGATACTATTAAAGATTCTCCAGAAGTCACGAGAGCCTAATTTTTGTGATGAAATACGAGATTTCATGATCTAAGAATAGCGGATTTATTCCGGATAATTGGCGTTAGACAAAACCTTTTTACAATGGTTCCTAGCAGTAATAAACAGACGTCTGTTTTCTGGAGAATGTTTTGCTGATAGATATGGAAGTAATGGTTTCGATTGGCAATTGCAGCAGCACAATGTGAGGAAAACCATGGAGAAGAGTGAGGCTTGACCTGGAATCGTCGAGCGGGAATAAAGGATTCCATTCCTGCCTGAATCCACAAAGTTATGTAAGAAGCACATTTGTCAACAGGAAGACGAAAGATTTCTACCCAGGGGCCGCCACGAAGAAAATCACGGAAAGAGTCCCAGTCAGCTTTAAGGTAGTTGTAAGATGTACGATGATAGGGGGATTCTGATGGTAAAGAAGAATGAGAAAATAGTTTTAGTGAGACCAAACATGATCAGAAGCACCTTAGGGTGAGTGTGAAGAAACTGAGCACTGACTAGGATCAGAAACAAGACATAAGTCGAGTAGAGAAGGTAAATGATTCGGGTTGTTTAGAAAGCGAGTTGGAAAGTTGACTATTTGAGTTAGGGATTGAGAAAGACAAAAGTTGTGGGCCTTAACGCCTGCAGAGTCACTGACACTAGAGCCAATATATATATATATATATATATATATATATATATATATATATATATATATATATATATATATATATATATATATATATATATATTGTATTTATTTTATATATTAGATAGAACATTTTATTTATTACATTTGTAGATTGAACAAGATAATACTGAGGGGACGACATGGGCGCCGGATTTTTTTGATGTTTTAGGACACTTTTGCACATTGTGCAAAGTCTAAACTAAAGAATGTTCATACCTATGCCAAATGAGGAGGCCTTACAAAAATTTGGGGTGCAGAGGCTTGGGAACAAAAAAAAGTCCTAAAACTAGGAAAATCTTACTGTATTAGTGCTCTCACGTTAGAGCAAGGGGGTAAATGTTTTAAGACATTTTTGTTTCCAGGCCTACACCGTTGATAGCCCTCCTCATTTAGCATAGGTACGAACCTACCTAAGTTTGGACTTTGCACAATGTGTAAAAGTGCTTTTCTAAAACATTAAAAAAAAAGCCAGCGCCCATGTATATATATATATATTTATATATATATATTTATATATATATCAGGTATGGCGGGTATGCATTCCTCCTCTTCTACTAGAATCTTAAAGTCCTAAAATATCTTAGAAATATAAAATATTTCAACATCCACACCCAAAAATTCCTGGATCCGTCATACGTGAGAGGGTTGTAAATTTTACATGGTCACAACTTTCTAACGCTTAAATATTGAAATCGAAAAACTGTAGATAAATTTAGTATATGATAGTACAACTAAATATTTCATTAACTTATTGCCCTTGCGTTTGCGCAGAGGAAGTGAGCTTGTACGGGTATTTTTGTTTGAAAAAGATGTTTTTTAAACGTTAATAATAGTTTAAGCAGTTAAAAGTTTATAAAAAAATGTTTTTTTAATTTGAATGTTCTCTAAATTTTTATAGTAACAATGTTCTAGCAATGCTAGCAATGTGACGGTGATTTATTTAATAAATAGCTTGTAATGAAATTACCTTGGTTCGATTCGAATATATAGAGATTTTTCGAATCTCAAATCACTTTTCTGATTCAATTCAGAGATGTAGTCAAGACAGTAAAGGCCAAGACCAAGACTAAGACAAAGACATTTGGGCTCAGGAATAAGACCAAGATCAAGACTGAATGCTTCAAGACCAAGACCAAGACATCAAAAAATCAACCTAAGACCAAGACCAAGACTTTGAAAGTTTTTACAAAACCGGGATCAAGACTTAGGTTCCAAGTCTTGATTAATTTTTTTCATTTTTCAATTAAATTTCTTTCATTTTTTTACATCAATCAAAAATAAATTCATAAAAAATTAAAAATATAAATAATTTTAATAAAACATTAAAAAAAAAATTTAAAGATTTTTTTTTTTAATTTTCCTAACATAAAATATTTCAGTTAGAACCTTGTCAAACGCGACAAACTCGAGAGCGGGAAGTTGCAGCGACCTACGATTTATTAATAATGACTAACTCATTGAGTTGATATTTTTCGCAAGAATCAAGAAAGTAAAAGACAGCTCCAAGACCAAGACCAATACTCTTTCAAGACCAAGACTTTAAGCTTCAAGATCAATACCAAGATCAAGACAGTAAAATATGAGACTCGAGGCGTCTGGAGACCAAGAAACTGGTCTCGAGACCTACATCTTTGATTCAATTCAATTCGAAATAACCCCTTTGCAGGAGCCTACTGAGGAAATTATGGAAATAGGTTTTTCACAACTTCCTCTTCAGTCGCCGAGTACTGCAATTGGTCAGTACTGACCAATTCCATAGTTCAATGACGCATCATGCGGAGAGATTTTTTTTAATAAAAATTTTTATATAACTCAAAAATAATTTTTTATTACTCTAAATCAATCTTGAATTAAAATTTTATAACATAAATTACACATACAAAATTAATATAAAAAACACAATTGTATTAACATAACACTGACACATAGCAAAAATTAAAACATGAGTTCAGTGACGCAACGCGGAAAAAAGTGCTTTTTTATCAGCATACTTGTAAATGGAGTTTTCGTTGAAATTTTAATTCTTTATTATAATTCATTTGGCAATAAGGCAGTCATAAAAAAAGCCACTAACAACAAAGTTTTCATATCGTTTTATTTTACAGAAAAAACAGAAAAAAACTATCAGTTCAGTAACGCAATATTCAGTGACGAAACAAAAAGATGGAATTAAAATCATTTTTAAAAGTTTTGTTATTTTGTAATAAATTTTAATTATACTCAGGTGAAAATAGCATCGGAACAACGTCATCATTCTAAACATAAAAGTAATGTGATTTTGATATATCCCAGCAGGCATTCGTTTTTAAAAGTTACGTTCTAAATGTATTTTAAATGTCTTATAAAGGTCTTCTAAACATTCTTACGTAAAGAACGTTTAAAAGACGTTTAAAAAACGTTCAAGAGACATTTAGAACGTAATTTTTAAAAACAAATGCAAGTAGGTATCTTTGATTTTTCTTGAATAACTTAAAATTGAACTGAATCCAAGTTCATTTTTTTGTCGTCTTGCGTCGTTTATAACATAAGAAATACAGATATTTGCAAATGTTGTAATGCTAACGCAAAATCTGCTGCTGCACGCAACGCATTTGTCATAGGCGTAATCGTATGTGTACGGTTCACAAACAAAGTTATCGTTTCAGATCCAACTTTGATTGAAGGCGCATGAACTGAATTTGTTAATGCATCTAAGGCAAATCGCATATTTTCATGCAAACTGCAAACACAAATATTATGCAGAAACATCAAGACATATATATAATCTCAAAGATTCTTTTTAAACAAAAATATAGATATGTTTTGTTTGAAATATTGCAATAACTTGCCCTCAAATTTTACTCATTTTTTCGAATAATAATAAAAAAAAAACAGCTGCTAACATTCATTAAATTTAGGAAGTCAAAATACCATCCAAATGTTCAGATTATGTTGTGGGTTTTATTCGAATAAATTTATCATTTTAGTATTGTGAAGGGCTATTAATAAATATTTGAAATTACTGGATTTATGTTAAAAAGAATCAAAACTAGAAGTAAAAAAAAAGCGTTATGCAGAATACCGAGCTAATTATGCAGAATACCGAGCTAATTATGTTTCTCTGAATGCTGATAAAAAGAAAGAAATGTCCAGAGTAAGATCTTAGAGATATCGAGAAAAATTGAAAACCGATCCTAATTAAAAAGCAGCTCATGCTGCTAAAACAAAATTAAGAGTTTTTAAAAGTCGCGTTTTAAAAAGAAAACTTGTAAATCAAGACCAAGCTCATCCTTTAAAAACGTTCAACAAAGAGGAAAAGAATTAAAAAAGGGTTTTAAAAAACTACCAACTTCAAAGAAGAAAAAAAATTAAATTCTTTTTATTCTTTCAAATAGCTCTGCTTGTAAAGATAATTTGGGTCTACCTTCAAAGCTGTATGGCCTTTTTGAAATCGATGTTTTAGCAGTTGTAAATTTTTATAATGAAGATGAAGTTTCCCAAATATCACCAAACAAAAAAAATGTCACTCGAATTCAATTATCTTACGGAAAAGCAAACAATATTCAGATACGTCATTTATATTATACGCTAAAAGAAGCTTTCGAGTTATTCAAGGAAAAGCATCAGCACATAAAAATTGGACTCAGCAAATTTTGCGACCTTCGTCCACGCAATGTAAAACTAGTTACAAAATTTCCGCATAATGTTTGTGTTTGTAGTTTGCATGAAAATATGCAATTTGCCTTAGATGCATTAACAAATTCAGTTCATGCGCCTTTAATCAAAGTTGGATCTGAAACGATAACTTTGTTTGTGAACCGTACACATACGATTACGTCTATGACAAATGCGTTGCGTGCAAAGATAAGAAACAGTTCTATACACACTTGCAAACTGTTAATACATTAGGTTTTGAAGTATCCTGGGACGAGTGGAGAAAACCTGAAACTAAAACATATGCAAACATCGAAAAAATTTCAAAAAAATCTACTGTAACAGAACTCATATAACACATATCAGTGAAGCTTGATAAGTTCTTTAAACACCCCTTTGTAAAAAAAAGACCAATTAACAATTTTTAAGAAACTGAAGGAAGTTTCGATGAGTATTAATTCTGAAATTGCGATAATCCAAGTTGAGTAAGCTGAAAACGCTAGGTGTTTCTATTAAAATGAACCGTAAGTGGCTCATTTTGGTCAAAAAATCAAGTTTCTATCATGACCCTTGTAGTCTGAAACATTGAGTTAAAAACATTTGCCATAGTTTCTGATTCAACTGATCATACAAAGTCTTCCGTTATACCATACATTGACAAAATCCTTCACTTTATTCCTGATCAAGTCAAAGAAGTAGACATCTTCAGCGATAATGCCACTTCTCAGTTCAAAAACAAAAGCATTATGGCTGCAATGGTTGTGTTTGAAAAACATTTTCATAAAAAATTCTACTGGCATTTCTTTGCAGCGATGCACAAGAAAGGAGTGGTTGACGGAATTGGAGTCAATGCGAGATCAGGTCAGCAGCAGATTTTGCGTTAGCATTACAACATTTGCAAATATCTGTAATTCTTATGTCAGAAAACGACGCAAGACGACAAAAAAATGAACTTGGATTCAGTTCAATTTTAAGTTATTCAAGAAAAATCAAAGATATATATATATATATATATATATATATATATATATATATATATATATATATATATATATATATATATATCATATATATCATATATATATATATATATATATATATATATATATATATATATATATATATATATATATATATATATATATATATATATATATATATATATATATATATATATATATATATGATATCAAAGTCACATTATTTTTATGTTCAGAATGATGACTTTGTTCCGATGCTATTTTCACCTGAGTATAATTAAAATTTATTACAAAATAACAAAACTTTTAAAAATGATTTTAATTCCATCTTTTTGTTTCGTCACTGAATATTGCGTTACTGAACTGATAGTTTTTTTCTGTTTTTTCTGTAAAATAAAACGATATGAAAACTTTGTTGTTAGTGGCTTTTTTTATGACTGCCTTATTGCCAAATGAATTATAATAAAGAATTAAAATTTCAACGAAAACTCCATTTACAAGTATGCTGATAAAAAAGCACTTTTTTCCGCGTTGCGTCACTGAACTCATGTTTTAATTTTTGCTATGTGTCAGTGTTATGTTAATACAATTGTGTTTTTTATATTAATTTTGTATGTGTAATTTATGTTATAAAATTTTAATTCAAGATTGATTTAGAGTAATAAAAAATTATTTTTGAGTTTTTGAGAAAAAGCCACTGACCTATTGAATTGGCCATATATTTATTAAGTAGAAATATCAATATATGTAAAATATACTTTTTAAAGTCTGTTCGATTAAAAAGAAATATTTTAATAGTCATTTAAGTTTTTTTTTAAGAATTTAAAAATTATTAATTTTTTAGTTGATTTTTAAAATAAAAATAACCATTTTCTTGAAAGTTATTTTTAATAAACAGCAATTTTGAATTCGTCAACAAGCACTTTATTATCTAATTTAAATAAATTTAATTTTAAAATCGACTAATTTGTTTAATAAATAGCCGGAAACGAGTATATTTACTATTTGCGCCAGTAACCCGTGGTATAAAGCGATTAAGATTGTTTAAGAAAGCAAAATAAAAACAATAACAACATTTAAAAAAGTTTTTACATCGATAAGAAATAATACATAAGTATTGTTTCACCTAATTTTCTTAACGCGTTGCAACTAAAACAAAATTTCTTGGTGAGATCTTCGGGTTAAATAAAGGAGTGAGAGATACATTAACACCTAAACAATATTGTCACAAAAACAATTTAAAAATTTAAATGTTCTAGAAAACAATGACGTAATAATAAATATAGTGGATCATGGCATTAAATGATCCATATTTATTATTACGTGAATGATCCATTTTTATTCGTGACTATTATATAAAATTTAATATTTTATATAAAATTGTAAAAAATAAAATTTAAAAGTACTTTTAATAAATAAAAATATATTCTTTAAACTTGTATTGAAAATATTTTGAAACTCAGAAATAAAGTCATATTTAAGTAATGTTAAATAATTAAATATTTAGATATAGTTTAAAATACTGCAAAAATAAAACTTAAAAAAAATTACCTAATTCTTTAAGGAAAGCATATTTATCAAGAAGAACCACACTCTCAATAACAGGTCCGAGAAGCAACACCAAAGAATAATAAATAATTACTCTTTTTGTCTGAGATAAAAGTTCTTCATGGTTGATTTCTATTTTAAAATATTCGTGTTACGTTTTTAACAAAAAATATAATAGTTAAATATTTTAAATAAAGAAAAACAAACTTAGACCTTTAAGAAGAACAGAATTAAAGCTGATGTTCAGATTATCAAAAACTTTTTTTGCATACCTGAAAAATTTAAATAAAAGCTTTAATTACTTTGATTGGAAAAAAAAAAAGATGATAAAAAGCTAGATAAAAAAGTTACTCATGGAAACTCATAGATGATGCTCCTTTAATTTTCTTGCAACGAGCTGAAGTTAGCACTAACTTAGGGTCTACGTGTCGAATAAATACCTCCATAACAGCACGGAAACAGTGCAACTTTAGATTTGGACTATTACCTTTGATGTAAAAATGATTCTTAATTTAGATGTAGAAACCCTACTAATTATAATTAAATTTCGAAAAACTGTTCAAATTGTTTCAACAATATTGTTTTAAAAATTAAAGTTTATTAAAAACTATTTAATTTGCCTTTATTTAAGAAAAAATATAAACTATAAGCTATATATAAACTATAAAAAAATATAAACTATAATTTTTAAAAGTTTGTATCTTTTTGTCTTAATTAAGCGTTAAAAATTTCTTTTTTGCAATACTGTCTCTTAACTTTGCAATACTGTTATATAGTTATGTAAGTACGTACAGATTTAAATGCTGTTTGATTACTGCGTAAAACAAGTCAGATTGCAAAACTGTCTCTTTGCTACGTAAGACCGTATGTTTGATTGCAAAACTGACTCTTTGCTGTGTAAGTCAGTACACATCAAAGCTGTCTTTGTTAAGAAAATATGATAGAATACAATACGAAATCTTCAAAAAGCAAAAGACGTTTGGCTAATTGTAACTTTTAAAATTTAGTTAATTAACTATATTAACTAATTAAACAATTAATAATTATTAAACTTAATTAAATATTTAGTCGTAAATAGCTTAAATAAAAGCTAACTTACAAAGAAGTTTTTCAGCATAATCGTCAATGAAATGGCATGCAACTTCCAAGCTTTTATATGTTATTGGTTGACAAGGGATACTTTTTAAAAAAGATGACATCGGAAAACCATACTTTTTAGATTCATCTGTTATGCAAGTTTTCAAATATTTTTTTGAGAGAAGAATTTTGAGAAGAGAAACTAAGGATTTTGAAGTAAAAACAGAAAATAATCTGCATAAGTTTATATAGCATAATGTTGAGCCGGGGTTTAAAATATTTTCCTCAGATTCCATTTTTGAAAAATCAAACACCCCTTTTTCAAGGTATTCACACAAAGCATTTCCAGCCATCATTTTCTTAAAACTATTACAAGATCTGCAAAAACTATCTGTTCGGCATAATAATTGGTCAACAGTTGTTATCGAAAAACCAACTTTTTGTTTAGAAAAGTTTTTGTTAATAAAATCTTCTTTAAGAGACATACGCATATAACAACATGATACAGAAACCAAACCCTTGATACTTTGAGTGGATTTAAATACCTTCATCATCGTAGAAGCGAGGTCACCACAAGTATGCAAGCCAATAAGAACACAATGTTCAACATTTTCAGTTTTTTTGAAGAACGATACACTGTTATTCAGTATACAAGAGTCACTGACAACGAAACCATTAATTTCACGAGCAGATGTTTCATTTATTTGAGATTTACTATTAAACAAAAGAGAACTAAATGCAATTGCAGAAATATCAGGATCAATCTAAATCAAAAAGTAAGAAATAAATAAACAATAATAAAAAGTATAATAAAATTTGAATGTAAAGATTTTAAGATTTAAAAAAATGTAATAAAGCGTATACATGAAATTAGTGTGAAGGTAAAAAATAACTTAAAAAACTTTTATTTAGAACAGTAATAAAAGAAGATAAAATATTTCAAAGAAATTTATTGCTGTGGGCATCTAATAAGATTTTGAACTTTAATTTTGGTGGTACCCATAACCTCTCACACTAGGGTGTCCCAAAAAAATATCATGTTGAATTTTGATGTGCAGAATACTGCATTTGGCATCATTTTGAACATGTAGACAAACAAAAAAAAAAAGAAGTCTCTAGCTCTAGCGGAAGTTTATTTAGGTCAATTTCCTTTTTTTTTATATATATATAAATTTTTAGATAAAATTGAATTTTATCTTTATATAAAAATAGCAACTGTTACTAAAAACAAAAAGAAATTGTTGGTGCGTGTCAAACAGGTGAATTTGCGTGCTATGAACTCTTTATTTTTATTGTAAAATAACTAATTAAGTTTAGAGATGAGGTCACTTTTAAATGCGATAAAACGATACATTTAGCATCATTTTTGCGAATTAAAGTAAAAACGTCAATATTTTGACCTTGTAGCGGTATTTTAGTGTGAAAATATAAAGGTTTATCATTTAATTTCATAAGAAATAAAACAAATAATAATACAAATATAAACCTATATTTTTACTACAAAATTACTCAGCTAAATAATAGTATTAAGATCTTTCTTTGTAGCCTTTTTTGATATCTGCTGCCGGTTTCTCTGGACTACCTAAAAATATAACTATATTAAGTAAATATTATATATTAACCATTCATATTATTTATTGCTAATAAGTGCCAATTATATTCTGTGTATATAATAAAATACCTGAAGCCTATCTTCATTGTGTGTTTTCTCAACAAAATCTTGAATCAACTTGATGTGTTATTCTGCACGGTCATTTACAACTGCAAGTGTTCTTACACACTTTGAGAAGTATGTAAAAGACTGAGAGGTTTCCTCATTTTCACATGCTTCAATGCTTTTTTCTTTCCATAGGAGAAGTTCTTTTTTGGAAATATCCAACAGCAAGAACAAAAAGTAGGATAAAAGTAAGATAGGACTGGTCATTGACAAAATCATCTAGTTTAGACGTGGGAACAATTTTAATAATAGATTCAAGTTTTTTTTTAACCAGATTTTGCAACTCCGGGACATCATAGGGAAGCAGTTTATTTAACATATTGTTCTTAACTTCAACTTTCAGTTCCTTATCAGCAAGAGCAAAAACTACTTGTTGGGGGGACAGGTACCAAGTGTGAGGGGTTTGTACCAAATGTGAGACTTTGGTAAAGAACCTTTCCCACAACTGCAAATTCTTTAAACTCGTCCATTGTTTGTAGCTCAAAAGCAATATTGAATGCCATCAAATCATTCGATGGTGCTTGAGAAGCCATTGCGCATTTCAGAAAGAAGAAGCCATGAAAAAATACAATGTAGTTGGTTGCAGCCTTCAGATTACTTAACATGGTTATATTACCAGATTCGGAATCAACTAAGTAGTACATTTGAGTCATTTGAATTACCAGCAAGTAGATACAGTTGGCCATAAATCTTGCTTCACGATAAGCTCCTGGTTGTTTAAATGAAAAGTTTGGTAACTGAGCTCCTAGAAAAAATACCAGAAGCCCACAAAGATACCTGTAATCTCCTCTCTGAAAGATACTCTCACCAAGAGCTGTGGTACAGAATTCTTTTGTATTCGAGGCAAGTTTGTACAACAAAGAGTCATGTCTAAAGGCATCTTGAGTCCAGTTAAATTTCACAATTCTCTCTAGTTTGTTTACACTTTCATAAATCTGCGGCCAAATTTTTTGGAAAGTAACATACAGCTTCCTGCTGGGACTATTGGTTTGACCAAATATTTTCTTTATTACATGAGCCACATGCTTTTCATAGATGTGATGTCTGCACATTAGCCAAAGAACCGGTCTACCTAGGGCATATGAAATAATAATGCTTATGGCACCTTTTTTCCTCCCAGTGTTACTGGATGTTGTGTCGGAACACAATCCAATAATCTGATCAGACATCTCATAGTATTCAAGCATAGCTTGAATGGCAGTAGCTTGAACACTTCCATTAGAACTTTCAATTTCTAAGATGCCCAGAAAGAAATCTAGCGGACCAGACTCTGGTGAAGATGCGCTTATGGCAATTCTATTTTCATTTTTAGATACTCCTTTTTCGCAATTGTATCTTTTCAATATTTTTGTGTCAAAGTGTACCACAATTTTCAAACTACTTATTTTATCTAAATTTTCCTCCCTGATCATTTGCGCCTCAGACTCCACAATAGTATGGGTCTTCCTGTTTAAAGTTGATCTCGATATAAGGATATACCAATGTTATCAATTCAAAAGACACATACCTGGTCTGACTACTTCAGACTTAATTAAAGGCAAACTTTGAAGTCATTCTTTTTTGTTTTTTCTAAACTTTAGCAGGAGGTAAATAAATTTTATCGCATTTACTTTGATTGTCACTATCTGTGCTTAAAAAGTCTCCTTTCAAATAGTTACTTTCTTTTTTCTTGTTTTTTATTTTATGTCTTTGGATCTTCTCTGACATTTTAAAAATTTTTTCCTGTGCTCTGTTAACATTTTCACTAAATATCTTATCAACATTTCCTAACTTAACCATATCCCCTCTCAGACAATGCCTCAAAAATTTTATGTCTTCACTCTTAGCCTCGTCATCCCTATTTTTACCAATTTTAATTAAATCATATATGTTTGATTTTTGAATAGAAAAAAGCACACTACTCTCTTTCAAAAAGCTGTCCACCTTCTTTTTTAAGCTGCTTTGGACAAATCGAGTGTTTTAAGCATTTTTGTGTGTTTTAAGCATTTTTAAAGCGTGATACTCTTTAATTTTCTAGGCAATTTTGTTTTTTATAGTTTGTTTGGTCACAGTGAAAGTATTGTTAAACACAGCTTGTTCCCACAAATTGACAAGCTCTTCCTTAGAATACAGACGTTTGTATTTAACTGCTTGGTGTTCTTTCCACACACTCCATCAGCAAATCTGGAGCATCTCAAATAAGTCTTACCAGAAGCAACTGGGCAGCCTTTTGACGTTGATCTGTGTGGTACTAAAACGCTGCAAAAATTAGTTAGTTATTTACATTAATTACGTTAGTTAGTTACTAATTTACCTTGTATTTTTGTCAAGATTAAGCCAGTAGTACCTTCTGAGCATTTCTCCATTTGTGGGAAGTCTATTGGGGGCAAACCTCTGCATAAAAAACCCAAGCAAATAAAATTGTCTTTGCTTCCTTGTAATCCTTGTAATCATATGCGGTAGTGGTGTAGTGGTAGAGCGCTCGCTTCATAAACGAGTGGTTCCGACTTCGATCCCCACCACGTCCCTAGTAGTACCGCGCTCAACTCGTTTCTCCGCGCAGCGGCCTTGTTCGTCAAGGTTCGTGTTTCAGAGTTATAGAGTTGAGAGAGGGTTATAACCACAAATAAATAGCCTTCTCGCCTGTAGTGGCCTTCTCGGCCTTGAGGAGGTGAATTAAAAAAAAGAAAAAAGAAAAAAAGAATCTTCAACACGTTAACACTATCTGATTTAAGTGAGTTAATTATCTGATTGTCGTGCTTTTTGTCTAGAGGCATTTTCTAAAATAAACTATTTTTCATTTAAAATAAAATCAGAATAGTTGGATACACATAATATTGGACAATTTTTTTATTATTATTTTATTGCCATTGTTTAATTTAAACATTTATTATAAATAAATTTGATATTTTGATATTATAATATTAAATTTATTTTAATTTAATATTAAATGATCCCACATTATTATTTAATAATGATTATTATTAATGAAAAAATAATGACAAAATTTTAAAATCAAGTCTATACCTAAGTTTTAGTAAGCAAAGAGTTTTGGTAAGTAAAGAGTTTAGTTTTTGTTGAAAAACAACTTTTAAAAGTGATTTAATAACAAATTAGCTCAAGTTATTAGACACGCATCATTAATTTCTATTTTTCGCCATGCTTTTGTCAAAACTATGTTTGAATAAAATTAATTTTAACTCAATATATATATATATATATATATATATATATATATATATATATATATATATATATATATATATAAAAAAAAGGAAATTGACCTAAATACCTTCCGCTAGAGCATTTTTTTTGTTCGGCTTTATGGTTAAAATGATGCAGAATGCAGTATTCCGCACATCAAAATTCAATATATGATTTTTTTTTTGAAACACCATATTGCGCACAGAACAACAATCAAAATTATTTGATGTTTTTTAAATGACATCATTAAATCTTTAACGTTTCTGCATAGTTTTTTAATTATTTTTTTTATTTTTCGTTTAATAATGATCCAGTACTTTGCAATAATTTTCAATTCTGGTTAGTTTAGAGAATTTGCTATTTTAGACACAACTTTCACGTTATTTTGTTTATACCATCCCATAAATTGCTATAATGACTTAATGATAAATCAGAACACATTTCAACTATCATGTGATTTAGTAGGAGGTAAATGGCGATAATGTAAACACTCTTTAACATATATTTTACCAGAAAGTGTAGAACTAGAAATATAGGGTGCTGATTTGTCATACCTGTAAATAGCTTGACAAATCAATGCTTTTTTAGCAAACTTATCACGTTTGTGTACTTAAATTTCTTATCTACTTTTCCTCTTTATTTCAGCATTATAATAGATAGCACAAGGAATTTGATGATGATCATACTTCATATAAATTTCATCATCTTCAATAATTCAGAAATTTTTAGAAATATAATTATCATATAACTTTTTTCAGCGGATTTTTGCAGTTTTTTTTGAATTTCAGAACGGTTAGGCACTTTTCGTGATTTGAAAGCTTGAAAAGCATGTTTATTTTAAACTTTTACAACAAAACTATGAGAAAATCTGTTTATCTTTTTTTTATCTTGCGCTTGCGTACCACTTTTGCATTAGTGAGAGGTTTGAGTTATACATAAAACTGTTAATCAGTTTTCTAACCAGTTTTATATCTTGAAAACTCTTTTCCTCCATTATCAGATTAGCGTTTGATCAATTTTGCTTGGAAAAAATGTTAAATAACATAAATAACGGTGTAGGGATGTATTTGCAACTTTTTTGATATTGAATAGTAGCTTTTTTTTCAGATTTTGTGCAAAGTATTTTTTCTAACCTCTTCTTCTCTTTTTCTAACATCTTTTTTCTTTTGTGATTTTTAAAACTTATTTTAAGTTAAATGACAATAATAATACACTTTTTTGAAATTGTTACATGTTGCCAACAAATTACAAACACAATTTAAAAAATGTTAAAACAACCACTGAAACAAATAATGCGTTTACTCTATCACAATTATTTTGTGTACACACTTTACTTAAAAGTATTTAAACAATACATTAATTTTAAATCATGAACTATTCATTAAATCATGAATTATTGATGAAATGTTTTTTGAAGTTTAGAAAAAATTGAGCTTTTACAAAAGTTTGGAACAATGGTCCTTCACACCATAATCATGGCTTGTGTACACTCCCTGATAAAGTTTAAAACACAAAATTAGTTTATTTTATGGTAACACAAAATGCAAACATTAAGAAACCCAACGACATTTACTAATTCAAATAAAGAAACCTTCCATAACTTTTAAATAAAGATACTTACAACAAATATAAATTCATAAAACATTTAAAAATATTAAAACTAAAACTCCATGCAACAAACACCCAGACTAAAAATAAAATTTTAAACTTACACATTTTTCAACATGGCAAACACTACCAACATTACTAGAAATCTATTAAAATTAATTAAAAAATATTTTTTAGAACCATAATTTTGAAGTAATAATGAATAGAAATTTACTAAAAATTGTATGAACTAAAAACTACCTTATTTTTTCTTTTCAGATCATCTTCTATTTCTCTATATCATATGGAAAAACTTTTTCTATTAATTATATAAATAGGAATACTATATTAAAAAAAAAAAAGCAATATAAATTATATTTTAAAAAAATTACAAAACAAAAAAACAAACAAATTACATAAATAGAAATACTATATTGTAGTATAATACTCTTTATTTATTTTGGATAATCCGCTACATGATAATTTTGTAACATGTGTCCATTGAGAGTATTTAAATTTAAGTTAGCATACAATCACTTTAAACCTTATAAAACTGAACTTTTTTTTAAATCAAACTTATCAAACCAAACTTTTTTTTTAATTAAATTTATTAAACCAAACTTTTTTTATTTAAACTTATCAAACCAAACTTTTTTTTAATCAAACTTATCAAACCAAACTTTTTTTTAATCAAACTTAATCGGAAGACAAAAATGAGTAAAAAAGAAAACTAATACTTAAAGACTTCAGTTAGAAGTTATCACAGAACATTTGGCAGAAATTAAAAAAATTGAGGCACAGTAAAAAGAAATTGAGAGACAAGATTCAAAAATAAACTAATCTGAAATTTAAAATTGGAAATTAACAAAATATATCTAAGGGTGTTTAAGAAATTCATTACAAGGGATCAGTGATTTAAAAAAATCATCAATACAACAACTTATAGTTATAAATGCTACACCAAATGTGCAAAAAAAAAAAAAAAAAAAAGATGATAAAATGTTGTTATATTTGGGTTTGTCTCAAACTAAATTTAACTTAGGTGAAGACTAAGATTTAAAATATTTTAAGACGTTTAAAATATTTAAAATCTTTAAGACGTTTAAAAATCTAAATGTCAAAGGTCACAAGATTAGATGAGATTATTAGTAATAGAATTAGACTTCTTAATAAATAGAAACACACAATTATGAACTTCTTAATAAATAGAAACACACCATTATGAATTTCATAATAAATAGAAATACACCATTATGAACTTCTTAATAAACAGAAACACAACATTATGAAGTCCTTAATAAAAGAAGCACACCATTATAAAATTCTTTGGCAGAAGCAGCTGTTAATGCAAAATATTTAAATGAAATAAATCAAAAAAGTTAATGATATAATAAACAAGAGAAACCTTCTATTAAATTTATTATTATAAATAAAATATAAATTTAGGATTAAACTACAGCATACAGCATTAAAGTATACATTACCAAAAGAAGAAACTTGAATTATATAAATAGGAACATAATGCAAAAAGTAATTTTTTTAATAATACTTCATACTTGTCATATTTTTCTGCAACTGGAAGCCGATGTCCTGTCATTTCTATAGCAGTCACATTATAACCATACTGATAAGCCAATATTCTAGATAAATGTCCAAGACCAGAACCAACATCCTGCATTGAGTAATAAATGGCATCGCCATTAAATACTTGATAACCAGATGAACAAGCTTAAAATAAAAATTCTGCAACTTTTTTTCTAACTATTTTTTTTTTATGGAAAAAAATAAAACAAACAAAAAAAAACATAGTGATCAGCATACACGCATATGCAATCCTACTAATACTACCTAATAATAGAATTACAAAAATGTATATAATATAATAAAAAAACTAGATTAAAGTTTTCTATTACTGTTTATATTTGGTTTTTAACAATTAATCTACTCTTAGACAAATGACATATACATTATCAACTTTATTTAAAAAAATTACTTTACCACAACAGTAGTCGAGTTAGTTTCTTTACAAACATTGTTTATAACCTGTGTATGAAAAAATTTATGAAAAAATCTTTGAAATATAAAAAAAAAAAAAATTGAAACAATAAAAATAGATATAAGATGTAATACCTGGGGCAGTAGAGACAATTCATGTCGCTTTTTTGGTTTAATATGTTTATGAAAAATCTCTGGAAGTTCACACAAATTTTTATTGATTATTTTCTGATGATGATTTAAAGATAAAGCATGACATGCAGCAATATATGAAAGTAAAGATAATGGCCAAACACTCCTAAAAAGATGCATATTAGGATAAAGGTAATGACCCAACACTCCTGAAAAAATGTAGAAATATAAATTTTTTTTTTAAATCTAGAAATCAAACAATTCTTTTTTATTTAGGGCTCAGCTATCCACACAGAAATATCCCATAAATAAACAACTCATTCTCATCAACTTGAAATAATTAAAAAAAAGTTTCTATAGTTTAAAAATAAACCCTATTTTGGTTTAAAAATAAAAACTAACCGATAAATCACAGTTTTTTTATTCAACAAAACGTTATTAGCTAATTCATCCAAAGAAATCCTGTCCAGACAATTTCTCCAGGATTGGGGTAATTTATTCCAGAGGTCTTGTGTAAAAAATTCCTATTATATATATTTAAGTTATGATACTTATTATATATATATATATATATATATATATATATATATATATATATATATATATATATATATATATATATATATATATATAAACATTTTAAGCATAAAATTTTTTAAATTTGTAATGATTTTTAGATGTCTTTTTTTTAGATTTTTCCGTTTCTCTGGTTGATCAAGATTTCTTGGTTTCACTTCTTCACAAGTTTCTCTGGTTCATAAGATCAAGTGGCATATTTAATGCCTTTCTTAAATAATCTGTTTAAAAGTTTTATGAAACATAAATTATATTGCAACAAAATAAATAAATTAATGATAACCTCCATAACATTTTTATTTGAAACATTTTTATTAAATATTAAAGAAATATTACTTAAACATTTATTTATTTCTAAAAAAATAAAAAATAAAAACCCAAAGTATCTTGTTTTACATGTACACACAAAAATAAAGTCATTTACTAAACAAAAATAAAAAATTATACTGCTATTACCACAACTCACATACATGATGTTTTGTCAATTTCAAATATCCACCTACTTTAAAACATGACACCATTTTGCAATCACTCCTTAACATTAAAATTAAATGAAAAAATGATGAAAAAAGTTTTAACCAAAATCATTTAACTTACTGCAACATAGGAGTTTGCCATCCACTGGTACTCATTTATAAAAATAAATGCTTGTGTAAGGTAAGAACAACATAGTTCATAGTCAATGTGTGTATTCATTATAACTTCAAAACAAAAAATATCAAACAAATTTTTTAATAAACTCTTTTGGTTTTAACCTGAAGTTTAGGACAGTTTTAAGCCTCAATTGTTTCTTTTATATATATATATATATATATATATATATATATATATATATATATATATATATATATATATATATATATATATATATATATATATATATATATATATATATATATATATATATATTTATAGGCAGGGATGCGGAGTCCCAAAACGGATTTGAAAAGTCACAAAAAGATGACTTCTTTCCTAGTTTTTCTTATCCAGGAGCTTTAAAAATAAACGTTTATGGACTGTTAATGGGGAAAAAATCAAGACTTATAGGTCAGAAGAACAATAAATTTTTGAACCCGGAGTCCTTAGGTATAAGGGCAGTAAGAACTACAGGACTCCGGGCTTAAAAACAATTTCCAAGTTAAACATCATAAATTTTTTTCTCATAACAGATCATTAATCAACCAACATGTTTAGAGCTTCTGGACACCAGAGACCATAAAGAAATAAAGTTATAAATCTTTTTGGGACTCCGCATCCCCACATATATGTGTGTGTGTGTATGTATATATATATATATATATATATATATATATATAAACATATATAAATATATATATAGTCTGCTAAATTCAAAGGATTTCAAGTTGGCACAAGTGTGGCAACCTTAGCCGACATCAGGTTGGCAAAAAAAAAAAATCTTTATTTTTTGCTTTCTGTTACAATAGGGGTAATGATAATTGATTATAAAAGGATGGCTTTATAATGGCATGGCTTCGGAAAATAATATTTTAAAGAATGTAGCAATTTAATTTTGTGTAGTAAATTAAGTATATAGCAAATTTATGTATTAGTGATTTTTCAGTTTTGAAGTTGTTTTTTTTTAACAAAAATGGTCATAGTTTATCATTAAATTTTAATTGGTTTTTTAGGTTGCTCATTGAAAGAACGTTGTTTAGAAATACATATTTAGTGTATGTGTTGTAAGCAAAGATTTTGTTTAAAACAGCAAATTTTTTAATAAAATAAGTAAATAGTTTACATTCAGTTGTTTTAACAAAGGGGAATAAGCATTTAATTTTCCTACAGTAGTAGGGGTGGTGTTTTTCAATATTTAATTGTAGTTGTAACTATATGTAAATTGATGGAGGGAAAATAAAAGTTAAAAATACTATAAATAGTTGTTTTTTCTTATATATAAACATTGTTTTTGCACAATGGCGATTGTCTTATTGATGTATTTTCATAATTTATTCATCATCAGAATTTTCTGTCCAATCATCATGCAATTAAAAAAGCGAACAACAAGCATTTATAAAATAATATTTTTTAACTTTTAAATGAAACTATAAATTGAAAAAATTGAATGAATTTTTGTTTTAATAAAACATGTCAAACTTGAAAAGCAAGCAATTGCAATAAATAAATTATAAAATAATGTTTTACGAAATATTATATATTTTTTACATGTATTTCAATTTGCATGCCAAAACTTTAGGATATTTGGGTCGGCAGTTGTATGCCGTCCTAAAGCAAAGATAGATTGGCTTTTGCGTCAACATTGCCAAATGCTGACCTGAGTTTCGCAGACTGTGTGTATATATATATATATATATATATATATATATATATATATATATATATATATATATATATATATATATATATATATATATATATATATATATATATATATATATATATATATATATTACAAGTTGTATACAAGTAGTATACAACTTATAAATGAAGCTTACTTTTTTTATAAATTTTATAAAACATGTATTGTTCATCTTCTTTTAAATATGAAATTATTTGTATTTTAAAATATGTTAGATATACCTTTATTAAATTTATTTAGATTATATACCAATATTAATTTAAGTTATATACCTTTGTTTTATGAACAAAAAATCTTTTTACATTTGACAAGAGAAAGTATTTTTTATAAATATATGACTAAGATACATACTTATATTACATTTTTTAAGACAATACAACTGTAATGCGATGGGATTTTTTTTGTTATGATTTCATTAAATTTAATGTTCTAAACAATAAATAAAATGTCAGACGGTCGTGAAATCAAGTAAACTTTTCTTTTATCCATAGTTTGTTGCTTTAGGGTTGATCCATTTTTAAATTAAAAAAACTTGAATTAAATTTTTTTTTTTTATTATTGTTATAAATATTAATATAGATTTGAATGTAATTAAAAAGTAAAAAAAATATATATTGAATTCTTTTCAGCAAACGCAAACAATTGCTTCAAACGAGAAATCAGATAAAACATCCATGAGCATATTTTTAAATCTACCTGTAAAAACATAAAAAGTTATAAAGCAAAAATAATTAATTTAGAAAAACAAACAAACAAACAACATTTCACCTTTTACCTTCGCCAGTACTAAAAAAGAAAAAAACTAGTAGTAAAATGAAAATGAAAAAAAAATAAAGTTTTAATAATAGGTTTATAAAAATCATAAGTATTAATTATTACTATTATTTAATTAAACTAAAAATAAATTAATTTGCTGATAAAACTGCGTGATAATGTTATGATCTCTTACATATGAACTCTTCTGAAGTCTTAAACTATCAAATTTAAAATAACCAAAACTAATAAATAAAAAAAATTGTTTGTAATTAAATAATTACCTGTGCCCATTTATGAATTTGTTCAGCAAGTGAAGCAAAAACTGCACTAACACTCTCATCAATAAGTGCTTGCAAGTATTGCACTGCCTCTTCATCATTTAAGTCAAGTCGAAATTTATCTTGAACCTGAATAACAAATCAAATCAAAAAAAAAATAAATAAAATAATCATATAATTTGATCACTTGTTGCAAATAAAAAAGCAATTTTGAAACTTTTTTTTTTTTTTTTGAAAACATTTTCAGTTCCAACAAGGCTACAAACTAACACTATTAGAGTTGGAAGTTACTGGAAAAGAGAAAAGATGAAGTTTATAAACCAAGATAACAATTAACAAACAACTTAAAAAATTGCAAATTATATGAATCAACAAACAAGATTAGGGGAGCAAATTCCAAAGGACTGATGTTTGACTAAAAAAACTAGATAAATAAAATTTTTTGGAGCACTTAGGAACAGTCAAAGAAAAAGAGACTTAATTGAGTGACAAGTAACATTAGAATGAACTTTAGTAGATGGCACAAGAGATGCTAACTCTTTAGAGCAGCCCATATTATAGTATTTATAGAAAAAAGAAAGAAAAGCAACTTTACAACTATGTGATAATGGTTGAAGGTTGGCTGCAAGAGCAAGTCCAACTATGATTACATACATTTTTGCACCTTGCCTAAAAGAGAAAGGGCATCATTTGAGGATCCACTCCAGGTATGGAAACAGTATTCCATACTTGGGCGGATTAGAGATTTATAAAGATAAAGAAAAGAATCCAGAGTAAGAAAATGGTGTGCATGATAAAGAGATGCAACCTTAGCAGATGCTAATTTTGCAATTGATTTGATAGATGGTTTCCAAGAAAGAGCGGAAATAAGAGTTAACCCAAGAAGATGAAGGGTAGATAACTCATCGAGTACATTACCGTTCATAAATATAGGAAGATCTAGATTACTGTGATAATGATTATCTGAAAAAAAATTAGAAAATAATTATAAAAAATTAGAAAATTCTGCTGTAGCAGAAATGAAATCCTTTTCAAGCTCAAATACCTCTCCAAGCAATCAGAAAGTATTGGCTTCTTTATCAAGACAGGAATAAACGGTAGTATCATCAGTGAACAATGCAACCTCTGATTTGAGAATTTCTAGAAAAATAAAATTTTTTGGAGCACTTAGGAACAGTCACAGTAAAAAAGACTTAGTTGAGTGACAAGTAACAAATATATGTATTTAACTATTTTGTATTTACAAGATTAATAACCATAAATTATTGATTTTTTTCTAATTTTATCCAAAGAATAATTAAAACACTATATGCTGCATTAATTTGTTTTGCAGTTTTACTTTATATGTTATTTGTGTGTAATGCTATAATAATCAATTGTGGGCTTAATTAATAAATAAACTAAAATTTCATTATGGGTAAAAACACTTTTCATCACAAAAAACAGCTGAAATATAGGCTCTTGTTAATGATAAACTATTTTCAAACCACAAAAAATCAAAAAGATTTCTGAAGTTAATTTATGCCGAAGAACAAAGAATGTTGAGAGAAGAAACTAAACCTGAAACAAAAGACAGAAGAGCTATTTTTACTTTTTGAAACAAATTTTCGAGCACAAAACTAATAAAATAATAACATTAAGTTGTAATGTGAATGCTTCGAAGAACACTGTTTGATAAAAATTAAAAAAATTGGATTTTAAGACCTGCCTGCCATGTCTTTAAATAAACTTATTTCAACAACTGTAATGAAAGTCAAGCATCTAAAGTGGATAAAACAATGGCATGGTTTGGTTATTGATTCTTGAAAATTGGTTAGTTGTATTGAGAAGTTGGTATTATAATAAATCAAGATCTATTCAAAGAAATTTTGCAAAGAAGAAGAAGAAATAAAATGGATGATTCCACAGCTCAGAGCATGGTTTCCATTTATACGGAACAAGGTATTTTTATGCAAGATAGAGTTTTCTGCCACACAGCACAGCTTGTTAAAGTTTTTTGAAGGATGAAATATCCTATTGTTGGATTACTCAGGTAATAACCCAGATATGAACCCTATTAAAACCCTGTATGAACTAGTGAAGAGAGAAATAGCTAAAGATATAATCACAAACAAAATACAAGTCTTAAAAAAGTTAATTCATGTGTGGAACATTCATCATTAAATGCAGGAGATAGTACAGTCTTGTATTGATAGCATGTTGCATAGAATTGCTCTAATATCTGTTATTTTTACACAATCATAAATGGTTTACAATGTTGTTGTTCTTTTTCAATTGCAAAAAAGCAACAGTTTTGTTTTGAACTTAATTTTGAAACAAGAACAAATGGTCTGTTTTTTTTTCAATAAGTTTTTTTTGAAAAAGGTCTCATCATTACCATCTCAGATTACCATCCAAGTCTTACAAGCTCCTCCTACTAAAGTGTTCCTACTAAAGTACTCCTACTAAAGTAATCCTACTAAATGGTAAAGACAAAAGACATCAGATCCTCCTCCATAAAGTAAAATATTCCTGCAAACAAAAAAGCAACAAAAATGCACAAGTTTAACTATTTATATGAAATTCTTAAAGATGACTAATATCAACATTGTTTTTTAAACAATAGTTCTGAAACTTTTTTTTGTTAACAACATTGATTTAGATTACAAATTAATTTTGATATTCTTTTAACAAGATTACAAATTAATTTTGTTCTGTAAACAATAGTTCTGAAATTTTTTTTTGTTAACAACATTGATGAACAGATTTAGATTACAAATTTAATTTTGATATTCTTTTTTTGTTAACAACATTGATGAACAGATTTAGATTACAAATTAATTTTCTTTTCACAAGATTAAATGATAGGAAGCAGCAACTTTAAATAAATTCAAAACTAAATAAAGAAAAGTATCAAAAAGTGGTAAAAATTAAATACCTTTTTGACTGTTTTATCAGGCTCTAAAGCAATATCTGGAACTGAAGCATCAACCATAAGACTGAACAAGTTTAGAAATAAATTTGCATACCTAAATAAAAATTAAAAAAAAATTAAAAACGTTTTGGAATATATGTAATTTTACTTATATATATAAAAATCCTAATCACCTTCGTAAATGCAAGAATGCTGTGAAACAAAGTTTTCTAAATTGTTGATAATGTGAACTTGCTGTTCCACCCATTCCCTCCACCTAGTAGATTATTGTCAATAAACTAAAATTATTAGCAATAAAAATTTATCAAAATAAAAAAACAGTTTTGTTTTAATCACAGTTTTATTTAATAATTTTTGTGATGAACTTTGACAAAAAAAAAATTAAGAAAAAAGTTATAAAAGATTTATTGTAACTATTTTGTATGTTAATTAAGGACTAAAATTATTCTGAATGTCAATCAAGTATTTATTCTAATTATTTTAGATAATGATTGAGAATTTATTCTAATTATTCTGTATTTTAATGTATATTAAAGATTTAGTCATTATGTATTATTTAAATATTATTAGTAATTATTGTTTATTTTATCAATTGTAACCACTTGTTGCTGTTACACAGTATTTTATTATACTAATTATACTGTATTACATTGTTTTATGTTGTGAAAAGAAATAAGTTAAGTGGTTGTACCAGTAATGTAGTAAGGGTCAAACCCAGAACTTATTTTATAATATATATATATATATATATATATATATATATATATATATATATATATATATATATATATATATATATATATATATATATATATATATATATATATATATATATATATATATACAATTCATTATTGGTTTAGTAGCAGAGAGCTTGCTTTGTAAATAAAATAAGTTATGGGTTTGACCCTTATCACATTACTGGTATATATCAGGGCCTATTCTAGAAAAAAAATTTGGGCGACGGTACTCTCTCGTTCGGGCAAACTTAAGCGAAAAACAGGCAGTTTTTTTGCAAAAAAAAAAAAAAAACAATATTTGCCATAAAAAACATAAAAAAAGGTCCTCAAATTTTAATTTGGGTGGCACCCAAATCAGTGCCCAAATACGGTTGATGTTGTCAAAAATGATCTAGAATAGCCCCTGTATATACATTTAAAAAAAAACTTTAAAAAGCATTTAAAGCAGTAAACACTTCAATAATGAACACACTATGATGAATGAACACACTATGAACACACTATGGTGTGATTATGAACACACTATGGTGCATTATATAATTTTATTTAACGTAATAAAAAGAAGCTGATACGCAATTTAATATTTCAGAGTGACTGTACTGCTTTTTTAAACCTTGTTATTTCATTTAGAATCATGCTTCTTCTCAACTTAAAATGTTTAAATTACATTTTCATTCAAAATGCTAATGCATAATTTTTTAAACGCTATAGTCACATTTTTAATCAAGTGAATGGGCACTGGAAACATTAATAACACTTTTGTTTTTCATTAGTAAAATAAATTTTTATTTCAACTTTGTCAAACAAAATTAACACAATAAAAAAAATAATATAAGGATGCTTGCGAGAAAAAAAATTATTAAAATGCAGATGGAAACTCATTTTTCTGAAATAAAAGGAAGTCTCAGTATAATCAATTACAATAAAAAACATTTTTTAAACATTCAACTAAATTAAATTTGATTGAAGATTGAAAGAGAATATAAAAACATTTTTCTTTTTATAAAATGTTTCTTTGCGGTTTTGGCTTTTAACTTTTTTGCTTTACGTAATTCTTTGTTAAGATTGACAAAAAGAAACAAAATAAAACAGATGACAAAAAGGACTTTAAAAGTTCACTTTACCAACATGTCTTTGTAACTAAAGTTACTTAATATTTTTTAACAGCTAATAACATTTAACTTTTTTTTATTAATTAGCTTACTTCTATATTGACTCATATTTTAGTAGTCTTTTTATTATTCTTTTATTTTCACAAAAAAAAAAAAAAAAAAAAAAAAAAAAAAAAAAAAAAAAAAAAATTATATTGTACTACTGATTATCATAGCATAAAGTAAGAAATAAAAACTATTTCAGTTGCCCACAGGACGAATGGTAAAAAAACTGGACATATATATAAAATAATTTTTTTTTAACAATAAGTTTTGTACAATATTAAAATCACAACAAAAGACAAAAAAATTAAACATTTTTAACTTGTAAATAAATAATAATACATTGTTACAAAATTAATGAAAAGAGAAAAATTAAATAATTTTACCATCTCCTTACTAAGTTTCATTGGTGGGGGAAAAGGTTTTGGGTCACGACCAAGTATATAGCCAAAATCAATATGAAAAAGATTTCCTAATAATAAAAACTATAATATATACTGAATTTACTTTTTGTTATCCTCTGTTTCATTTATGTATAAACTTATTTTTATTGATACCATTATTTATTTTATTTTATTTAAAAATATATTAACATTTTTTTTTTTGAAAAAACTGTCAGAATTTATATTAGTAACTAGATTGGTGACTTAAATCCAAAAAGTGTGTTTGTATGTGCATGTATGTATATTAGGGCAATGACAAAAACTTTTTTTGGGCCTGTAATAGAAACTAATGAATATTTTGATACTAATTAAGAAAATCACATTTATTTCAATCAATTAAAAAAGGCATGCACCAAAACACCTGACAAGTTGTTGGGTGGCATATAATACCAAAAAATGTTACTTGGAAAGCATATTAAGTTGGGTCACTTAAATTTCAATTATTTTTGTAAAAAAACTAATGTTTTCAAAAAAAAATTTCATTTTTGAGACCCAACTTGCTTTAGAAGAAAAATGTTTTTAGCAATATATGGCACTTACCAGGTTGATGAGTGTTTTGGTGCATGACATTTTTTCGAATTGAAATAAATATGATTTTCTTAATCAGTATCAAAATGTTCATTAGTTTTTAGTAAAAGTCAAAAAAAAAAAAATGATCACCCTTTTGCATATATATGTATATTTATATATATTTAAATGCAATTTGAATTAAATTTTAAAAAAATTCAAAAATTTTTATTATGTATTAATGAAAACTTTGATTTAAATTTTAAAATACTTACCAGATTTTGTGAGCATCAGATTATCTAAATGGCGATCACCAACACCAAGTATATAAGTAATAACACAGTAACCAGCTGTCAATAGTTTAAAACTTTCATCAATAAACATTTTATTTTATAAAAGTTAGTTAATAATTTTTTTCAAAATAATATTTTTACCACAGCTTTTCACATATGTATCCATTGTTTCTGGATGTATACCATAGAGTGCTCCCTCCTCCGGATTGTGTTGACGAAAAAAATTCTAAAAAAGTAATCTTTTCAAAGAATTCAAAGTTATCAATTATGATACATTTGTTACAATACTTTAATATAGTTTTTTTATATTTATATCTTTTTAAAGCAGAATTTTGAAACTATTTTCTTATAACATCGTCTTTACAACTTTTTCTAAATTGATGCTTTTTTTACAATTATTATTTTTTTTCAATTCAATAGATACTAATGAAATTAATTGATTGGTTGTTGTTTCTCAAATTTATTCAAAATATGACGCCACAATTAGTTACATAGGGGTCATCCATAAAGTACGTCACGCTACTAGGGGGGGGGGGGGGGAGGCATAAGTTTGTGACAATTTGTGACAAGGGGGGAGGGGGGAGTCCGACGAATGTGACATCACAAAAATTATTTATCATGATTATTTTCTACTTATTTACTCATTCAATTAAAGGAGTATTTATAAGGAGTAAGTTTAATTTGTAATTTGAAAAACATAAGGTTCAAATAAAAAAACTATTTTTATTTTATTTTATGATGACAATCTTTCCCAATAAATTAAGAAGGTATTTCAAATTAGTTAAATTGAGTCTTTTTTATTCTGTTAAATAGCTATTACTATGTTTTTAGAATGTTGAAAATTCCGTAATGGTTTGTTTTTTTTTTTAGAGGGAGGGGGGGGGGGGGGGGAGAAACATGTGACATACTTTTTTAGGGGGGGGGGTGCAGAAATATGTGACAGTTTGTGACAGGAGGGGGGGAGGGGGTTGAAAATTGAAAAAAATAGCGTGACATACTTTATGGACGACCCCATACTTGTTTTTGAATAACATATAAATTTAAAAAAAATAAATAAATCTCTGATCTTTTTTTTGTAAATTTAAATGAAAAAACAAACAATAAAAAAAAAGTTTTTAAAAAGAACAATAGATGAAAATATACTGCCATCTACCTGGATACTCCCATCATCTTTTAAAATTTGAGCAACAGCTTGCGAATCAATAAATTGAACCAGTCCTTAAAAATTGCAAACAAAATAAAAATAAAAAATAAAAATATTTTAAGTATAAAAAAAGTTAAGTTAAAAAAAACAGCTAGTTATAATAAAATTAGAAATAAAAACGAAACAAAACAAAAAAAACAACAACAAATTTGTTAAAAAGAAAAAAAAAAAAAAATGAAAAAAAGAATAAAAAATGATTAAATCAACATTAACCTTGAACAATGCTTGTTGCAAGCACATTATATGGAATCAACTTTAAGTCTAGATTTTCTCTCATCAGCAACTAAATGTAATTTATAAGAATGTTAATTTTAAAATCATATAATTGCTGAAAAATTATGAACTATTCGAAATCATATATAAAATCATTAATAAAACAAATCTTTTTTTAGCAGCAGTATCGTTTAAAGAAAGTAATCATAATAATGAACTGGTTCTCAAGTTTTATCTTAAGAAACAATCAATTCATACTTTTATTTTAAGACCCACAATATAAAATAGTATCAAGTAAAGATATAACAATTTGTTTATTCATTTTTTGTTTGTTTGTTCATTTACTTCAATGCATCTGTTGATACATTAAAGTAAATAAACTTAATAAAAATATTTGAATGTCATAACAGACAAGTACACACATGTGTTTAGATTCTATTAAGTTAGTGTTGTCCATCAAATGATTGGGCGTTAATTATGCTCAATCATTATAATATTATATATATATATATATATATATATATATATATATATATATATATATATATATATATATATATATATATATATATATATATATATATATATATATATATTGTTATATTCTTAAGAACTATTTGACGCCAATCACGTCATTATAGAATACGGTTCTAATCTATAATGACGTGATTAATTCTAATTATATTTAATTGATGTGCTATAAAATCTGTTTTGTAGATCTCGAAGTGTGTTTGATTTAATAATTGATAAAAGCCAAAAATATTTAATATAGACTTATTTATTACGGTTTCACAACAATTTTATCAAATATTTTTTATTTATATTATGGATGCAAAAATATTTAAAAAAGTACTATGCGACGAACCAAACGAAGAAGAGTATATATACTGGAAAAAAATGCTTTCAATTTATTTAGATAAAGCTAACATAGACGAAGATTGCAAACTCCAAGTTTTATTCGTACTATCCGGTGTTAAAGCTTTCACAATAATTCAGGATACTACATCATTTGATGACGCAATCAAAATACTTGATAACAAATATCAAAAACGATCAACACCTATTATGATGCGCCACAAACTTCGCTCTTTTAAGCAACAAGAAGGGGAAACAGTCGAAAGCTTCATGAGTAGCCTGAAACAATTCGCAAGAAAATGTCCAACAGAACCTCTAACAGCAGAACAACATATTAATTTACTAATTTGCGACGCTTTTGTCGCTGGAATTTACTCACCTTCTATTCGACAACGACTCCTCGAAGCTACAGAAGACAATCTCGAGGCACTTTATAAAACAGCGCTAACAATGGAATTAGCCACCGAAGATGCTCTTAATTTGACAACAACCACGACAGCTAATACTACGCTACCAACTTTTGCCGCAAGTCGTAACCTTACGAAATCTCATTGTTACTGGTGCGGTAATGATTCACATCCAAAAATTAAATGCCCAGCAAGAAATTCCATCTGTACACATTGTCAAAAAAGGGGCCACTGGGCAACTGTCTGCCTCTCAAAGAAACAAAATAAGTCCTACACTAAAGCAGCAGTTGTTAAGGAATATCATGAAGAAAACAATAACGCAATAGTATCTACGGTCATAGCAGCAATCAACTCACCTGATAGACTAACTAACGTCACCATTAACAAAAATATAACACAGGCACTGATAGATACTGGCTCCGATAAAATGTTTATTACATCAGAACTTCTTCAACATTGGAACCTTCCTTACGATAATCAATCTACCTCAAAAGTATCATTGGCAGATAATTCGACATTAAAAGTTAAAGGAATCTTCCAAAGCTCATTGTTATTAGCTTGCGAAAAATTGAAAGTGCAATTCCTCGTTGTAGACAACTTGGTAGCACCAGTAATTATCGGAATGGACGTGTTAACACAACATACCTCAATTACGATCAATTTTAAAGGGAATAAAGAGCCCTTAAAGTTCTGTCTGGCAACAAAGAGTATGAAGTGTACTACTTACGCATTGATACCTGGAGTGAACATTGACAAAATTAAGCCAGTCGCTACAACATCACAACGGGTTCCTAAAAATAACTCCTTCATAACAGAAGAGATAAACCGTATGTTAAAGCAAGATATAATCCAAGTGAGCCGTAGTCCTTGGCATGCACAATGTTTTGTAGTATCATCAGGAAACAAAAACCGTCTTGTGATTGATTATTCAAATACAATCAAACTACACACTCCACTCGATTCATACCCAACACCTCGAATCGACGATTTGATACTTAAGATAGCTGCTCATAAAGTCTTCAGTACAATTGACAATTACAAGCTAACCGCATTCGAAGCAAATGGCAGACTATACGAGTTTAAACGTTTACCTTTTGGTTGCACAAATGCTGTACCAATTTTTCAGCGGGTTATGGATGAATTTATTCAAAATAATAAACTAGAAAATACATATGCGTACCTCGATGATATAATTATTGGTGGAAAAGATGACCAAGAGCACGATAAAAATCTTAGCCGTTTCCTACATGCTGCTCAAATTGCCAACGTAGAAATAAACAAAGAAAAAAGCAAATTTAAAAAAACTCATATCGAATTCTTAGGCCATATCATCGAAAATGGAACCTTAAAACCCGACCCTAAAAAATATGAAGCTCTTATAAATATGCCAGAACCAAAAACCTTAAAAGAATTAAACCGAATGATAGGTTTATTCGCCTACTACGCTAAATGGATACATAACTGTACCAAGTTTACTCTACCGCTTACTCAAGCAAGAGACAACTTTCCAACAAAGGGCTTGACCCCACAGGCAAAAGAAGCAATTAAAAAGCTCAAAATTAAACTTGCAGAAGCTTGTCTAGCCTCCCCGAATTTCAAAGTTCCACTAACTATTGAAACAGATGCCTCTGACACAGCACTGGGAGGAACGTTACTTCAACTAGGCAGACCCGTGGCCTTCTTCTCAAGAACACTATCAAACGCTGAAAGAAAACACGCAATTGTCGAGAAAGAAGCAGCTGCTATTGTAGAATGCTGTAGAAGATGGAAACACCTAATTAATTCAGTACCATATGTCATTATAATTACAGACCAAAGATCCATTTCCCTTATTTTCAATAAAACGATTTCAACAAAAATTAAAAACGAAAAACTGACTCGATGGCGTTTAGAATTAGCAGATATTAATTATACAATTTCATACAGACCAGGAAATCAAAATATCGTAGCCGATGCCCTTTCTCAATGTTGCTCAATTCAAAACACCAATAAAACCTTTTACAATATTCACTCCCAACTATGTCATCCTGGAATTAAAAAAATGATACACTATTGCAAAACCCGAAATCTACCTTACTCTACCACTGAAATTAAACAACTAACAAGCCAATGTACCACCTGTAATGAACTCAAACCGCGCTTCTACAAACCTCCAGCTGGTTGTCTTATTCAGGCTACGAGACCTTGGGAACGCTTATCTATGGATTTTGTTGGACCTTTACAATCCACCTCAGCTAATAAATACATCCTCGTGATAGTAGACGAATACTCTCGCTACCCATTTGCATTCCCTTGTAAGGATATAACAGCTAACACTGTGATACAACACCTTCTCAGTCTTTTTTCATTATTTGGTGCACCATCATCTATGCATACAGATCGAGGAACACAGTTTGAAAGTATATCACTTAAGGATTTCCTAGAAAGAAAAAGTGTCATCCGAACTCGAACTACTCCATATCACCCACAAGGCAACGGTCAATGTGAAAGAATGAATGGAACAATACTTAAAGCTATTAGTCTGGCCCTAAAAACATTGAGTCTGGGAAAAGATAGATGGGAGGTAGCATTGCAAATGGCTCTATCCTCTATAAGAGGACTTCTGTGTACTGCTACGAACGAGACACCTCATCAGAGGATGATGAACTTTCAGCGTTCATCAATAATAGGTACAGTTCTACCAAACTTCTTAACAGAGCAGGATTCGACAGTTTTATACAGACGTCAGATACGATTAAAGGGAGATCCACTTGTCGACAGAGTTCAACTATTAGAAACAATATCGCCTCATTTCGCACGCGTGAAACTTCAAAATGGAAAAATGGATACAGTTTCAACAAAAGATCTTGCTCCACTACAAGATAGAAATCCCTTAATAGAACCAGTCCAACAACACCCCGAATGCTCGAACAACAACGAAATTGTAATTAGTAACAACAACCACAATTCTGAAAATAGAAAACAAGTTGAATTAAATGATACCAACGAAGTAGTTTCGAACCTACTGCATCCGTTTGGGAATCCAATAAAAGATAGCTTCTCTTATGATTAATCAACTACAACAGTACCTAACCAACCATCTATTCAAAAGGTTATTACTCCGGACACACAACCTAATATAATCTCACGAACAGGACGTACTATTAAAAGGCCAAAGTATCTCGACGACTACTTTCTTTCTTAGAGTATTATTCAAGAGTAAGCCGTACTAAAACTTTCTTAAAACGGAGAAGACTGTTATATTCTTAAGAACTATTTGACGCCAATCATGTCATTATAGAATACGGTTGAATGAACTTAAGTTATTCTAATTATATTTAATTGATGTGTTATAAAATCTGTTTTGTAGATCTCGAAGTGTGTTTGATTTAATATTTGATAAAAGCCAAAAATATTTAATATAGACTTATTTATTACGGTTTCACAACATATATATATATATAGATATATATATATAATATTTATATCATTAATATTAATATCCTAAATATTATTATATATCTTATTATCGTTTGTTTTTTGATTATTTGTCTGCATTAAAGTTATTTAAAAAAATCATTGCTTCATTTCTGTAAAAAGAATACCTTATTCATCAGAGTTATAATTTGCAAAACCAATTGGTCTTGTCGAAGATCATCTCCATTTTTGAAAATGGCCTTAAAAGAAATAAGAAATTAATGTTTTCTTGTAATTAGTTTTTAAAAACCATTTAATGAATTCTAATTAACTAATTTGACTTACCACATAATCTCTGTTTTGAATTGTTCTGAATGTTAGCTTCATAGGTTGAAGCGCAGATTTGAATATGCTAGCTTTGCCTAAAAAAGTCAGAACAAAGTAACATACATATCAGAACATAAACAACTTTATAAAAAATCACAAATAATATTGTATATAAATTATGTACATATGGTTTAAATGTTATAATGAAAGTCACACTTGGAACAATTCCTTTAACACGAATATCAGGATCAAGTGGCAAAGGAATAGGTTCAAATGAGACATATTCTGGTGTATCAAGCAACTGTTGCAGCTTTTCAATCTAAAAAGAACAAACAACAAAACAATTATAAAAAATAACTTTTAAAAAAATTATTTTTAAAACTTTTATATAATTTCACTTCATTTGAGAATAAATAAAATTTACTTATAATGACCCATCTACAATGGTGTGAAAAATATTAGAATCATTTATAAATTTTCAGTTTAAAGCACGTGCATTTAGGTTTTCAAAATAAAAGCAATAATAAAAGCTTTAAGCAAATTAGAGCAAAATAATATCAATATATCTAACAGTTGTGTAAATTGCTATCTGATCCAATCAGGTTTTATTTTTTTGAATCAAGCAAGTAGCCACTGCTAAATAATCAAAAAGTCAAATATATTTTGTAAGACATGAACCACCAGCATTTGTTATGGTTAAACACAAACTCCTGTTTGTAGCAAACCAAGTTAAATCACATTATTTTATTGCACATATTGTTGTGTGCAATAAAACAATTTTACTATTTTTTTCTCATAAGCAGCCTAGATCTTTCAAAAATTGAGTTAAATTTGCTTTATTTGTAATCCATAACATGTGATATAGCTTAGTTAATGATAGCCTTGATAAAATTTTTTTAAATCTAACATGGTCTAGAATTTCATCAGATATCCAATCTAAAATATAAAAATAGTTCAGAGAGGTTCAAAGCATAAAAAATATTGTAAAAACAGCAACAAACAAACTTGCAAAAACAGCAAAAAAAATGGGCAAAATCTCATTATTTTTGCTTTAATTAATGTATGAAAAAAATATACATAACCTTAAATCTAAGAATGGTGCCTAAAATTTAAAAATGACACCCTAACCCTTTAAAAATGTTAAAACATTTGTTAAAAATAAAGTATTTAATTTAAATAATATAAAAAATAACAAACTATTTTACACAAAGCCATTGTTTTATGCTTTTTTAAGTTGTTGATTCTAATATTTTCCACACCACTGTGTATGTATGTATGTATGTATGTATGTATGTATGTATGTATGTATGTATGTATGTATGTATGTATGTATGTATGTATGTATGTATGTATGTATGTATTTATGTATGTATGTATGTATGTATGTATGTATGTATGTATGTATGTATGTATGTATGTATGTATGTATGTATGTATGTATGTATGTATGTATGTATGTATGTATGTATGTATGTATGTATGTATGTATCTATGCATATATGTATGTATGTATGTATGTATGTATGTATGTATGTATGTATGTATGTATGTATGTATGTATGTATGTATGTATGTATGTATGTATGTATGTATCTATGTATGTATGTATGTATGTATGTATGTATGTATGTATGTATGTATGTATGCATTGCATGTATGTACATACATACATACATACATACATACATACATATATGCAGGCTTGGTCGGGTAGCGGGTGCGATCGCACTCGATAACTGACCACGGAAATAAAATTTAGTTGCGAAAAACTGGCCAGATTTTTTAGTCGTTTTGAGAACATTGAAGTTTATGTATGTTTCCTTGTTTGTCCACAAAATAATAAGTTCATTTTGTCGTAAATTTTAAAATATTTTGTTTTATGGGCTTACATGGAAACGTACATAAACTTGAATGTTCTCAAACATCTTGCGGAAAAATAAAAAAAGAATATTTACGAACACAAAAAACCCACCAAATCTACAACTAATTCTATTGGTTAAAAAAATACTAACCCAAATTTCTAAAGTATTCAAAAAAAAAATAACCAAATGTCCTGAGTATTCTGTTGAAATATTTTAAAAAACTGAATTATTTGAATTTTGTTACATTTTTGTTAAGATTTCTAGAATAAATTATTGTAAGAGTATACTATCAAACGAACTAATATTTTAATTCTTGGAGCCACATCTGCAAAGCTATAAATAGTTTAAACTAACATTTGTTTACAATAATAAATGTTTTAAAATTATATTTTTTAACTTGCCAACATTTTGTAAATACATTTTAGATTTTATTAGTATATTATTATTTTTTATATATAAGGGATGTATTTTTTATGTATGTAATGTATTTTTATGTATGTAATGTATTTTTATCTATGTAATTTTATCTATGTGTATTTTATTCAAATGTAATCTGTTAAAGCAATTTGTGCGATTGATTTTGTAAACAAAAATACTTCTAATAATAACTGTGTTTTATTAAATTATTAATAATCGTCAAAGTTAATACAAATAACTTTAACCACTAATCCATTTTCCTCAGTGTACCCGATAACTGATTCTTTCTCCCAAGAAAGAAAAGTTTTCAAGTTCTTAGAAATTGGTTTACTAACTTCAACTATTTTTGCTTCAGCCATTCTTACAAACTCGTTATACTTAAAGTTTTTTCTGTTTTAAATACTAATTAAAATTATGAAGTCCACTTACTAAACATCATCAGCGGTGTTGTGAAGCAGTTCCGCTTCCTCCTCACAAAGTAATTTAACATTTTTTGTTAATTTCTATCTAGCTAATTGATTTGCTACAGTAACTCAATGATTTAATTATTTCATTTGTTCATCTTATTAAGAAGAATCGTTTCAAATCTGTTAAACTTTTTAAACTACGCGAAGCATAAAACAGTTATTGAAAAAACTTTTTTATTTATAAATAAATCATCTGGTTGAATCTTGTTGGACTTTTCAGGGACGGGGGCTGCACTATTTTGGCGGCCTTTTTTATGTGCCACAGCGTAAAAATGACTTATAAAAATACCGAATGGTCCTCTTGACCATCATTTCCCCTAACATTGTGAGTCTCGCGGCTATAGACCTACTACCCCCACCCCACTTCCTCAATCCAGCACTGGAAATAAGACATAAGTATATAAATAAAAATTATATATACTCTTTGATAAATCAAAGAACATTTGTTTCTTTATAGTTGTTACTTTATACAAAAAATGTCGCTTTATTTTATAAAAAAAGTTATAAAAGAGCAACGTTTCAAAAATAATTGCCCTTTGCGTTTTTTCGTGTTAAAAAGCTATTTTTCTTTTTTAACTGTCTCTCGTTGGTCCATACATACATACATACATACATACATACATACATACATACATACATACATACATACATACATACATACATACATACATACATACATACATACATGCATACATACATACATACATGCATACATACATATCAATTATTATTTTTATAGGTTTTTAATTAAATTTGATACTAATGTTTTTTTAAGCAACTTTTTCTCGTAGATTGACATAAGAAATAGTTTAAAATGCAAAAAAATGTTTCATCTTCAATGACACACATGAAACATGCATAAACCTTTAACATAAAATTTTTAATTGATAATTTTAAATAAGTAAATTTAAAATGAAATGCTGCTAACAGTTTTTCAAATATTGTTACAAAAAAGATTTGGTATTTAATAGATTTTTATAATTACTATTTGATTGTATTTTTTAAAATATTATTTTACACAAAAAACCTTTTTAGTTGTTGTTTAGGTTTTTATGATGTTTGTTCTGATGTATCCATAGGAATTTTTTGCCAAGAGATTCCTTGAGGTGGAAAAGAAATATCTATTTTATCTTTTTAGGATATACAAAGTTTCATTCCAAAACAGCATTCAGAAACTTAATCAAAAAAATGCTAAAAAATATTATCTTGCTAAAAATAATAGTACTAATAATGTGTCAATGAAGGTTTTGTAAGCTGGTGGTCTCATCAGTATTCTTCTACCTATTCTAATTGAGTTAAAAGCATTCTAAGAAATGATAAAAACAACATAAAAAACAGTGAACTTGTTTAAACCTGAGCATTTCTATTTAACCTCAGGGTTACTATACAGCCATGTCCGATAATAGTTTAGTTAGAAAAGCAAAATCACTAAAAAATCTAAAGAAAGTTCTTTAGATTTTTAGTGATCAGTGGAAAGAAGATCAACAAATTTATAAACATGGTCTTCATAAATATTATGTTTAGGTGGTTTTATTGTGTTTAAGTGGTATTTACACTTAGCGTTACTTACATGGTATTCATAAATAGTTCAGGTAGCAGAACTATTTTCTTAGTTTTCTCAGTCAATTTTATATCTAACAGACAAAGATTAGTAACTAACAGGCATGGATTAATTTCTAACAGGCATGGATTAGTATTTAAAAGGCATGTATTAGTAACTAACAGACATGTATTACTAACTAATAGGCATAGATTAGTAACTAACAGGAATGGACTATGGTCATCATTTCACAGTCATTATTTGATTACAAAGCATCATATTGCTAAATTTGAGACTGATGAAGGTGTAAGTTTATGCGAAGAAACTGGCAACAGTTTTTTTTTAAAGTTGTTAGGTTTTATTTTAAAGTAAATTACTAAAACCTTTAAAATCATAAATTAAGAAAACATTGACTTACGCCATTTGATACTGACCAGGTCAATTGTAACACAAGTAATTTCTTCAACGACTCTATTTTTTAGAAAAAAAACCATCAACATCACATTTCCAACAAATAAATCAGAAGTACATTGGGGTCAACAGAGTGATCTTACATTTTTAGGAGTCCATAATTTCTTACTAAATTGTATCTTGTCAATTTCTATCAATTAAAAAGCCTACCATAAAAAGAAAATGTCTTTTCACTTCTTAAATTTTGTATATTGAGCCTTCAAAAACCAACTTTTTAAGTTTACAAATGATATTTAGGTAGATATTATGATAATATGTGAGTTTAAAAAGTTTTATGTCAACATTTTACTAAAGCAAGTCTAGAGTTGTATATAACAAAAAGATTGGACAATTCCAAGATGCCAGCAAGCTGACACCAGATGTCAACAAGGTGACACCAGATGTCAACAAGCTGACACCAGATGTCAACAAACTGCACAATGTCAACAAGCTGCACAATATCAACAAATTGCACAATGTCAACAAGCTGCCCAATGTCAACAAATTGCACAATGTTAACAAGCTGCACATTTAAATAAAAATAAACATTTAGGACCAATAGTTTTATTTTTTTTATTTACATTATATGAGAAGTATAGCAGATAAAACAGTTTATACAATCTTAAAAAAATTTAAGAAAGTTAATATCTAAAAGCTAATATATAAATAGCTAAAGAAATTTGGTTTACTCTAACGCGTAAAAAAATTCCAGAAACTTTAAGTTTGATACAAATTTGAAAATGCCAAAATGACATTGTTACTTATTTCAGTTCGTAGACATTGTTACTTATTTCAGTTCGTAGACATTGTTACTTATTTCAGTTCGTAGACATTGTTACTTATTTCAGTTCATAGACATTGTTACTTATTTCAGTTCGTAGACATTGTTACTTATTTCAGTTCGTAGACATTGTTACTTATTTCAGTTCATAGACATTGTTACTTATTTCAGTTCATAGACATTGTTACTTATTTCAGTTCAAAGACATTGTTACTTATTTCAGTTCATAGACATTGTTACTTATTTCAGTTCATAGACATTGTTACTTATTTCAGTTCATAGACATTGTTACTTATTTCAGTTCATAGACATTGTTACTTATTTCAGTTCGTAGCTTTAAGTGTTGGAAAAGTCATTATTATTCGTAAAAATGTGTGTATTAAAATATTTATGTCTGTAACAAAATACCGTGTCAAAAGATTCAAAGTCAAGACTTCAAGTAAAGTACTAAACATAATAAAAAGTTAACAATTAAAATAATGAATTAACATTTATATAATAACATTTAAACCTTCTTCTTTCTATTTCCACTAAACTGTTGGATTTGTTTGGCTAGCTCTGTGATTTTATCCAGAAATTTTTGCTCTTTGCCAAGCATCATTCTACGTCTTCGACAATTATGATCACCCTTTTATAAAAATTATATTATACAAAATTAAGGTTTTATTTATAATTTAAGTTTATTAAAATGCTTTAATATAAAAAAAAAATAAAGAAAAAACAAACCCTTAATAATGCTTTAATATAAAAAAAATAAAGAAAAAAAATATCCTTAATAATGCTTTAACATAAAAAAGATAAAGAAAAAAAATATCCTGAAGATAAAGAAAAAAAATATCCTTAAGATAAAGAAAAAAAATATCCTTAAGATAAAGAAAAAAAATAACTTTAATATAAAAAAGAAAAAAACAATTAAACAATACTTTAATGTAAAAAAGATACAAAAAACAAATGCTTAATAATAAATAAAAAAGATAAAAAGTTAACACGTAATAATGCTTTAATATAAAAAAGATAAACAAAAAGTAACAAGTAATAATGCTTTAATATAAAAATGCAAAAAAAAAACAAACCCTTAATAATGCTTTGCTGAACCTCCGCATTATATTCAGATAAATGTCTGTAACTTTTTGATCTCTTTTATCTTTGCATTCTACAAGTAAGTACCTAAAAATATTAAATTTTATTTACTTAAAACATTTTTAACAATAAAAACTATGAAAGAATAGTAATTAAAAATACTTTAAATATTCAAAAAACACTTAAAAAACAAAACCTTAAAAATAATATTTTTTCATAATTAACAAATTAAACACAAATAAGTTGCCATTACAACATTATGATTTACAAAAAACTTTTCACAATTTATATAAAGATATTTACAATCATAAGAACATACCAATAAAAAAAGTTTGCAATTTTATCGTTAGTGCAAGCCCTGGTTACCAAAAAAGATGCAAGATCTAGTTCCTTTAACAAAATGACCAAAGTAAAAAAAAATAAATAATAATAATAGATAAAAAATATAATAAAATTATAATAATAAAATTATAATAATAAAATAATAAAATAAAAAAGAATAAAAATATTAATAAAAAAATAATAACATTAGATAAAAAATAAAACATTAAAGAAGCCATTTCTACCTCTTCATTTTTAACAGATGGTTTTAACAGAACTGAAATATCTTCTTTATCATGATTTACTTCCACTTCCTCAATAGGTTGCATACTTTCAACTAATTAAAAATAATTTTGCTTAAATATTTATCATAAATTAAAAAAATCAATGGTAAATAATGTACAAATACTAATGTACAATTAAATATTAAATTATAAATATTAAATATTAAATTATAATAAAAACATAAAAAAATGTTTTAACTACTATTACATAGTTGTTTTATTTTTAGGTTATCTAAGAACATTTGAAAGGAGGGTCACGCTCCTTCCTTATGAATGTTACTCTTATAAAAACAAAAAATTATTTTTATAAGAGTTACTCATTCCCAGTCCCATGTATGCACATATTTTTAACATACCAACCAAAGTTCTAGTAAGACTAACTATTATGTACAAAATACAAAATTTTAAAGCATTTTTTCAAGTTATGACACACTTGGCCTGGATATCCAAAGATATCCAAATAAAATCATGGAACACAAACTTGTCATAATGTAATTATGTGGTAGTATGTAATACATGTAATATCCACTAAATTATTATTTTGATATGCTTTAAGATAGTATTAATCGTATAAGTATATACATAAATAAAAATTGCAAAGATTAAGAAAAACCAATTAGAAAAATTCTAGCAATTAGAAAAATTCTAGATTGTTATTAAACAATCATAATAGTTTAGTAAGACACATTAAACTTAACGAAATAAAACATAAAATTAAAAAAAAATTTAAGGTTTAAAAATGCTGCTTTAAACACCTCCACCTTGAGGAAACAACATCAATAAGCTAACTTATTATTAAGAGTGTATATTAAAACTATATACTTTATTTCTGGTTATTTGTCCATATGGTTGGACAAATAGTTAATTTTAAATATTGTTTATATATGTCATCACAATAAGAAATTTTTTACTAAAATTTATTAATTTTATTTGTGGGTACAGAATGCCAAAAGTTAATAAATTTGGATTTTTAAACACTTTAAAATTAATTTTTTTTTAATATATTTTTTTATTGTATATTTGTATTACAAATATGAAATAAGCATGATTTCAACACTACTAGTGTTGGTCCAATGTGTATTTAGATGATGTATTTAAAAGATGATTACCACTGGTATAAATACTTACTGTTCTCTCCATCTTCATGAGTTTTTTCTCCAACAGCTTCATCAGAAAGACTACCAACAATACCAGTGTTGGTGGTAGACTCTGCTCTAGTATTGGAATGTTCAGCATCATACTGCAGAGCTTGAACTAGTTGTAAAAGATAAAGTTGCAAATCCTAAGTAAAAATTTATCTGTTGATTTATTTATATATTATTCAAGTATTCAAATAAAATATTTAACTTTTAAATTATTTAAATTATATACATAATAGACAATATTAGATAATGATAAACAATAAATATTTGTTATAATTTAACTTTAATATCTATTTTCTTAAAAGACTTGTAAGATGTCCGCATGCATTTTACAAAAGCTTACCTGAGTTAAACCCTTTGTTTAAATCAGGTATTTTTATTTTAACCTGACCCATCTTGTTTTTATTTATTTGACTCGTCTCTATTAGTATCAATGTTTTTAGCGGAGGTATACCTTAGTATTGAGAAAGTTTAATTTTCGATTAAAAAAAAAAAATTGTGTTGATGTCTCTCTAATGTTGAACAAAACAATTATAAACTGACAGCTAAAATGGTTTTAGTAAATAACTTTCTTATAAAATATATAAAGCATAAATCCAGAGGAAACATTTTTTTGGCTGAATTCTGTGCCAGAATTTATTAAGTTCAAACACTTGTTAGTGCAGCCTTTGTGTTAGTGCTAATAGTTTTAGTTTTTAAAATTTTATATCAACTTATTATTTTAGAACTTTATATCAATTATTTAAAAAGTAGTTAAAGTTTTTTTTCTATTTGTTTTCTATTGTTGAAAACTTTATTGTAGATTAAGTCTCAAGCCAAGGTATATCGGCTTTTAGCCAAGGTATGTTATTTCATTTTTAAAAACTATATGCAACAGTTTATAAATCTTTTTTCTTTCTGCCAATTTTGATTCATTTTTTATGAACAATTTAATTTCAAAAATGTTATTTCTAATATAGTGAAATTTAAGTATTTGGTAAGGTTGTCCTTTTCTTACCAAGTGTTTTTTTTACATGTAATTTAAATAGGATAATTTAAATAGGGTAATTGTAAATTAAATTTTTTCATAATCCAATAACTTAAATTAATGATTAATTTGAGTTGACAACTTAATATAATTTTCAACAACTTATTTGTTGGCTTGAATTTATAGTAATATTTATACTATTGTTACATGTTGATACAACAAATAATTTTTGTTTGTATATTTAAACATTGATTGTACAACAAACATAATTATAAACTATAGGAATGAACATATTCTTTTTATATTCGCAAACAATGATAAGTCAGTTCAAAAACTCAACAAGTTGCAAAGCAATATAGTTTAATAAAGAGTAAAACTCAGAAAATGCATCTTGTAAAAAGATCACAAACATGGGCAAGTAACTTTTCAAGATTTGCAAACTTTAAACAAATTTTTGAGCTTTTTAATAATGTTTGTTGCTCATCTTTAACAGCACAATGAGATTACAAACTTGAAAATTTCAGATGATGAAAATACATGTTCACTACATTTGAAAACAATTTATAATCTGTTGGAAATAAGGAAAATAGGGTAATATGTTGGTGTCATTTTTTAATGACACCATCACAGTACTGTTGAACAAATGGCTCATGAACTAGGCATTATATCAGAGCTGCAATCAGCAGAATGGGTTCTCAAAAATAATCATGTTATTCTAAGATTTGATGCTTCAACACAAAGTGTTCACATTAGTTCAGTTAATTTTTCACTTAATTTCTAAAAAAGTTAAAAAAAAACACTTGGTAGAATTTTTATTATTTTATTGAGTTGATTAAAATGATAAATTATTAATACAGTTAAAATTTTCTTTAAATTTAGCTGCTGCAGAAAAAATTAGTTGTGCTATTTTATTAGTTACATTGTTTGTCAAAATTTTTTTTTGTAACAGTTTTTTGTAACAGATTTTTTGGTTAGTATAAGATTTTTATAATTTTACTAAAAATATCCAGATTTACTTTCTGCATGGATGCCATCTTTACCACTGACATCTAGCACAAACAATTTTTAGAAGATCTCTAATAGTAAATTTTTTCCTAAATTTTTTGTTCATTTTTGTTTTTGACTATTTTCTTTTCTTTTTCTTTTTATAAAATATAGGGTTGTTTAATTTTAAATTTCAGCCTTCTGGTGGTAAAAGAGATGGCAGAGGAGGTGGTGAAAGAAGAGGCAGAAAAACAAACAAACTGGTTAACCACTATGCATACAGTTATTAAAACATGTATTAAGATAAACTTATTTACATACAACTATTAGTATGCTATATTTTATAGTGTATGTGTATACACTATAAAATACAACATTTTTATAGTTATGTGTATGTATATACTTTTTTATGTTAATATTTATATTTAGTCTTCTTTCACATCAAGTTTTTTACATAGTTATAGTTTTTTTTTTGTACATATGCTTGTGTTTTAATTATTATTATTGTTTTTCGATGAAAAAGTTTAAGTTTTTATCATTACTCTTTACACAATACCCCCCCCCCCTTCCCTAAGGGTTTTGATGAATAAATGAAAATACAAAGAATTGGCATTGATATTTGGTGGAAGGGTGCAACTAAAATCTAGATTTTGAATTCAGCATAATCCACAGACATGACAAATTTATCACAGACGTGAATAGTATTGATAAATGCTGTAATAACTGTCAGGTAATTTACAAAAATAATAATCATCTGCAATCAATAGTTTTTAATAGTTTTTAACTGACATAAAGCTGACATAAAACTTGTACCTGAAACAAGTATTATAAAATTTTAAGTATTATTATTAAGTAAATGTTTTTGAATGGTAAGTCTTGTGGAAAACATTATTGCCCCCTGTTGTAGAGGTTTAGCTGGCACAATCTAAACGCTACATCACCCTTATTAACAAAGAAATGTCATCTTTTTCCAGAAACATGAAAAATTTCTGGCCAAATCTTCTCTTAATTTTCAGGGATAGTTGAACTAGTATGTTAAGTATAAGGAATTTTATAAAACAGAAGCAAATAAAATTATATATAAAACAGAAAAAAAAACAATTATTTTACAATAAAGATTTTGATGCCAAACTTATTTCAATATTTTATGAAAATACTAAGCTCGCTGAAAAACTAAATATTACTGATCAAAAAATATTACTAAGTAACTATAGAACATTTAAGCAATGCAAAATTTTGCAATATTCAATAAGCTAACTTAAATTTCTAAATGCTTTACATTAAAAGGATATAAGGATGAAGACCTGTCAAAAATTCCACAAAGATTATAACTTCTTCAATACTATAGTGGTTGCAGTTTGTACCATTGTCACATTCAGTTTATGTCAGGTTTCTCATACACAACATTTTTTTTTTAGTGGAACTCCATAACACCTCATGAACTTGTAAAGTCCCCCTGAAAGTTGTTAGGTTTTCTGGTACGCATATCTCATAGAGATTAAAATCAGTGTTGTTAATAGTATAGATGGTTGTACTTGGACACTTGTTTTTTATTTCTTCAACCAAAAAATTAATATCAGGAAAATCTTTCTCTTGTCCTATTAATCTGTCTGAGGTTCTTTTGATGCAGCCCCCTATTCAATCAGGGGCACCTTTACTGAGCCTTTTTTCTGTGAAATGTCATCTCATTGTTTTAGCTCTAAACACTTTTTGAAAAAAAGTACCTATCAAATAGAACTTGTTTTGGCTCTGTTGAGCAGTACTATCGGTAAGGGAATGAGCTGTTTCAATGATAAGCAGCTTTTCATTCAAGTCATTAATAACAAGCTTTAAATGCGCACAGATCTCAACAAAGTTGTGTGGCCTATTATCAGAAAATGTACAGTAAGATTTTGCCTTTATTTTGTTTTCAAAAGTACTGTAATAGAACACCACTTGGTTTCTTGATCCACTGAAGTGGAGTGATTGAATTTCTTTTGAGTATTTATAATTGTAATTTTCTAAAGAATCATTACGTATGAAAATATCCCAAGTTAATTTTTATTTCTGATGTAGATTTGTACTGGTGTTTTATGTTGAAAACATGCCTCATAAACCTTTCTTACATGTTATAAATAAAATACAAAAACAGCTGTTTTTTAGTTAATGTTAACCCTTCTTTTAGAGTTTTGAAACATGTCTTTATTTTACCTTTTACCACAAGTTCAACTCTTTTTTTAGACCAATAGGGAAATGTTACTTGTTCATTCTCAAATTCTGTACAAACTATTTATTTGTTTAAACTGCATAATTCACATTTACTTTCCAGGCACAACTCTCTCAGCTCACCGTCACATGTTAACTTTTTAGCAAGTTAGTAGGATACTTATATACCAACATCTTTAAAGTATACAATCTTTTTAAGAATCAAAGCAAAATTCTTATAGTCAATAAAAAGACAAGTATCTCATTTACGGAAGTTTGGTTGAAAAACCCAAAATTTGCAAAATGTGCTATAAGACGTTGACTTTAACTAAGATGTTTGTTTGGACTCATGATACAAATTTAACATTGTATCATTTGATATTCCTTTCTGTTTTTTCAGTTTATTTCTTGTTATTATTTCTTTTTTCTCAGCAGTAAGCCTACTAGAACTATATTTTAAAAAAAAGTTCTCTACTTCCATTATTAGCTTTTGTTTCAGTACATTTGAGGACTGATTCAAGTTGCATGATAAGATATATCTAGAAGTAAGATTGTTGAAGCTTCTTTGAAGTCTGTACTTCTTTATTATTTTTCTGCTTTATACCTTGGCAAAATTATTTTTTTGTTAATACATCTCTCAGTAGAAAAATTTGATTGTATATGTGTCTTTAACACTTTGTTAAAAAGCGAGCTTTTCTTTACTTCTTTCAAGCATTTCTTACCAATGGTCATTTTTTAACCATCTATCGAGGAGTATTATCTTTTGCAGACCGCAGTCTGTAGAATTTATCACCTCTTTGCTATAACTATTAGTTTTGTTCTTCCAATTTTTGGACTTTTTTCTTCAACCTATCTATATATTTTCTACAAACTTAATATTTATAGTTGGACTTTCAGGTAGTGTAGACAAATTTTCAATAAGTTGTTGTCTCTTCTTTATCATTTCCTGACTTCTTTTGGTCATTTCTTCCAACCTTTTTTACTGATCTTTTATCCTTTTCTGAAAGTTCATGAATTTTCTTCCATGTTTCGCTTTTTTTCTTTCTCTATCCATTTTTGTTCTTCATACTTGTCTGGGCTTTCACCTTCTTCCTTGCCTTAGTTTTTCTCAATTCTCTAGTTTTTTATTTCCCATCTTTGTAAACTGTAAAGTAAAGAAAAAATACGGCATTTTATTGGAATTAACAATTCTACTCACAAATGTGACACTTGACATGAGCTTCAATCACATTAGTTACTTTAAAAATATGCTTCAAGGAAAATATTATGTCAACTCTAATTTTAATGTATTTTTTATTATTTTTTATTTATTAAAATAAAAGTAAAGCATCAAGGATTAAACTAATTGGGGTAAGCAAAAGGTCTATGTGGTGACATTTCATAACCGTGACTTGTCACAGTCTGTGGAACTTTATTTATTTACTGAAAATATTATTTTGGATTAGTTTTGATGAGTTTAACATTGTATAAGCTGTAAACTTATTATTTGTACCGGTTAAAAGTAAAAATATTATTAACTTTAAAGAAAAAATTAGTAGTGACAGTACATTCCTACCATTCAGAAGAAACTACAAATACTTTTTTTTAGTCCTTCTTTATATACTTAAACCTTTCTTTTGATACCAAGTTGTATGAGTTATGATTAGAATTGACAAAGCTATAACATTTTAAATTGAGAAACCCTCTAAATTTGGCCACCATTTCTTTAACAAACCCATATATCAAAAATTGGGTACTTAAAACGCTATAAATTTTTGTAGAAATGTTTAACTTTGTATTATTTACTTGTGATGTAAAATTAAAATACTGTTTTGAAGCTCTTTCCAATGATATAAAAAATTCTAGTATTCAATCAACTTAAAATTTTCATGTCACATACCTATACAAAGGCAATAATAAATTTCATGTCACATACCTATACAAAAGCAATAATAAATTTCATGTCACATACCTATACAAAGGCAATAATAAATTTCATGTCACATACCTATACAAAGGCAATAATAAATTTCATGTCACATACCTATACAAAGGCAATAATAATTGTATATAAATATTGTATTGTATAATAATTGTTAAATAATTTGCCCCATGAGAATTATAAAGTTCTTGCTTTTTTTATGAATCAATAATTTTTAATCTTTAATTGTTTAAATATTTCTATCCTACTATTTGTATTAATAAACTATGGGTTCCACCATAAACAAGAATTTTCAAAACTTAAATTAATGCAAATGCAAATACTTAATAAAAATAAAACAAAATTTCGTTTTTTCATTTTCATTTGCTTTTATTAAATTTTATTTTATTAACATTTTTTATTTGCCTAAAGTTTTATTTTTAACAATAATTTCTGATAGCATTTCTCTACAAAGTTATACTTTCAACAATAACTTCTGTTACTTTAAAATTTCTGTCATCCATAAAAAATAAAAAACCTTAACAAGAGTTCATAGGCTTACTATGTTAAAAAAAAATCTAACACAAAATCATATTTTTTCTGAAATATATAATATAACAATGATTTCAGTTTTACTTTTTACACATTTAAAACATTTTCATAGTCAGAAATAAAACTATTTAACACAGAAAATTTACTTCTTTAAGAAATTATAAAAATCAATCCCAATAATTTTCTTTAAGAAGGATTAACTTGGACTTAATATGGATTTTTTGGATATTTTCTGTAAGATTTTCTGTAATTGGATATTTTCTGTAAGAAGAACTTAATTTAGATTTTTTTAAACTAAAAAAAAAAAGGTTTATATAATACTAATAATATATTACTAAATAACAATATATTACTAATAGTATATTACTAAAATTAAAAAAATATTTTCCTACTACTTTAAAAGCATTTTAAAAGTAATCTATAAATTACACAAATCAAAAATATTCTATAAGTTGCACACACAAATCAAAAGTATTCTATAAATTGCACACACAAATCATAAACAAATCAAAATAAAATAAAAACCTCATCTGAAGATTGTTTTAATCTTGAAACAGCATACTGGCGAACAACTTTGTTGGTGAAGTGTGGAGTTAGCAATTCCAAAGCATCAACAGCATCTATAGGCTCCCACTTGTAAAGAAGATCCAGAGCCTAGTAATAAAATATGTAAAAAAAAAAAAAAAAAAAAAAATCACACTTCATACTTTATAATAGTGTAAAAGTTGATATAAAGAAACTCAAAATATTTAAAATATTTTATTTTGCCTAAAGACAAGTTCAGAACAATTTAATAAAGCTAACTAAATGGAAGACTGAAGATTGAAATAGAAGCATTCATTGTCTGTGAACAAGCATCGGTACTAGTGCCAAATGTCATTTAAACATAAACTGTTGTCATTGGTAGATTTTTAAACAATAAAGGCAGGCTGAGCAGATTAGTCGAAGATATGAAATAACATTAAAAATAAATAAACTAAAAAATGTGGCAAAGCAAATAAAAAAATGTAAAAAGCTTAAACAGAAAGTGAGACTATTTTTAAAATTTTGCTATAAGAGTAGCAGTTTTCTTGGGTGCAATAAGGATTAAAAAAGCTTTTCCAAGGAGAAATTAAAACAAAGTCAACTCTTTTAGGCCTGGGATTTTACTTTTTTATGTTCATGATACTTTTAAAAAAAGAAGAACTTCTCACATGAGAGACTGCTTTTTACATTGTCAATATACTTGAAGTTACCACTTAAAATTAAAAGTTAAAATGTTTAAAAAAAAAATTGGAAAATGTCGCATAAACAGCTGGTTTGAAAGATTTCTTCAACTTTAAACAAATAATATATGAACTTTTTTATTTTTAACAAATAATAAATACACATTTAAAATTTAAACAAAATTTTTTTACTTGTTTTGCTTCTAATGTGTGATTCCAGTTTACACATTTTAAGAACTTTGTCAAAGCCTATAAAAGAAAAAATTAAAAATATAACCTCTTTTATTAAATGGTTTAAAAAACAATTTCTTCATTAATCATGTCTAAATATATTTCTTCATTAATCATGTCTAAATATATATTCCTATTAACTTTATGGTTTATATATGTACTTGTGCATGATTTTACCAAAGGATTATTGTTTTTAAAAACATTAAAAGCACATAGGTGTTATATTGGAATCAAAATAATTATTGGCACAAAAAATTTAATTAGTATTTTTTTGAATTTTTGTGGGAATAAAAAAAATTTTGGCAAGTATATCTAGTCAAAAAATCCTATAGGATCCTATAATTTGGAACAAAAAAAATTTACAGATTTGAACCACATTAAACTAAAACACACGAGCTAAAAAGTGTTTATTGCTATCAAAGTTTGTTTTTTTTTGTCTAAAATTATATATGAAACTATGGCCTACTAAAATTACACTGGTTTGTTCGTTTTTATGACAAAAAATTAAGAAGAGTTTTATTTGTTGTAATAAATGAAAGCCTTCTTTAAACAGAAGGCTTTGATTTTTTTGTTATATATAATATTTTTTGATTATTTATGAATTTTATTATGAGTTTAATTCCCAGACAGCAAGCTTATATTGGCCCAAGGTAAGTTTTAACATTGGCAATTTTATTTCGTTGGACCACCATTTAGCCAATGTTTTTTTTGGCGTAATATTTAAATTATTTAAATTTGTTTTTTGCAAATATCGTACTATGTTGGGCCAACATATGGCCAATGTAATATCGGCTTTATAAAAATCTGTTCTTACATGAATGCTGTAGCCAATATTTGACCAATGTAGTTGCGGATCATTTTATTGGTATATTTTTAAAACTTGTTGCATAACATTTTAAAAAAATGGCATTGTTTTAAAAAATAAAGAAAGGTTTTGATACTTTTTTCCATTTTATTGAATTATCAAAATTAAAAAAATAGCCTATTAATCATAAGAAGTCAACTTCAAGAGGTTCTTGTGACAATGTTTCATTTTTTTTAAATAAAAAAATATTAATTAATATTTAAATAATGTGCTTATAACATTTTACTACAATCTAAATTATCGATGCAAAAATAAAGGCAATAATCAAATTATTTTTTTGTAAGATCGTATAGTTATTATTTTTTTTCAATACTGTTTTTACTGTATTGACATTTCCAATGTTTGATTTATTTAATAAAGAAGATATGCATACTATGTCTTCAAGAAAAATGCATACTATGTCTACAAGAAAAATATCAAATAACTACACATGCAAACCAAGAATGTTTGTTAAACAAAAAATCAGAATCGATTTCTAAATGCAGGCACGAAAATAAGTTTCTCCTAAAAAACTATAAAAATAAGTGAGCTCAAAAAATAGTTACATTAAATCCCCTCCTTTTTAAAAATATTTTTATAAAAAAAGGCATAAGGTATCATTTCTAAAGAATTATTTTTATAATAGTGTCAGCAAATTCCACAAATGTGTGAAAATTTACAGTAGTTAAAACATTTGCGACTTCTTGTAATTTAATTTTTTTGGTATAAATTGAAGTTTTATTAATTTGATCATTCATTTCTGATGAGTCTTTGTTGATGAAACAGTGTAAAAAAAAAAAAAAATTGTTAAGTGATTTTCTACTAATTTATATATATATATATATATATATATATATATATATATATATATATATATATATATATATATATATATATATATATATTCAAATTAAAATAACATTTAAAAAAACCTTTTAATTAATTACTTAAATTTCAATTTTTAGTTTTTATATTCATTAAATTTTTAATTGTCAAATAAAAATAATAACAGTTTTTTAAACATTGAATAAATCCAAATAACTGCTGGATTTTTTTTTATAATTATATTATATTTTTTATATCTTTATGATTAATGTAATGAAAAAAATATTAAAATATATATTAAAAAAAAACACTTAACAAAATAAATTATTTAACAATGCTATTGCTAATGTATAAAAAAACTTCACAGGTCAAAAATAAAGAAATTTGAAAGTTTACTGATAAATTTGATAGTAGAAATATTAAAAACAATAAATTTATGTTTCAAATTCAAACAGAAACTAAACTATAAAATAAAAAAATCATTTTGGTATCAATTGTAAATATTTTTAAAAATAAAATTTAAATAGAACTTAATGAAACATTTTTTACTTTTTTATTTGTTGAGAGATAAAATCTAAACTGCCATATTAAATCTTTTTCCTCAGAAGTCAAATTTGCTGTAGGAGGATACTCAATAATTTTCTAAAAATAATCAAAGAGAAAAGTAATAATAAAAAAAATTAAAAAAAAAAACAACTAAAAACAACAATAAACCAAACAAAAAATTGAAAAAGTCAACAGATTAAAAGAACATTATACTTATTGGTGAAATCCCTTACATGTAGGGACATCTAAGTAAATTAAAAACATATATATATATATATATATATATATATATATATATATATATATATATATATATATATATATATATATATATATATATATATATATATATATATAACTATGATGAATAATGATGAGGCCTAATTATGAGGGCTGGATATATATATAAAAATATATATATATATATATATATATATATATATATATATATATATATATATAATATATATATATATATATATATATATATATATATATATATATATATATATATAATATGTATATAATATATATATATAATACATATATATATATATTTTTATTTTAATTCACCTCCTCAAGGCCAAGAAGGCCACTACAGACGAGGAGGCTACTTATTTGTGGCTATAACCCTCTCTCAACTCTATAACTCCGAAACACGAACCTTGATAAACAAGGCCGCTGCGCGGAGAAACGAGTTGAGCGCGGTACTACCAGGGACGTGGCGAGGATCTCCGAACCACTCGTTTATGAAGCAAGGGCTCTACCACTACACCACTACCGCATTATATATATATATAATATATATATATACATATATATAATATAATATATATAATATATATATAACATATATATATATATATATATATATATATATACATATATATATAATATATAATATATATATATATATATATATATATATATATATATATATATATATATATATATATATATGTATATATATATATATATATATATATATATATATATATATATATATATATATATATATATATATATATATATATATCAGGGTTGTTCGCCGAAAAACAAAACTTGCGAAAATTTCGCATCTTTATCTACCGTAATAGAATTGTTATTGCGGAAGTTGCACATGCAAAAATGCACATTCCGTAACGCGCTATACGAAAATATAAATAGTAAATAAAATTCCGTAATAAAAGATTGCGAAAGAAAACTTGCGAAACAAATCATTTCGTAAGAATACTTACGAAATAGTTCCTTACGGAAAAAGCATTTTGGAATGTGTAGTTACGAAAAAGACGCAAAAGATTTTATGTTACGATATATTTAAGATATTAACTGTTAACAGTTTAAATAATAAAATTATAATATATATATATATATATAAATATGTATATATTTATATATATATATATATATATATATATATATATATATATATATATATATATATATATATATATATATATATATATACAGTAAAATCCCGTTAAGTTGGACTCTCAATGAACAGATAAACAGTATGCCTTTCTTTTTAAAAAGTATAAAGAGGATGTGTGATAAACAATTAAATACTTTATTATAAAGAACGAGAGATCTCTCTAAAGGTAAATGATATCAGAAAGAGTAGAAAGAGAAGAAATATATGTGAAACAGCGGGATGTGAACCTGGGTCTACGCGGCCAAATGTCTTAACTGAATGAGCTATACGTTCATTCAACTAAGTGAATAGTAATATTTATTTAATATATAATCAAGAAACTATATAAAACAGAATTTACAGAAAGAGATACGTATGCAAATAGGATTCTATATATCAGGAAAATGAATAGTAATGTGAACCTTTAAATGCTTATAATAAATATCTGGACTCAAAAACTAGTTACTTTTAATGGAACACAATAGGCTGTAGGAGCCTCAGGGAAATTATATTCAGAAATGGTTATATTAGACTCAGAGTTAGCTAGAAATTATTACAAAGTATTTAGGACAGATGTCTAGTACAAAAAGCAAAAGATTTAAAGCAGAATGATTTATATTATTTGAAAAAGTTGTTTTACGTACATTTCATCATAATTTAAGTAGAACTTAGTAAAGCAAGGGAAACGTGTTGAATTAAGCACAATGAACTCAATCTTAAAAGAATAACTAACAGAAGAGAGGTTGTCACTATTGTGAAGGTGACGAAAGATCTGTAATATAGAACATGGAGGTCAAAAAATGCTATCTTAAGTAAAAAGAGTTTAATGAACAAAAGTTACAATGGCTGCGGGATGCGAACCCGGATCTCTGCGGCGAATTATCACGTATCTAACTGATTGAACTATACAATCTTATACTCAAATTTATATCTTATTAAAATTAAAAAACAATATTTTCTTAGATCTATACTTCGAAAAGCGTATTCAAACAGGACTCTAAATACCTTTAAAATCTGCTAGAACTTTAGTAACGTGCACACTTTTAGAAATTATTGAAATAGGTATATTTTATCAGAAATATGCTTAAGCTAAAGCATATTTTTGAGCCTCTTTTTACTATTTGCTTAAGCATATTCAAACCTGTTTCAAAAATTTTATATGCTTTAAAAAAAAAAACATAAATATTCCTACACATCAATTTTGGGATATAAAGATGTTAATTTTTACAATTAAAACCAGTCTGGCAAACAAAATTTCTTTATAGACTTCAAAACGTCGATTAGCGACAATGTTTGTTTCGCAAGTGTGACTTCCGAAACCGTACTTTCGTATGTTACAAAATAGTTTTGTTTCGTATGTCAACTTGCGAAATGCTAAATTTCGGAAGTGAATTTTGCGAAATGAACATTGGCGATTTTAAATGTTTTGTAACATTCGGTACGAAAAAATGTAATTCCTCGTTCTCAATCTCCTTACGAAAGAATGTTGTTTTTCCGGAATTGCACGAAATCCTCCGGTTAACAACCCTAATATATATATATATTTATATTTATTTTTATAAATATATACATATAATACACTGTTGTATTTATAACTATATATATATATATTTATAACTATATATATATATATATATATATTGTATTTATAATATATTGTATTTATAACTATATATATATATATATATATATATATATATATATATATATATATATATATATATATATATATATATATATATATATATATATATATATATAATATATATATATATATATATATATATATATTTATATTTATTTTTATAAATATATACATATAATACACTGTTGTATTTATAACTAAAAAAACCGTTAGGTGATCTCTTTTAGCAGCATTTGGTTTCAACTCTCTAGATATTGTGCCACTACGGATGCTTCTTGTCAGTCTGTGATGTTTACTCTCAACCAAATTTTCTTTTAATATTTCATGATCTGGTAAAGTAACTATTTCAGGAAACACTTTGACATACTCAATTTCATCAGCATCCTGTTAAACAAAAGATAAAAAAACATATCTATTTCTATAAAATGCAAAATAAATATGTTCAAAAATATCAAAAATTGTATTAAGAATTAATTTATTAATACTTGTAAATTTAAAGAGTTGCAATTTGTTAAGTTAATTATTTAACAGTTGACTTTTATACAATCGATGTGGTATGATAGAACTGACCACATACTACAAAGAGTTTATCTACCATAACCATGGTAATAAATATTTCAGGTTGTTTCTTTTTTTGTTTTTTTTGATGCTTGTAACAACATTCAATTCGAAAACAAAAATAAAAGAATGTAGCATTCTCTACTTAAGTGACCTCTATGTCAATTGGCCATCTCACTTATTGTTTAAGTTTTTTTTTCTAAATATTAGTTTTTACTTACTTTTTCAAAATAAACAATAGCATGTTCAACTCCATTCAGAATAACACGAGGAAATTCAATCATCAGATAAAAAAACTTTGAATTACGCTTCTCACGCTAAAAACATAACTAATTCATAAAATCATGTGCAATTAATTTATGTAACATTGTTTAATAGTTATTTAAATATTGTTAAAAGTAATGTGTAAATAATTTTAAAATTTTTATAATTTTATTAAAAAAAATTAGATATTATAAAATAATTAAGTTATTATTTTTATAATATTATCATTCTTAATTAAAACCTTTAAAAAATATACCTCATTAACCATTTCAATTTCTCTGAAGGTTAAACGATCAAGCCAGTCTACCTTCATGATTCTTCCTTTGTGATGTTTTTTACTCAGCTATGATAAATAATAAAAAATTAATACATGCCTAAAAAAATCTTTATAACTTTTAAGAAACTATAAAATTATTTTTTGTTGACACTAGCGTTTAGTGAGTGACTTCAACTTGTATTTATGATGAACATAGTTCATTATAAAGAAGTATTTTTTGACTGAAAAAAATGTCTTAATACTATGATAAATTACATCACTCATCACTCTTATTACTTCATCACTCTTTACTTATTACTTCATCATTTTTTACTTATTACTTCATCACTCTTTACTTATTACTTCATCACTCTTTACTTACTACTTTGTCACTCTTTACTTATTGCTTCATCACTCTATACTTATTACTTCATCACTCTTTACTTATTACTTTGTCACTCTTTACTTATTACTTCATCACTCTTAACTTATTACTTCATCACACTTTACTTATTATGTTTAAATAAAATGTTTTTCTTCTTGAGAAAATTACTGCTGGATGCAAACTTATATCATATATAACTATATATGACATAAGAAAATTTTGAAGTAATTTCCTTCCACTTTAAAATAGATATCCGTTTTATTAGAAGAAAAATAGTAGTATATTATATGCAAAAAATAATTTTTAACACAAATGAATTCAAAGTAGTAAATTAATATATATATATATATATATATATATATATATATATATATATATATATATATATATATATATATATATATATATATATATATATATAAACAATAGTTACAAGTATTAAATAAAAATAATTAATTTGAATTATGTAAAAAAAGATTCATTTTTCACTTTAGATAACTTGGTCATTTCATCTTTAGAATCTTCTTCTTTCCCTGGAGTTGAATTATCACCTTTTGCAATTTTTCCAGGCCATACTCTCAAATCATGAATGCCTTGACGAAGAATACTAAATAAAATATTTTCAAATTATTAAATTTAAAATTAATATAATCTACCACTAGAAAAGCTTTTGGTGTGTAAAAAAACTTTTTTTTAAAGGGTTCTATAAGAAAACCTTTTAGCAAAGGGTCTGTTCATGGTAAAACATATAAAAAACCCGAGTACTGTTTATTGATATCAAGGCATAATTAAAGAAGGATAAAAATAGAAAGGGTATAAAATAGAATTACGATTGCCTAGCAATATGATACTTTAAATAAAATAATAGTATTTATTTTATTTTATTATATTTAAAATTGTATTTTGTTAAAATTTTTAAAGTAGAATATGCAAAAGTGTATACTTTTTAAGTTAATCGTTTTATCTATGAGATTCCTATAGATCAATGAGAATATTTTAAAAATTTTAAAGTAAAGCTAATAATTAAAATTTAAAGTAGAACTAATAATAAAGTTAAGGAATTATGTCTGCAAATATCGAAAACTGGTCGCCTGCAGAAGTAGCCAAATGGCTGATAGATAATGGATTTAATGAACAGACTGCAACTTAATTTGAAAGTAATTTTTTTATTATTATGCATTTTATAGTAAACATTTTAATTGTACTGTTTACATTGCAGATTTCTGATAATATACAATAGCAAAACATGCCCCAATTTTATTGTGAATGTGGCAACAATTATTTTTCATTTGGAAAGTATTTACGACATATCTTGTTTCATGAAAATCAGCCTCTTTTTTATGTTAGATGTGTTTCAAGTACATGCAAGCAAACTTTCAAAAGTGCTGATAGTCTAAAAAAAGATTTTCAATGAAAGCACAGTAATTTATTAAGAAACTGGTCTAATGATAATGGAAGTGATTAGGGAAGTAGAAATAATAGAAATGATAATATCATTGATTCATCTGAAACAACCAAAGAATCAAATGATCAAAATAATGAAAAATTAGATCAAGATTTTAAATGTAAAAATATTACTGATATGCTTAACACTTTGGAAAAACATTTTGCATTTCTTCTTTTGCAACTAAGAGAGGTATACCCACTTCCAGCTTCTGTTTATGCAGAAATTGCAAAAGATATACAAAGCCTACTTTTGATTATACTAAGTAGTTTTAAGGATGTTATATGTCAATATTTATTCAAAAATAATATTTTACCACTGGACAATGATTGGGCACATATAACAGACACAGAAAGATTGCTGCAATTCATGGGTGAGATGTCTTCAAATGAAAATAGACTAATAGGATTATTGAAAAGCAAAAATATGATTGCAATGCCAAGACAAATAGATTTTAGAATAAATAATACAACTGCTGTTTTACAATACATTCTAATTCTGGAAGTTTTATCAAAATTAGTTTCCCATGAAGATGTTTACAATTGTTTGGGTGACAGTTACAATCAGTCTCTTTCTAATAATGATTTTATGATGTCTTTTTGTGACTGAAATTTTTCATAGTGACAATTTTTTTTCTGAAAATCCAAGTGCATTGCAGATTCAGTTATATGTAGATGAAGTTGAGCTTTGCAATCCAATAGGAGCTAAGCAAGGGAAGCATAAAGTGACTGCATTTTATTTTTTGTTAGGCATTATTCCATCTAAGTTTCATTCAAAGCAAAAGTTTATTCATTTGGCATTATTGATTGAACATAAATTTATAAAAATGGCCAAATATGACTACACTGAAGTTCTTCGTCCATTAATTTATAATTTAAATGTACTGCAGAGAGAAGGAATTGAGGTTTCCGTCAATGGATTACGTCAACATTTAAAAGGCCAACTAACAGGTATATCGGCTGATATGCTTTCAGCTCATGCTATAGGAGGATTTCAGCAGTATTTCCATACTGGAAGAATTTGTCGTTTGTGTATGGTAGACAATTCAGAAATTGAAAATAACTTTAGTGAAAGCACTCTTCGTCTCAGAACACCAGAAATTCATGAATACCACTTAGCTGCTATAACTGGTAATGCAGCAAACAAGAATGTGTATGGTGTTAGCAAAAAGTGGGCCTTTTTAGAGTTAGATAACTTTGATGTACTTACAGCTTTCCCTCGAGATATAATACATGATTTATTTGAAGGCATTATGCCAGTAACTTAAATGTGTTATCAAACATTTGTTAAGCTCTTGTAATACATTATCAGTAAATAATATAAAGGAATCTATAAACAAAATTCATTTAATTAATTCATCTAATCGCCCTTGCTAATTACCTTGAAACATTGCATCAGATAAAGCACACATAAATGGAACAGCTGTACAGAAATTAGAACTTTTCTTATTGTTTCCGCAGTTAGTCGGTAATGATGTACCACAGGGAAATATTGGCTGGGAGGTTTATCTTATACTTCGTGAAATATGTAACATTGTTATTGCCCCAATTGTAGATAGTGACAGTATATACATGTAAGAAGAACTAGTTGCTATGTTTTTGAAAACATTTTCTGAAGTATTTGGTTCTGAATATACTATTCCAAAAATGCACATGCTTGTTCATTACCCTCGTCTGATACGTCTTTTTGGGCTTCTATGAAATTTTTGGTGTTTATGATTTGAATCTAAACATCAGTATTTTAAAAAAGCTGCCTCAAATGGACAATGTTTCAAGAATATTACCAAAACATTATCAAAGCGCCATCAAATTGCATCAAATTACAGTTGCAGTGCTGGGAAATGCTGACAGATAATATGTTTTTATCTAATTATACTGTGTCTGGAAACACACCTAGATTTTCTCATAGCATGTTAAAGTTCAAGAAGCTATAAGACTCACTTAATTTAGATATAGAAGGGAATGAATCCATAGTTATAGTGAAATCAATATCAGTTGATAGTATTTTCTATTCTATTAAAGCAGTGTTGAAACTGTTCAATTTTTTTTTTAAAGTGGTATACACTGTCTGTTTATGCAACTGTTGGTTCTTATGTGGAAACCTGTTGACACCAAATTATTTTTCACATCATTTGCATTCTTATCAAGTTTTGGATGAAAATGAGTGGACAGTTTGCAGAACAGGATGTTTTATTGATTTTAATCAGCATGACTATTTTAAATTCAACAACTGTCAGTATGTGAGAATGAGGTATAGCATTATGCATCTGCCTTGCGCTTCAATTTAAGAACATGATTATTTAAATACTATTTAGTTTGTTTATTTGAAAATTATGTATGTTTAGTAAAACTATTGTTCTTATTGTTTATTTGCAATAGGGCATGAATTAACTGGTGACTATTTATGTGACCTTACAGAGCAAATGCTAACAGAGCTTTTACCTTTAATAAAAGATCGGATAAGATTTATTTGTCTTTTGAAAACAACAAAACCATCTGTTTCAGCAACATTAAATAATTCTAAATCTAGCTATACTGCAGTTGTATCAAATGTTATCAGTGTAAATAATGAAAAGGGTGAAACAACAGTGGCAGTTTTCCAGAAATTGAAGAAGCAGAATGTGTACATAGGTTTTTATAGTATTTTTACTTTATATACATATTTTTTTTAAATAATAAAACTCTATCATTTATTTGAATTTACTTTTATTTAATTTTATAAATTTAATGTTTGTATAATACTTGTGTTTATGAACTATTATGTATTAAATGATGAATTTTATTGTTATAAAATATGTTTTTAACCATGTTGTTACTATTATGCATTAAATGATGAATTTTATTGTTATAAAAGTTGAATGATATTTGAATGTTATAAAAATTGAATGATATTCGAATGTTATAAAAGTTGAATGATATTCGAATGTTATAAAAGTTGAATGATATTGGAATGTTATAAAAGTTGAATGATATTGGAATGTTATAAAAGTTGAATGATATTCGAATGTTATAAAAGTTGAATGATATTCGAATGTTATAAAAGTTGAATGATATTTGAATGTTATAAAAGTTGAATGATATTTGAATGTTATAAAAGTTGAATGATATTTGAATGTTATAAAAGTTGAATGATATTTGAATGTTATAAAAGTTGAATGATATTCGAATGTTATAAAAGTTGAATGATATTTGAATGTTATCAAAGTTGAATGATATTTGAATGTTATAAAAGTTGAATGATATTTGAATGTTATAAAAGTTGAATGATATTTGAATGTTATAAAAGTTGAATGATATTCGAATGTTATAAAAGTTGAATGATATTTGAATGTTATGTTATAAAAGTTGAATGATATTCGAATGTTATAAAAGTTGAATGATATTCGAATGTTATAAAAGTTGAATGATATTTGAATGTTATGTTATAAAAGTTGAATGATATTCGAATGTTATAAAAGTTGAATGATATTTGAATGTTATAAAAGTTGAATGATATTTGAATGTTATAAAAGTTGAATGATATTTGAATGTTATAAAAGTTGAATGATATTTGAATGTTATAAAAGTTGAATGATATTCGAATGTTATAAAAGTTGAATGATATTCGAATGTTATAAAAGTTGAATGATATTTGAATGTTATGTTATAAAAGTTGAATGATATTCGAATGTTATAAAAGTTGAATGATATTTGAATGTTATCAAAGTTGAATGATATTTGAATGTTATAAAAGTTGAATGATATTTGAATGTTATAAAAGTTGAATGATATTTGAATGTTATAAAAGTTGAATGATATTCGAATGTTATAAAAGTTGAATGATATTCGAATGTTATAAAAGTTGAATGATATTCGAATGTTATAAAAGTTGAATGATATTTGAATGTTATAAAAGTTGAATGATATTTGAATGTTATAAAAGTTGAATGATATTCGAATGTTATAAAAGTTGAATGATATTCGAATGTTATAAAAGTTGAATGATATTTGAATGTTATCAAAGTTGAATGATATTTGAATGTTATAAAAGTTGAATGATATTTGAATGTTATAAAAGTTGAATGATATTTGAATGTTATAAAAGTTGAATGATATTCGAATGTTATAAAAGTTGAATGATATTTGAATGTTATGTTATAAAAGTTGAATGATATTCGAATGTTATAAAAGTTGAATGATATTCGAATGTTATAAAAGTTGAATGATATTTGAATGTTATGTTATAAAAGTTGAATGATATTCGAATGTTATAAAAGTTGAGTGATATTTGAATGTTATAAAAGTTGAATGATATTTGAATGTTATAAAAGTTGAATGATATTTGAATGTTATAAAAGTTGAATGATATTTGAATGTTATAAAAGTTGAATGATATTTGAATGTTATAAAAGTTGAATGATATTTGAATGTTATAAAAGTTGAATGAATTTAAATCAGAGTAATTTAATGAATAAATTTTATTTTTAAGTAATTCTCTGAATTTAATTTTAACTCTGGTTTGATTGAATTACTGTGATTATTTTATTTATGTAGCCAGGTGCAAGAATTTCCTTTTGTATACTAGTTGCCACTTTTTACGGATAATGTTCAAAAAGCAAAGCGCTCTTAATTGATGCACTATTTGATGACTCGAAAAGGCGTGACATTTTGTACTTTGAAAATTATTGTTCTTGTTTTATACTTCGCCGACTCAGAGTTTGCCATTTCTCAATTTTCATTACATCGATTTTTTATGATTAACTATTTTTCATATTTAAAACAATAATTTGTTCTTTCCTTTGCTACATTTATATTATAATATCAATATTAAATATTTTGTAATGTTTTATAAAAAACTTTTTATACAGGTATTCAACCAGAAGAATATTACACATGTGTACTAATACTGCTGTTTTATATATACTAGCTTTATCAAATGTATTATTTTGCATATATTTACAATTAAAGATATTAATACTTTTAGATTGGAAGGTGATGTTTGTTACATTGCTGTTACCCTCATTATTTAGGGAGAAGGAAGAATTGTTTTTTCCCATACCCAAGCAGGTAGATGTTTATTGGTAAATTGTACATTATTTAAAAAATTCCACTTGATCGTATTTTTCTATAGTCCATTGTTTATAGTCCATTCCAATATAATATGTTTATTTAGGATTTTTTCAGGAGAATTTTTTAAAAAATAAAATATTTTTATATTTAAGAGATGTTAATTGAAGTTGACAAAAGCATAACAAACCAGATGATACCAAAAAGATTAAAAAACATCTTAGGAAGAATGTAAAACAATTAAGCATCTACAATTAATATCATGGATACTGCTAAAAGTTGTGAATTGACAAGTAATATTTTAGTAATAAATATTTATGCAGCATAACTTTCTCAGTATTAAGTTATAGAAGATAATAATGTCAATAATATGTAAAAGAATAAGTTTGAAGAAGCATTATTTATAAGCATTATTGATATTTGACATTTTTTTTTATATTTAGTTCTAGGTGCCCTGAGAAGACCTAAAGATATTGTCACAGAGCACCACGGAAATATATATATATACATATACATATATATATATATATATATATATATATATATATATATATATATATATATATATATATATATATATATATATATAATATATATATATATATATATATATATATATATATATATATATATATATATATATATACATATATACATATATACATACATATATATATATATATATATATATATATATATATATATATATATATATATATATATATATATATATATATGTATATATATATATATATATATATATATATATATATATATATATATATATATATATATATATATATATATATATATATATATATATATATATATATATATATATATATATATATATATATACATACATACTATATTTACTTTTGAATATAAGAATAACAAATATGGTATATTTTAACCTAAAGCAACTTGCTTCCGTGTAAGAAATGAATATCAATTTTAAAAAACTTTAAAACAAAAATTCTTTTTTTTCTCATAAAAATAAGTGTTTGATATATCATTTGAATATAAAAAAAATTTATAAAAAAGTATTACCCATGTTTCCCAAACAAAGATACAGTTGTTCCACCAACAGGATTAGCTTGGTTACAGTCATATATATCCCAAATAGTTATACCAAGCTAAACACAGTAAATAAAAATTAGATAAAATAAAAACAATTTTTTCATAGCTTGCTTTAGTAGAAAGTCATTTAAGTTAAGTCATTTCAAGAAATCATTTAACTCACAGCTACTTTTTTTTGTTATAAAACTATGATAAATAATGCAGAGGCAATAGGTTTAACATCTTCTTTTTTTGTCTGTTACCTTAAACTATTATATAATAAATATATACTAGGTAGACCTGATGGCACCTGTAAAATCTTTGAACTACCTATATCAGAGATACAATTTAAGAATATTTGCATAACAATTGGTTTATTAGGAATCTCTCTAAACACTGATTTAAGATATCTGTTTTCATTATCCCAAAATTAAACTAAAATCTATTTGAGCCTTCTGAATAATTTGGTTAACGGATTCAACAAATGAAACAATGTAATAAGGATAGATAGCATGATAACTCATTTTGATAAAAAGAAGAATATCTAAATGTTGAAATATAAGTAGCCTTGTTAAAACCACATTAAAACAACTTAGCAATATTGCTATTTGAAAATAAATTTCCAGAATCAGTTAAAGGATTCATTAAATATTTAGAATACACAATTATAGCTACCCTGTATATGATACCCTAAATTTGAGTTCCTGTTTTTTAGAGAAAAGTAAATTTCTTTTGACCAGCCTTGTTCATCTAATAAGCTGACATAAAAGTAAACTTGTGTTTTTACTCATTTCTAAAAAATTAAACGATTGATTTTTGACTATAGCCAGTATAGGTTATGACTATAGTCAGTATTGTTACTATAGTCAGGGTTTTCATGCAATATCTATGATTGAGTTATGTGATTAATTAAAAACATGCAAACATTACCTAAAAACACTCTTAAAGTCCTAATACTCATTGTATGAGTCTTTTGTATGGTTTCATCTCCTTTTATCTGCAAACACAACCATGCTCAACCATGTTCAAGTGAGCTTGGTCATTGCTCAAGTTGCACCCTTTTACTGTAACTGTTCCTTCATGCCCAAAAAATATTTAAATTTTTTTCTTATAGTAAGAAGTATTATTTAACAATGCTATTCAGTTAATTTTAAAACAGAGTTGTTCAGTTAATCTAATAATGTTGCTCAGTTGACCATAAGACTGTTATTTGTTTGATCTAACAGCAGTGTTGTTAATTTTATATTAAAAGCTGTTCATAACTATGTATTTAGATTATACTAAAGGGATCCCAAAATGCTGAGACAAGTTGTGTTCATATTATAGAAAATGATAAAAATAAAATGTTTGAACTGAATTTTTAGTAAAACAAAACAATAAACGTATACCAAAAAAAAACTAACTTTGGTGTTTTACTCGCTCGCTAGATGTTAAATCTTTAAAATAAATCAATCTACAAACTCAATAAATAATTTAATTTCGCGTTTAATTCCAAAGAGTTTGAGTATATGAAATCAATGTAGAAATTTTTTTATCAAATTTTTTTATTTTTATTTCATTATAGATTATTAAAGAATTTGTTTAATTTCTTATTAATATAATAGTTGTTTTTTTCCATCATAAATCCCTATAGAATATCTTTACCTATTTTATTTTCTAAATTAAAAAAAAAAAAATAAAAAAAATAAAAAAGCTTGTCTATTACTATAAATTATTTTTGTGTTATATTTATTGATTTAATCTGATTATTATCATTATTAAGATTCTGTTAAGAATATTATTTTGTATTATTTAACTTTATGAAAGTTTAATTAACAGCATTTATTTGCTTTTCATTGGGTACAAATTTTGTACGTTATTCAAAATTGGGTAAAATTTATTCTGCTAAACATGTATTGCTTATTTTATTTCATTTTTAAAATTGAACAATTATTTTTAAAATTGAACAATTATTTTTAAAATTGAACAATTATTTTTAAAATTGAACAATTATTTTTATTACACAATTATGAATTATTGGTCAAGATTACAAAAAAGTGTAGCATTATTAAAAGTAGTCTGTAGTCAATTTTAAAATTGAAATCATTTAATGAAAAACTTTTTACTGGTAGTTTTTTGATTTGTAATGTTAAGAGTTTTAATGTAAAATACTGGTCAAATAAACATATATTGATATATAAATCAATTTATAATATAAAAACATATAAATCAACAAATAAACATATAAAACCAATTATAAATTTGGAAATATTAAAATACGTTTTTTAACGCGCGCTGACAATTTTAATCACCATCTGTCTTGAATTATTGCCATAATTAATAAAAAGGATTTGTAAATTTGTTAAGTGTAAAATCTATAAATCTAACTAAAAATTAAAGAATTCAGCAAATATCTCTAATAAATGATGATGAAATAATAAACAATGTTTACCAAAATTATTTATTATTAAAAATTCAAGAATTTGTAAAATTTCATTTCGATATGAGAACAAAAACGTCATAGCAATAAACCGCTTAGATAAACTAGAAAAAAAAGTTCACATTGTTTACATATAAAGAAAAAAGATTCAGAATATATAATAAGGTGATCAATGTCTTTATATAAATTTATTAAGAGTAATAATATAAATCTTAACTTTATTTTCGTGCTCAATAAAAAAAAACATTCTTTTGTTTCCTTATTGCCTCTTATAAAATTTATAGGAAAGTCATACGATTGACGATAAACGCTTATAATAAAAAACAAATAAAACAAAAACAATTACAGGTATTTGTACCTTAAAATGTAGGTAATTTTTTGAATAGCCATAAAAAAATTTTGTTACAATATATGAAAGCTAATCTTCACAATATGAGCATACCTTATAGTCATAAAATCTCTTAGGGTACATGCTGCACTTACACTCTTCAATGAATCAGCAACTGCTCCACAAAATAAGGCCTATTTTACCATGCACACTAAAAAAAAAGGTAGGGATTTCTACCTTAAGGTAGGATGTGATATACCCATAGTAAGGTATAATTTTCTACCTTTTAAGGTAGAAAATTATATTAAAAACAATGATTTGTCATACAATTTTCTACCTTTAAGATATAATTTTCTACCTTAAAAAGTAAAAAACTACACATTACTAAAGGTATATCACATATCCTACCTTAGAGTAGGATATGTGATATACCTTTATTAAATTTATTAAGAGTAATAATATAAATCTTAACTTTATTTTCGCGCTCTATAAAAAAAAGGAAAAAACTCTATTCCTATAGGAATAGAGTTTTTTCCTTTTTTTTAGTGTGTGTGAACTTTATTATGTAAATTTTATTTTATGGCAATAACTTTGGAACAACGTTTTTATTTCTGTTGAAATTTTGTGGAATAGTTTCTTAATTGTTTTATGTTAAATTCAAGTAAATAGATTGTATAAATGAGATATACTTCATTATGTAGGTTTTTTGTACCTTAAAATGCAGGTAAGATTTTTTAAAGAACTAAAAAGTTATTTTTTAAACTATTCATAATACTTTTTAATTTTGCTTTTAAAGTTAAAGTATATTAAAAAGAGACCAAAGTTCAATCTTAAGTTAAGAACTAAAACAAAATATCAAGCAGCTTCTACACAGACGAAATAGTATTAAACAAAAACATTTTAGCGAATGCTGTGTATTATTGTGAAAAAACAACTGTCAAAATTTGTTAAACATGGTCGTTATAATGTTAAACATGGTGGTTATAATGTTGATCTTAAAACTATAAATCATATTTTAGATGGTGCTAAAATTGGTGAAAATAAAAAATCTTTCAATTTTGACAAAGGATGAGGAAAATGTAGTAGTATTGTATTCAAAAAACAAAAAACAAAACAGATGTCTTTAAGGTATTACAAAAAAAGAACTGTCCACAGTCATTTTAAATATAATAAAGTATTGCATGCATGCTAATAAAAACCTGAAAAACTATATTGTTTATACTGCAAGCTTTCACCTAATGCAGAAAAAGCAATACTCACAAATAACTATTGCATTCTTTCTGGTCAAGCTTCATGGCAAAGCAACCCAGTCTAACTCAAAAGAGACAAGGGAAAGTTTCTATGAAGCGTGCTTTAAACTGCACAAGGGAAATGGGTGAAAGTCATATAAATGAACTATCCAAAGAACTTAAAATTACAAGTATAATGAAGAACAGTGAAAAAACTTCAGAAGGAGTGTGGTATGATATAATAGATACTTAACGCATGTTTAATCATAATGAAACTCTACAGTTTGTAAACTTTGGAGTTGACAAGAGTGTAAGTGGATTGGTGTTTGCTGAAAAAGGTGACATTTGCTATCAAATGATCTGCAAGAACAGAGATTATATTACAATTCACCAGAGGTGGAAAGTAACAAATTACACTTACTCACGTTACTGTAATTGAGGAGTTATTTTGTGAATTTCTACTTTTTAAATATTTTTTTAATCGTGTATTTTTACTTTTACTTAAGTATTTTTTTTCTAAAGTATTGTACTTCGCTACATTTGAAATCATATGCATTACTGAGTAAAAAAATTTATTATGTATTGTTTAATTTCAAAAACACTATGTATAAACGTTTTTTTTTTTGAGTTTTGCTCACTATAATAATGACACTTTTAAATTGTTTAGAAAAAAAAGTTGAGCGCGCTCGTATCTCGACACAACAGATGTAACACAAATGTTGGATCAAGCAAATCATAGTTTACACCATCATTATTACCAACGTAAATGTAAACTATTTTCTACACACAAAAAAAAAAAAGTAGAAATTTCTACATTGGCTAAGATATGTGATATAACCTTAGTAAGGTATTAATTTCTACCTTTTAAGGTAAAAATTATATTAAAGACAATGATTTCTCTTACAGTTTTCTACCTTAAAGGTATAGTTTTCTACTTTAAAAGGTAGAAAATTATACCTTACTTAGGGTATATCACATATCCTAACCTAAGGCAAATATTTCTACCTTTTTTTTGTGACCGGTGTCCCGGCTGGTCACTAAAAATGAGACATTTTGGAAATATGGTCCAGCCGGCAAAATTATAAGATTTAGCAAGGGTTGATAGTCGGGGCTAGAAAAAAATTTATAATACTTAATATATTACAATTTTATGCTTAGATTTACTTTTTATTAAATACTGGCATACATTTATATATTTTAAAACTCTAACTTACTTCCAACAAGATTGCAAGCAACCACTTATGAGTTACTTTAAAATAGAGAATAAGTTAAAATACTAGGAAACGTATAACTGACGACTTAAAAAGTTGTAAGTTGTATAAAAAAGGAAAACATGAAGATGGGTAAGAGTTAAAAGGTTTTTTTGATGTTCAAGGTAAAAAAATGGATTAATAAAAGTTTTTATAGCATGAAGGGACAGATACAGTAAAAGAATGTAACTTGTTGAACAAATAGCCAAGCGAGAATGAGTTTTGGTTTGTCATTATAGAGATGATAGCTTGTTTGAGCATTGATTATGATTGTATTTGTAGAGAAAACATTGAAATGTAACCTTACAACAATGGGAAAGTGGCTCAAGCTTGGCAGATAAAGCAGGTCTAGCTACATTTACATTGTGTTTTTAGACTTTTTCTGAGAGTAAGAGAGTTGTTATTCGTCAATATAGAAATGCCAACAATATTGGAATATTTTTTTGCAGTAAACGAGTTTTGTTGTCTAACAAATTGTAGATTTCAAGTCCAGAAGTTAAATCCATAAGCCACTGCAAGCCTTAGGCTGTTAGAGAAGAGAGATCAGATTTAAAATCAACTGCTTGTTCTAAGCAATTAAAAAGTGAAGATTTTTCATCAAGACAAGAGTATAAAATTGAGTTGTTAGCAAATAAAGCTACTTTAGATTTCATGAAGATTGTTATTGTAGATAGAAATAATACAGGAGTAAAGATAAAACCTTGAGGTACCCTTAAAGTTACTTAAAATAAAGATGAGGGTAAGCCTTTAAGAATAGCTTTACTACTGCAGCAAAAAAATAATAATATAATAACATCATATAAAGAAATTAATAACAGAGTGAAGAGTAATCGTAGGATAGTTCGAAAGGTCAAAGTATTGACAAATTCAGAATTAAATTTAGCATTGGAAGCCAGAGTGATTTCGATGTTTAACAATGGGTTAATCTGTTTAGTTGTCATGAAAAGTGTGGCCATTATATTCAAGAGTTATATTAAAGTAAGACTTCTTCGCAAATAACTTTCTGTTTTATTTTAGAGAGAAGTAAAAAAAAATCAGACCCATGAATAAGAAATTAAGTGTATGACTTAAGTTAATGACATGTTGAAGTTGAACCAAAAAGCCTCTAGAACCTAACATCTGAGATAAGATACAAGATTTAGTGAGAATAACAGAGCTTAACATCAGACAGGACTTTTTTTACATTGGCTTCTTGCAATAATAAAACGACATTAGTTCTTAAGAGAAATATTCTTGTAAAAAATATTAAAAAAAATGATCGTTGAAAAATGTGGAGTAGAATGAGGAAATAGATGACATAAAATATAAGAGAAGTAATAAAAGCTTCAAACTTTTATTCCAGAAGGAATAAAAGCTTTCAAGATGCACTTTATGCATGCATTTTATGGACATAAACATACCTGTTTGCTATTTATTTAGATGCTGGCATACAATATTCTTTTAATGCTATATAAACTTTAGTATTTATATGGTGTAGTATTTGCCGAAATAGAAGATGATCAGATAGATGTGTGGTGTGACTCTAGAAAGACAAAAAAAGAAGGCATAATCTTAGACAGATTAGAAAAAACATTCTATTGAACAACATTTGTCAGAAAAGATTAAAATAATTTAGGTATCAGCATGAAGAGAGGTAGCAGGTTCAGTAGAAAATGGTAGTGGTAGAATTAATAAAATTTGAAGAGAGTGACTTAAATATTGTATGAATGAGCTTTAGTAAAAAAATGCTCTAGATTGTTTATATTAGAGAAACAGCATAAAAGAGGAAGGCTAAAGCCTGACAATGATGATGATGATGATGATGATGATGATGGTAATGATGATTATGGTGATCATGTTGATCATAATGATGTTTATATATACATTTAACATGAATTTTGAATAAAAAAAATATACTTTAGTATGTATAAATGTTTCAATGCAGCCCTGGTGATAAATCCGGCCCTGACCCAGGCTATTTTTATCCAACCCGGGCCCCAGCCAAATATCAACCCCCTGTCACTTACTAGTGTGTAGTATGATGACAATTGATTATTCTGGGTTTATAGAAATATTAGAAGAGATATGGTCATCATGGACAACAAAAGAATCTTTAATCAAAGCAGTTAAAGTGGTTGGTATTGTCAGGTCTAAATGTTAACTGGATGCAAAATGATAAAGTTGAAAAAGCAGCAAGATGTATAGCAACTATATTCTTCTCAGACCTCAGAACAATTCTCTACACAAAAAGTCCCAATTGTTTCATCCCCTCACGATATTAGAACAGGTTATCGTAAATATTACAGAAAAAAACTTGAAAATACATATAGAGTTATCCATGATCTTACTGAATCTCCATTACCTCTTGAAGATGTTTCGCCTTTGCTACCATATTTAAAGGTTACCCCAAAAGATACCTCTTAAAAAAAACCATTAAAGTAACTCAACAATATGGATCAATGGAGGGAAAAAAGGTCTTACAAGTGGTAACTGAAAAAGAAAACAAAAAAAAGAAGAAAGACGAGAAGAAGCAGGTGAATAAAAATAATCGTGCAATAATAAAAGAACAATTTATCAAATGCAAAGATCAATATCAAGAAAAATGTTGTGTATTTGACTACAAGCAGCGTCCTATTTGTAAAGCTAAAAATTTATTGATGAAAGCTCTTTCTTTATAAAGTTAAAAGCTAAACCTTTCTATAATATAGTGTTGTATGACTATATGCCCTTCAGTTTTATGGGTGAAGATTTTCAACAAAAGCTCAATGCAGTCTCGATTATATTTGATAGAGACGTTTCTTTAAAACTAAGGCAGAGTGACATTAGAACATTTTTTTATTTATAATGTATTATTTTTACCTTTGAGACCAAAACTTTTAATAACTCGAACTGTTTTTAATTGATTTTTAAATAAATTAAAAATTTAATTTATTTGTAATGACATTTTAAAGTTTGTAGCAAACAATCCTGCAAAATTGACAGTATTAAATCAAAAATGATAGAAGTCTGTGAATCGATCATCAATATCAACTCTTGTTATGAACATTTTATTTCTTTTTCTGATTAAAGTTGTGTTTTATTTTTATAAAAAATTTATTTGCTATTTGATAAATAATTAGTAAAATTTAAATTGATAATAAAGATAGTTTAGAGGTTTTAAAAACACCTAAAATGTAGGTCTATATGCAGGTCTAGTGGTTTTAATCATAACTAGAACAGTAATAAGATAATAAATAATAGATAAATAATCTTAAATTTAAGCTGTAACTGTAGTCTAATCATTTCCATATATAGTCTTCATAAATTAATTCTTTGTTTTAAATCTGCATTTTATGTTTTAAGTAAAAATATGTGTTCAAATTTTTAGAAAAAATACAGAATATCATAAATTGTAAGAGTGTATACTTGACATTGAATGGACTTTTTGAAATTATATTCTTTTATGCCTTAGTTACTTCCTTTTATAATATAAACCTTATTCCAATTGATTTCAAAATATAAGAGACCAAAATTCAATTACCAGCATTTTAAGGTATGCATACAAATAAATGTAATATTGATTAAGGTACAAATAAATGTAATATTGATTCAAAAGAAAAAAAAAAATTGATTTAAAAAAAAAAAATTCTACAATGACACCATATGCTAAAACTCTTTGGAAAATAAAATCTAGTGATATTTTTAAGACTTAAAGCAACTGGCTAACATGGAGACATGGAACATGGAGACGATGATCTTTAAGTAAAACAACAATGTTTTTTTTTTGGTATACGTCTATTATTTTGTTTTACTCAAAAAAATTCAGCCGCATTTTTTATCATTCTCTTTAATATGAACACAACTTGTCTCGGCACTTTATGATCCTTTTAACAAATGCAATAATAGAAAATAATGTACCTGAGCATTTCTCGGTAAATCTTGAAACTTTGTAGGGAGCTGCATCCATTCATTCCAGCTATAAAAATAAAATTCTTTTCAGCTATAAAAATAAAATTATCAAAAATATGTTTAAACAACAAAAACACACTCAGATATTTTTAATATTGTGCAATACTATTTGGATTTAAAATAATAAACTTTTTCAAGTGAAATTATAATACATTAGTATAATAATTTAGGTATAATTAATTAAATGTATTGTTTAAGTAATTTAATGCAACAAATAATTACATGTAACTACTTATATAATCAAATGCAAAAAATAATTACATGTAATTGTTTGCATAATATAATGCAACAAATAATTACATGTAATTGTTTACATAATATAACGCAACCAATAACTAGATGTAATTGTTTATATAATAACGCATCAAATAATTACATGTAATTGCTTGTGTAATGCAACAAATGTGTCAAAACAATGATAATGTCCTTCACAAAAATACACAAAAATTGCAATTCTTGCAATTTGACCTTACATTTTACATTTTTTATCACAAAAACTGTTTAAAAATTGAGAAGTCATTGATATTGTATTTAGTTGAAAAATTCATGATATTACATTTAGTTGAAAAAATTGCTGGATATGAACCCAATATATGATATTTTTAAAACCAAACACTTTATATGTAGCATTAAATAAAGTGCTTGGTTTTAAAAATAAAGTAATAATAAACTAACATAAATTAATAAATAATTTGTAACATGATTGTAAAATGAAGCAATACATACTGTCACCTCCATCATGTTACAATCACCATGTTAATGTCACCATCATGTTACAAATCAAACTTTACAAAACTAACTTGTAACCAAATTATACTTAACTAAACTATATCAGTTTCACCAATTTTAAATTAAGAAGAATGTAATTTATTTTTATTTTTATTTTCTAGTTGTATAGTTGTTATTTTAATTTTGAAAATAATGTTTGTTTTTAAAAAAAAAAATACGATTTCAAAAAAAAAAAAATTCAAAATATTAAGATTTATCTTGTGCTCAAAGCCAAATAATTTAGGAACATTTTGGGGCATTTTTCGAGGTAATTTGAGCACAAGTTAAATGTCAATAATTTGGAATCTTTTTTTTGCAATCATACTTTTTTTATATTTGCCCTAAATTTGGCTTCTTCTGTATTTGCATTTTAAAATTTTTTTATTTAACACCCCTAATGTATAACATAAAACATCAAGTTGACAAAGTATGTACATAGTTTAAGAGCGCTATTGTTTATGTTATTGTTAGATTTTTTTTAGAACTCAGTCTACGAATGAGTGACGCGTTAAAAATAATATTAACAAAAAAAAAATTTATTTAACCTTGTTATTTGCAAATGCCTGGTGCTAATTGTTCCATTTTTGGCTGTGGTACTTCTCGAAAAAATAAATAAGTTTCACTTTTTAAAATACCATCCTCCGATGATGATTTCAATAAAAAATGGAGAATAAAAGTTTTGAATATCATAACTAAGGATAAGTAATCGATGAAAGCCTTAGGTTCCAAATAAAAAAAAAAATTATTGTTTATTTGTGAAAAGCATTACGAAGCTAATATGTTAGTTGTTAATCCAAATAAAATAACTTTAAAACCAGGTTCAGTTATAACAATTCCATATTCTTCTTCATGTATATTTAATCCTAAAGCACGAGCATCTGCTTCTTCTATATGCCTGAAGAAATCAACTATACCTTCTGTTTCAGATGAGGCTGTTCATAATAAATCATAAATCTTTTAAGGAGTTATTCAAACATGTTAGTTTACAAAAATTTGATTGGAATGTAAATATTTGTGACACTTTTTTAAATTGAGTAAGATGGACGATATTCACACTGTTCCTAAGTACGAAATTTATATTGATGATAGCCTCTTGTTTACTATTCGTATATTTTTATGGGCTCTGCCAGATAATCATGAAATATACTTGCATCTAAAAAGATCAATGTTCAATACAACTGTTTGTAACCTTATTTCAGTTTTGCTGTCATATATAGTATGTCCAAGTATCCCAGATAAATTAATTAGCTCTCATGGCTATCTTCTTCATGTTATACCTAAAAATTTTGATTTATTTAATAGTTATTCTTTACCTTTAAACCAAACAGAACATACCTGAGCTCTTTCATGTGATGTTGTTATTAAAAAAAAAGATATTTGTAAAGAATGCCAATGCCTTCAGTCTCAAAACCAAATATCTGTTTAAAAAAATAGTGATAAATTACTTATTCAATCTAAACTTAGAGCTCCAATTTCTAAAACTGCACCAGAACGTGTAAAACTAACCTTACAAAATTACCGTTTAGAAAATAAATTGCTTAAAGATAACATAAAAGAAATGCAACAGGAGTTAAATAAATCATCCCATCTTGATGACCTACGCAAAGACTTGGTTTCAATCATATCAAAAAATGATAGTATAGTCACTCCATTTATGAAGTTATTTTGGGATAAACAACAAAAATACTTAAATACTTCAAAACAGGGAATTCATTATCATCCAATGATTATTCGCTATTGTTTAGTCAGAGGCGTTTAAGAGACTACAAAAACTATATCCGACCACAAAAAGGTTTTAACTATGAAATTTTGAATGAACTAAGTTTAAAGGTGAAGGATTTTTCTGATCAAGAACGATTTGTTACACTTTTATTAGATGAAATGAAAATTCAAGAAAATTCGGTATGGGATAAATATTCTGGTGATCTTATAGAAATTGGTGACCTTGGTGATACTAATATTAACTATGCAACTCTGAATAAGGCTGATGAAATTGCAACACATGTTCTTGTTTTTCTTGTCAGAGGTATTGTAAACCCTTTTAAATATAGTTTTGCAAACTTTGCTACAACAAATATTCAAGCTATTCAGTTATTCCCTATATTTTGGAAAGCTGTCAGTATTTTAGAGCTTTCATGCAATCTAAAAGTAATTGCTACTACAAGTGATGGGTATAGTAATCCTAAATTTTTTTCTATGCATTTTCATATGACAGAAATATAAGATAATAATAAAAATATTAAATTTACTAATCGCATCAAAAATAAATTTGCTGATAATGATCGATATATATAATTCATAGCTGATCCTCCACATTTGATAAAAACTGCTTGAAATTGCCTTTTTCATTCTGCTTCAGGTAAAGGGAGGTATATGTGGAATACTGATAATCACATTTTGTGGAATCACGTATCAGATTTATTTTATGATTCTTTCCTTAGAACATTTAAGGTTAAGCCCATTTTCCAAAATGAATATAAGATTAGCAGCTCAAGTACTCAGTTCATCAGTTAGCATTGCTTTGAAGACATTTGGTCCAACTGAAGCCTTTAGAACTGCTGTGTATTGTCAAATGTTCAATAATTTTTTTGGTTGTGTCAATGTGAAAAATATTGTAGATTGCACTAGAATGCAAAATCCATTTTTTGAGCCATTTTGTTTAGAAAAAGTGATGAAAGAGTGACAATGATCCTGAGCCAAAGACTTTTATCAAAGAAAAATTACCACGCCGAAATTGGAATCAAAAATAAGGTCCTCAAAAAAAGGAAATTAAAAACGGCTATTTTCATAGCCACAAAAATTATAAAAACTTTATTTGGTATAAAATATTTTATTTTAATTGTTGTTGTTTTTAACAGGGTGTGAATAGGGAGGGGTCTCTCATAAAAATGTATGTATATATATATATATATATATATATATATATATATATATATATATATATATATATATATATATATATATATATATATATATATATATATATATATACTTATTCTTAATTGTTTAAATTAAACATAAGTAGTAATGATTACATTATTTGATATTATTACTTAAAAAAAAACTTACATAATTTCGTTTGGTTTTCACTTAATTACTTATTGCATCTCTTCATCGTGCTGCAATATAGTTCATATGCTAGATATGTTTTAAAAAAAATTTGTGGCTATAAAAATAACCTTTTTTAAATGTCTAATATTTATTCAGTAGAGGTTAAAGATACTTTTTTGATTTCTTTTCTTAACGAATTTATTCTTTTCTTCTTAGTCTTGATTTTATGCAAGTTTACAAGCTCTTCAGAATAGGAAAACAAGCGAACACGAAATAAAAGTGTTAAAAGGTGGTCCAAAAGGTTGAGAGACATTTCTGTAGATACCTTAGTAGAACTCAATATCTTGAAGCAATTCTATTGTCATCTTGCTGCAGTCAATATTTTTACTCAAAATTTTTGTAGAATTTCTGAATGCTACTTCTGCTATTCTAAATAGTAAAAAAGCATCAGATTTTTTTTTTTTAATTTAATTCACCTCCTCAAGGCCGAGAAGGCTTTGAGGAGGTGAATTAAATTAAAAAAAAAAAGTGCCACTACAGACAAGGAGGCTACTTATTTGTGGTTATAACCCTCTCTCAAATCTATAACTCCAAAACACCAACCTTGATGAACAAGGCCGCTGCGCGGAGAAACGAGTTGAGCACGGGTACTACCAGGGACGTGGTGGGGATTGAACTTGGAACCACTCGTTTATGAAGCGAGCACTCTACCACTACACCACTACCGCATAAGATGATATAGATTAAAGATGATATAGATTAAAGACCACCTCTATTTTTAAAACTAATAAATTTTCTATTAGTTTCATGATACTTTTCAAATTCATTTTCTACAATTTTTCCAGCCAACAAAATTAAAAGTGTTTCTTGAACAAATCTACTTTGCCTAACTTTTGAATAGCATATCATTCGATAAAAGGTACTAAATACATATCCTCCCAAATATTCAATTAATGTTTTTTCTTTTTCTGTAAACTGAATTGCATTGTCAAAAACTAAAATTGAGGCTGCGTTTTTAGACTTCGTTAAGTGAGCCAAAATATGATTAGCAAGATCATATCCCTAAGAGAGTTAAGGTTTTGTCTGTAAGATTTTTTAAAAATGATTTTTGACCAGCAACTTTGTAAAACTTTGGATAAAAAACTTCCGCACCACCATTAAAATTTTCAATAACATCTTTTATCAAGTCGAATGAATGCTTTGCATCATCTTCTGAGAATATGTATTTTGAAAGTTCATCTCTAATATGTGGAGGGTAGCAAAAATCTTTTTTAAGAATGTTAATGCTTTTTATAACAAAATTTTTGAACTCATCTACAGAACAAGTTTGTTTAATATTAGTTGTTGGGTTTATTGGTTGTGTTAAAAACTTGTTAAAGAATTTCCATTTTTAATTTCACTAAGAAGAGCATCAACATCACTAAGGAACTTATTGTTTTCAAAAAAAGTATCTGACTCAACAGATTGTTTGTCTGCTGATTTTGCCATTTTTTTAGATTTTTGTGCACTTATTAGTAGCCTGGGCACGATAAATAAACAGTTTTCAACATAAATTCAAAATTTTAACTTTGATTGTTTGAAAACAATAGAATCTTGTCAAAACGGCCTAACTGGCCGGACTATCTGTTATGACTATGGTATGTATTAATTTATTTTGTTAAAAATTGTTTTAAATTGTTATAAAAAAGATATAATTAAAAATAAAAAATTGTTTCAAATAGTTATAAAGAGATATTTAAACTTCTTATTGTTGGATCTATTTTTCAATCTGAGACATTAGAAGTCATTTACTGCAAAGATAACTAATTTTTAGTTTGATTTTCAATTTGTTACATTAGGCAGGTTTTTCAATTTGTCAAAATTAAGTTAGTTCTTTTTCATATGCAGAAACACATCTTGACTAGTTTTGACATACCTATCAGCATCTCTATTCCTATAATATACCCAAATTTTGAGTGTCAACATATTGTATCTACAGAGATTCCTCTTTTATAAAAATTATTTTTTGATTTTTATTATTTAAACTATTTTTTATATTTGACCTTATATTATCACAATCGATATTATCTTTACAAGTTGTGCAATAAAATTAAAAAAAAAAAAAATAAAAAAAAAAAAAATAATAAAAAGGCAAAACAGGCAGCATAAAAACCAAAATGAAACAGTATTCAATATTTTGTCGAAAATGGACAAACTCAGGATTGGCTGAACATTGCCAACATTATATAACTATTTGAAACAATTTTTAATAGACTAAATTAATACATACTTTGCTAACCTGATCTTTTATGTTTATATTAATAATTATAGACATAACATTTAATATAACAGTATACAATCTGTTTAGATAATGAAAAATTAAAATAAAATTATGTAAACTGTAATTTAGAAATTAGGATGTGATTTTTTTAATATTTAATTTTTGTTTATTAAAAAAAAATTTAATTACCATCGCTACAATCAAGGAGGCTATTCAATTTTGTTTAATTTTTTTTTTTTTATTTACTTGCATTTTTTTATTTTATTTGAAAGATAAAGTAATAAAAGCTGTATAAAATAAACACTCCCTCCCCCCAACCAAAAATAAAAAAATATTTTACTTACTTCCACCTTGTGGTAAAAGCTTTATAAGATGTCTTTATAGGAGTAAACAACTGTCTTCCATCTTGAAATACAGTTACAGTAATACAAAGATCTGGGCATGAACTAAATAATATTTAAAAAAGTCTGTTACTAGTTTAAATAATTGATTTATGCTGAAAATGTGGTGAAAAAAATTTACGCTTGATGCAGTCCAGTAAACTTCAGTTGAGGATCATCTAATAGTTGGCGATAATTTTCAAGATCTTTTTTTCCTTCTAAAGTTCCTCTAAATTTTAAAATTTGAAATTAAAAATTTCTTTTAGTTATGACTTTATCAGAAAGTTTTATAAAAATTACTTACATTTTAAGTTGTAGAAAAGCATCCACATCACTGCTATTTACATAAAAAAATTTATCTTTAACCTCACCAATGTCTCGTGAAACCATGATTAATTACTTCATAATTTTTAATTTGAATAATTTTGGATAAGATTTACTATTTTACTTATTAAAGTTTTTATAAAAAAATAAAAATACTTTTTTTTTACTTAAATTTACAAATTTTACACATTGTACACAACAAAGTCATTTTATAATTTAACATAAGGATAACAAGTTGTTAAAAAATTACTTCTTTAAAATAAATAGTTAAAAAGTTTTAAAAAATTAAGTAATAAAAATTTCAGTTCTTGAATAAAAACTTTAATTTTCATCAGACTCTTCTAAATCAAATGCTTCCATAAACGCTATCGCAACTTTTTCAGCTAAATCTTTCCTTTCGTTTCCTTTTAATACCTTTGCAGCCTCTAAAAACAAATAAAAAAAAAAAAAAAAAAAGTAAAATAAAAGATGCTTCTCAATCAAAATAAAAACTAATATTTAAAAAATTTAAAAATGTATTAAATAATTAACATAATACAAAAATTAATTTTATAAATGTCAAATATAAGATTTAAGTTATATATGTATATTATCACTAGTAGCATTATGTATGAATGGTCTTCCTAGTGACAGTAGTTTTCAAACTTTTTGTTATTGGAAATATCAAGGTAAGTCAACATAATGGTAAGAATGTTTATTATAAAAACAAAAAAATTTAAAATCTATAACCTTTCATTTCTCTAAACTTGCTAAACATTTCTTCAAATGAATCTCCATCTGGAATGTCTTCTAATATATTTTGTGTAAGCAACTTCTGATCTTCTAAATAATTTTGAGCACAAAGTTTTAATTGAATAAAATATTCAGATCACAAAAATTGCAGAACAATAGGTCACACCATCAAAATTGTAAAATTGCAGAACAGTTTATGTAATGTATAATGTATACCAAATTGCAGAACAAATAAAAAAACAAAACAAAGTATTTACTTAAAAAAATATGTAATAATATATAACTCTAAATAATATGTAAATGTACCACTTTGCTTTGAATAAATAACATGATTCTTCCAAACATGTGAACTAAGTGCTTCAACTATACGATCTATACCAAATTTTTCTTTAAAATCTAAAGACATTCAAGTATGGTTTTAATAATTTGTAATAAAATATAAAAAAATTGTAATAAACATGTGAAGTTTAAAAATAAAAATAAAATTAAAAAAAAAATACTCAACAAAAAACTCAACACTCTTTTAATTTTTATTTTTCCATTTAAAAAAGTTTTCACTTTTTCAGCTTGGATTCAAGTAAACATGCTTTTATGTTTAACTTTAAATTAAAAAAAAAAAAAATACTTTTATGTTTAATTTTAAAGTTTCAGTTCAAAACTAGTTAAATCTGCATAAGTTAGAAATAAAGAAATATGCACAATTATTAAAAGAAAACCAAAACAATTATTAAAAAAAATAAGTTATAATTCAAGAGCAAATTAGTTTCAAATATATTCTTACACTATTAGGAGGGTTGTAAAACATTTTTTGTAAAGAAAAGCAATCAAGAACAAATCTGATGTTGACTCTGGTTATTTCTCAAAACTTTATTGCAAAACTTTAAAATGAATGTCATCATTTATTTCACAAAATATCAAATGGTGATTTAAACTCAAGAAAAAAAAAAAAATTTAAGAAAATTGCAGGACAATTTTATTTGAATGTGTATTGCTAAAGATGAAATGTCAAGTATGATAATCAACAAATTCCTCAGGATGTCTTAAAATTTTCCAAATTGAGGAAAGCAAATTAGAAATTTAAATAAATAAAGTTTCCTGAAAAATTTTTTTTTTTAAATTTGGCTATTTGCAGTTGGACCAAAAAATTCCCAACTTATCAAAACTTAATAATTACAAATATGTTAAAGATTGCTTAATAAAATGCCATTAAACTCTCATTATATCACGTGATGATCTGTGTTCTAGCACATGAAAATGTTCATGGTAGGATGATTTTGTAATAGTATGCACAAAATAATGTGAACATTGTATAAGGGTGTCTGAGCCCAGAATTAAGAGTGATTGAAAAGTACTAATCGTTAATTGTTCACCAAAAAAAAATAGAATAGACTTTGCAAAAATATCCATTTAAAAGTATCATTGAAAAAAAAATTTATTTGTAATGCTGTGCGATAACACAAAAAGGTTAACAAAAAAAAAATCAAAGGAGAGTTCAATATTTTGTTAAATGCCTGCACAAATAAATTATTTCATTAAAATATTTTATTTTGATGTATTAATGTATTGAAATCATTATTTTGTTATAACAAATAAATGAATGATTTTGTTATAACAAATAAATAAATGATTTTTTTATAACAAATAAATAAATGATAAAGTACATTTTGTAAGTAGTTTTTTTCACATTTATTCCAGTTACATAGCACACATTTTAACTTTTATATTATAAAATAATAATACCATTATCATAAGTATGGTCATCATAAGTGTGGTCAGCAATTATATCTTGTGATAAAACTAATTCTAGTTGATTCTCAGTACACCAATTTACAAAGTTTGATTGCTCCAAATCATCTAAATTAAAAAAAAACTATTATTCTTGAATATATATTTTAATAATTTTTACTGTACTCATCTATCCAACCACTAAGTTGAAAAGACTCTTTTTTTACAAATGTATGATTTCAAAAAATGATTATAAGTTAAAAATAAATTAAAAAGATTTCAAAAATGGTTTTGATGATTATGATATATTTATACAATTATGATATTTAATATAATTATGATTTAAATGATTTTTTTTTTACTGTACTCACCTATCTAACAGGACCACTAAATAGAAAATAATTTTTTTTTTACTGTACTCACCTATCTAACAGGACCACTAAATTGAAAAGAATTTTTTTTTACTGTACTCACCTATCTAACAGGACCACTAAATTGAAAAAAATTTTTTTTTTACTGTACTCACCTATCTAACAGGACCACTAAATTGAAAAGAATTTTTTTTAGTGAAACTTTTACAAAATTTGCAAATTTATAGATTTACAAAAACTTAAAATACTTTAATATAACAGTTAAATTTTTTTCGAATAACAAAATAATAATAAAAGAAAAAATATTTAAGATTGTTTAATAATACCTTCAATTGTTTTTGCATTTTCAAAAACAAGATTTATTTCTGGTTCAACCCGAAGCCAAGAAAATAACTCTTTAAGTTTCTCAATTTGGTTTAGCTAAAATTATGAAGTATTTGATAAATAATTGTAGAATTGAATAAAAAATATAAACATAGAAAAAAAAACAAATTTTATAAAAAATAGTACAAAAAAACTGTATTGTGTAACTGTAAAAACTGTATTTATCTTCTCTTTAATTTGTTTACATAACCCACACTCAAAATTTCAATGCAATAAGTTGTAAATATTCTATTGTGTTCAAGAAGCTACAGCAGTGTTTTTATGATTGCCATTAAAATCCTTAATATGTTAAGTGATTTGTATACAAATCTAACTGGTATTAATTATATCGTCTTTATAAATATATAAAAAAAACTTGGAAGTGAGTAAAAATAAACAAAAAGCTTGAAGAACAAAAAATTTTTAAAATTCAAAAATTTTATGTTTTTTCTGCAACAATTTTAATACATAGTGAATAAAGTATTTTTCTCAACGCCTCCACACAAGTGTTTTAAATGCTTCCACACAAGTGTTTTAAATGCCTTCACACATGTGTATTAAGTATTTTTAATATCAATACATAAACTTTATACATATTCAAAAAAGATTCAATAATAACAACAACAAATTAAATTATAACAACAAAATGTTAAATTATAAGAACAAAAAATAAAAAAATTAAATAAAAACAATAAATATACAACCATAACATTATAATGAAAACAACAACAGATTTAAAAACCTGGGAAGCATTTAACACAAAGATTATTCCTTCAACACTATTGAACTCATCATTTGCCAATGAAAGCATGTGTTCCACAGTACAACAACATATGTTCACTTTAGATGAAAAGTATTTGTTTGTGAAATTCCATACATGATAAGATATATCTGTGAAGCATACCAAATCTTGATCAACAAGTAAGCCTTAATTATTTAATAAAAAATTAGAAGAGGAAAGTTGGGTACTGAAGTGGCAGGACACCATTTTCATGTGCCTTGTAAAGAACCTTGTAGAAAAAAAACCTTTGCTAAAAATTAAAAATGATATTTTAACTAATAATAGTTCATATGAAGAATTGTGTAATTTCTAACTTAATAGATGTAACAAGAATTTGTTAAATAAATAGGTAACAAGAATTTGTTAAACTATATTTAATTTAAAACTTTCATAAGTTTATTAATTAAATATTAAATTTTATTATAATTTAATATAAACTTTAGATTTTAACTAAATTATAACATAGTTTAACAAAATTTGTTAAACTTTAATGTTAGAATTTATTTATAAATTCCATATTTTATTTTAGGACAAAGTGATTTAAGATTGGTATTTTTAATGTTTTAAATATTTTAATCATATATTCTTATAACAAAATAAAACAAACTATGCAAAATTTATTTTCTGATTTTAATAATATTATAGTTTTATAAAATTTTTTATAGTATGAGGATTGTGATATATAAATTTTTTTTTTTATAGACTTCGAATTTGGCTTTCAACCAGACAAGAGGTGTTAATTAGGATTGAGCTTTTACCAAAAATTTACTGGTAAATCAGCAATATTTGTTTTACTGATTTACCATCAACATGATATCTGTAAGTTTTGGAAAATATTAGTTTTTACTATACTATACTATAAGTTAAATAAATCATCTGAAATTCTTAATTATGAAATTATTTTTCTTTTCTTTCTACCTTTATAAATATTATTTTGCTGAAAAAGAAGCTGAGATTTACAGCCACACCTAATAAAATAGTATTTTTATTATTTAAAATTTCATTACAATTTGTTTATCACTGTCAGAAACGCAAATACCATTCTTATAGAAACGTTTTGTGCTTTACAAAAGAAACTCATCCTTAAACACTTTCAATTACACAGATGAATACACTTTTTTGAAAAGTTCAAGGTATATAAATACTAGCATTCATGAAAAACAAACATACTGGACTTGAGCTTGGTTCAAACTTCTAAATAAGAACAAATAAATAAGTTCTAAATAAACTAAACTGTCTTTTACTTTTGAGACCATAATAAATAATTATAAAAATATTTGTCAATGTGTCAAAAAAATGATCTTTTAAATAAACATCAACATGGATTTGAAAAAGGGAAGTCTTGCTAAACAAATTTATTTGAAACTTTTTGAGCAAATTGTTAGCAGAAAAATTCCAGTAGACATGCTAGCCTTTACACGGAATCACAAACGATTATTAATCAAATTGATGTCATATGGAATATCAGTGCCATATGCAACTGATTAGGAAATTTTTAACAAATAGACATCAAAAAGTGGTACAAGGTAAGAAAGCCTCAAACTGGGAAATGATTACAAGTGGTGTTCCGCAAAAGATTGGTAATTTCTCCAATATTATTTATCTATGATTTACTAGAGATTTTAGAAAATTTTAAGATTTTTTGCAGACAAAACAAATCTGGAAAGTATTTAATTCTAATAACTGTAAAATGAATAATGCTTCAAAACAATTTTTGTTTTCAAATAGTCTGACAATTAAAATTTAATGCTAAGAAATGTAACATTGGGCACTTTTGAAAAAAAAATAACCACTATATTTAAAACTGCCAAAATAAAAACAGCTTCTGATACCAAAAAGTTGGGATCAGAGTACAATGTCATCGAGTCTAAAATGAAAAAAACACATAACAAATTTTACATCAAAATGCTAAACATTAATAGATAAATGTTTAAGATACTGTATGTAACATTTTAAAAATCCTATTATAAATTAGCAATACAAGCATGGCGTCTAAACCTTAAGCACGCTATCCACTTGAAAAAGTTTAATGTTATGCTGATGGGTATCCAAAATTTAAAAGCAAAATTATGAAACAAAAATTATAATACTTGGATTAATCACATGGGAAAAAAGATGTGAACAAGGTGTCTGTACAACTACTTTTAAAAACTTACTTTATCAATCTAATTTTGTCTATTTACATATCAATCCAACAATATTTTCAACTAAACAAATAATTTCAAAATCAGAAAAGAAATACTAATAAACTGCAATTTTTGTCTCAACTTCTTTACAAACATAAGTTGCACCAATGTGGAATAAAATACCTGATTTTGTCATTAAAAGTGAAAGCTTGGACATATTTAAAACATTGATAAATTTTTAAGAGCTGTATAATTTTTAATTTACCTAGAAAAACCTAACAACACATATGCTGTCAAAGTGAAATTAAATAATTTTTAATTTACCTAAAAAAACCTAACAACACATATGCTGTCAAAGTGAAATTAAATAATTTTTAATTTACCTAGAAAAACCTAACAACACATATGCTGTCAAAGTGAAATTAAATAATTTTTAATTTACCTAAAAAAACCTAACAACACATATGCTGTCAAAGTGAAATTAAATAATTTTTAATTTACCTAAAAAAACCTAACAACACATATGCTGTCAAAGTGAAATTAAATAATTTTTAATTTACCTAAAAAAACCTAACAACACATATGCTGTCAAAGTGAAATTAAATAATTTTTAATTTACCTAGAAAAACCTAACAACACATATGCTGTCAAAGTGAAATTAAATAATTTTTAATTTACCTAAAAAAACCTAACAACACATATGCTGTCAAAGTGAAACTAAATAATTTTTAATTTACCTAGAAAAACCTAACAACACATATGCTGTCAAAGTGAAATTAAATAATTTTTAATTTACCTAGAAAAACCTAACAACACATATGCTGTCAAAGTGAAATTAATTACCATTAATTTCACTTGTAGTTTTCAAAATACAAAGCTTTTTATTATATTAAATTATGATGATTCTGGTATAAACAAATTTTTTTTATAGATTCAGGTTAAACATTTTTGAGGATTTTGAAAACATTTTACAAAATTATAAAAGCACTATATAAATATTAATTTTTGTTTCAATAAAGAATTCTTTTTGTTTCAATAAAGA